TGTCCCCAAAAAAATCACTTAATTCCTTTTTTCTGCTGCTGTTTTCCAGGTGAGCAGCGATGAGGGAAGCAAAACAGCTGGGTGAGGGCAGGGCAGGGCTGGGGGCTGGCATCTCTTCTGGCTGCATCCAAAGTGATGCCCAGCTGCTCCTGGAATCAGTGCCAGGAGGAGCCACGGGCATGGCCTGGATTTCTGATCTGCTCTCCAGTGGAAAAGCTGTCTGCAGAGGCGTTTGAGACGTGATGTGTTGGGTTTTTTTACAGGAAACAAAGAGGTTTGCTGTGTTGCCAGGGTTTGTGAGGCATGGCAGGCTCCAGGGGAGCTCAGGTGTTGATGTGCCCTGGGCTCTGCCCCAGGAGCAGGCGTGGAGAGCTCTTAGGAAACATCATAAACCAGCCCCTAAACCACAATTCTCACAAGCTCTTGTTTATTTTATCCCTCTAAGCACCACTTGACATAGAGAAGTATATTTGTAATTTGCACGGCCTTCATAGGACAAGGGATTTAGCTCCAAATGTAAATGAAAATTCACATTTGAGCTGGATTGTGCATAAACATAAACCTGATTCAGCACATGGGAGTCTCAGTTTAGTTCCCAGCTGATATTGCACATAGAGAAGTTCAAAAATCTGTCTGGAATATATCTGAGCATGCAGCCCAGGACACGCTGGCCCCAAATCACAGACCTCATCCTTCAGCTTGTTCCTTTCCTCACCTCTTCCATGTTCCATCTCCTGCATGTTTCTGCTTTCCCAGTCTCCATCTGGCCATTTCCTTTTATCTGGAGTGCCTTTTTTTTTTTTTTTACATGTATGTCAGAAGAAACATGGTTTAGGGTTTTTTTAGGTTCATGGTTTTTTTAGTTTTTTAGTTTTGGTTTTAATTTTTCAGTTTTGGCTTTAGGTTTAGATTGGTTTTTGGTTTTAGGTTTTAGTTTAGGTTTTAGTTTTGGTTTAGGATGATGATTCCAGCACTCCTGTTTACCTGAGCAGGTTGACTGTGCCTGTGCAGGGATGAATTAACTCCGGGGCTCGTGATGCTGCTGAGCTGTGAAGCACCACATCACCAGCTCTGATTTATTTGGCTCTGTACACGAATTTTAAGACTGAATCTGAATGAAATTCTGTGAGAGGCAGGGGCCCATCCCTGTCCCTGGTAAAGGATGTTGCTGCTCTCCTGGCTGGCTCCCAGCTGCAGTAATGACCTGCTGCAGAGCCTGCGTGCTGCCATACTCCAAACAACTCCTGGTACTTAATCAGCTGAAGTAAATTAGGTGAGGAGGAAGCTGGAGCTGGCTCTGGCCTGGCCAAGGATAACTTATTACATAAGCAGGGCTCAGTTTGTGTTTGAGCCTGATGTGCTTTTGATGCCTGAGCTGTCTGGAGGAGTCTGAGTCAGCCCAGCCTGGAGTAGTCTCAGTTTTGTGACCAAACTTGTAGGACACAGAGCCACAGCTGCAATGAGGATAAGGATTATGGCTTTCTGTCAGTTTACCAACCTGTCCAGTAATTCTGGCCTCTTTGATTAGCAATTCCAACATTTCTGAATGCAAGAATTAATTAACTGCTGTTAATATGGATGGGCCACTGTTCATTTCCCATCTGTGACTCTTCATAGTCTCATTCCCAGTTTGACAACTGGCAGTGTGGCTTCACAAGGTGTGCCAAGCACAGAAGCTGACCACCCTCAATTATCACTCTCCCTTCCATCCCTAACTAGGAAGGACATGTGCAGCAGCACAAGCATTATCAATATATTATATTATATTATATTATATTATATTATATTATATTATATTATATTATATTATATTATATTATATTATCCTCCCTGTGCTGAGGTTTTTGTCACAGTCCAAGGAAAGGGGATTGAGCAGTTTTATCACAGAAGTCCCACTTGTTTTGGGAGCTGCAGGAGGAATTCCCAGGTCCTGAAAGATCCCTTTAGTGGCTGCCTGAGGAGTCAGGGACTCCCTGAACAGCTGCTCACTGTGACCCATCTGCATTCCAGGCAAGGATAATTTAAGATAGACAAGTCCTGGTGACATTTCTGAACGGAGGAACCCAGCCTAGCCCATTTTTTCACAGCTCTGTGGAGCATTCATTTCTGCTTGTCAGCACCTGGGTGTCAGAGCTCCCATGGCAGTGCCTCAGGCTGGAGGCAGCATTCCCAGGACCTGCTCTGGGCCAGCAGGGACAATCCATGTCTTGCCACGGGGTGTTTTGGGATGGGTGAAGTATTTAATAACTCCAAGTGGCTCCTGGCAGGGTGGCAGCACAGCAGGGCAGGGGCTTCACTGTGGGACATGGGGAGTGCAGCTGGGATTGCTGGCGGCTCTCAGTGACCCCTCTGACATTTCCCCTTCTCCTGTCCCATCTCTTCGCTCCCTTGTGGCATTCACATTCTCTGAAAAAATCCCTTTGCCCAGGATTTTTCTCCTGGGAAGCTAAGAAGCCTCAGAGAAAAAGGAAAACAGTTCTTATCTCATTTGATTCTCCTGTGCTGTGCTCATGTGGAATGTGTTTGGAGATTGTTCACCCACAGGTGATTGTTTCACTGCATTCTGCTGTGAGTTGTTTTCACTCTTTGGCCAGTCAGGGCCAAGCTGTGTCAGGACTCTGGAAAGAGTAATGAGTTTCATTATTATCTTTTTAACCTTCTGTAAGTATCCTTTCTGTATTCTTTAGTATAGTACAGTATTCTTTAATACAATAGAGTGTAATAAAATAATAAATTAGCCTTCTGAGAACATGGAGTCAGATCCATCATTCCTGGGTCCCTGCAAGTACAATACTCCCTCAGTGCTGAGCATCTCCCTGGGGACTCTGCTGGACCCACCAGGCAGTTTGAGCAAGGTGTGTGTGCACACATCAGGCTGGGCTTCTCCACACCATATCCAAACACAGCATCCTTCAGAGGTCATTTTTTTTTTCTCCACAAAGCAGTTGACCCAAAAATTTGTCTGTTATTTTTTGCTAAAATCAAAATATTAATGAGAAGCATGTGGGCTGTTGCCTTGTGTAAATATTAAGATGAGCTGAAGTGGTCCCTCCAATGTTAGGAAGCTGCTCTTGGGACAGTCAGCAAAGGGGGCTCGTGTCTGGAGTCCACCTTCCTTTGGAAATTGCTGCAGCAATAGCATGAAATCCCTGTTTTCTTCCTGGATTCAGCTTGTTTCAAAATTTTTCGCGGAATGCTATTCACTGCAGCCTAAACCACAAGTTTTAATTTGGAATTTTACTATGGCCAAATAATACTGTGAAAACGCCTCCGAGTAGCAGGGCCTGCTCCCCCCAGCTCAGCCCTGCGAGCACATTGTTTCAAAACATTCCAGGAAGTTAAATGAGGCTTTTGAGCTTGCCTCTGGAAAATCCAATAAGCTATTCCTACTTCTTATTTAATGAAAAAGGTAAAATAAAATTCCCTTTCTTGCAGGAAGCGGGAGTGAGCGTTATGGTTTTCTTTGGAGCAGCCGTGGTGGCTGTTCCTCATTTCAGCGTAAATTTGGTGATTAAGCTTTGCTTTTTGTCGTTATTTTAAGAACAGGATTTTGGTGTTTGGTGCTGTTTCAGCAGCTGGCGTTGTTTTGGGGAGGTGTGATGGTAACGAGGCACTTCCACAGTGAAACACTCCCTGCTTGGTGTGGCCCCGGGGTCCCCACAGCAGCCTGGGGATCCAGGGGGAGACCCTGACCCCCCTGCCTGCCTTCCATCCCTCCTCAGCCTGGTTTGGGGCAAATCCACGAGTTTATTTCAGAGCGGAGGATCAGCCCGAGGCCTGGGGCCAGTGGGGCATAATCAAAACCAAAAGAAAATTCCTAACAATAGCAAACAAAAATTTCACAATTTATCTACCACTAAAAAAAGAAAAATTAATTAAACAATACAAAAATAAATAAAAAAAACCACCCCGTTACTAAATTATTCAAATATCTATTCAATTAACTTCCCAAACCCCACAGCAGCCTGGTGCTCCAGGGGAAAATCCTGACCCCCCCTGCCTGCCTTCCATCCCTCCTCAGCCTGGTTTGGGGCAAATCCACAAGTTTATTTCAGGGTGGATGATCAACCAGAGCCCTGGGGCTGGCAGGGCATAATTAAAACCAAAACAAAATTCCTAACAGTAACAAACAAAAATTTCACAACAATTTATCTACCATAAAAAAATAATTAATTAAACTTTACAAAATTAAAAAAAAATACAAATTACATTACTAAATTATTCAAATATCTACTCAACAATGTCCCAAACCCCAGCCTGGTGCTCCAGGGGAAAATCCTGCCCCCCCCCCCCGCCTGCCTTCCATCCCTCCTCAGCCTGGTTTGGGGCAAACCCTCGGGTTTGTTTCAGGGTGGAGGATCAGCCCCAGCCCCGGGTGGCTGCAGCCGTGTCCCCCTGGCCGCGGGAGGGTCGCGTTTCTCCCCGCGGGGACAGCCCCGAGAGCGCTCGGCGGTGCCCGGACAGCTCCCCCCATGCCGGGGGGATCGGGGCGCTCCCGGGCCCGGCGGTACCTGCGGAGCGGGGGCGGAGCGGGACCGCCCCGCGGCTGAGCCGCCCGCACCGCCCGCGCACCCTGCTCCGAGCTGCGAGCGCTGCGCCCGCGTCCCCTGCCTGCTCCATCCCTGCGGTGTCCCGTCCCGTGCCTGCTCCATCCCTGCCGTGTCCCGTCCCGTCCCTGCTCCATCCCTGCCGTGTCCCGTCCCGTGCCTGCTCCATCCCTGCCGTGTCCCGCTCCGTCCCTGCTCCATCCCTGCCGTGTCCCGCTCCGTCCCTGCTGCCTCTCTGCCGTGTCCCGCTCCGTCCCCACTCCATCCCCGCTCCGTCCCCGCTCTGTGCCGTTCCATCTCTGCCCCATCCCGTTCCGTTCTGCCCCGTTCTGCCCCGCTCCGTCCGCATTCTGTCCCCGCTCCGTTCCGCTCCATCCCTCCTCCTGCCCTGCCCCGTCCCCGCTCCATCCCCGCTCCATCCCCGCTCCGTCCCCGCTCCATCCCCGCTCCGTGCCGCTCCGTGCCGCGCTCATGGGCCGGCCCTGGGCGCTGCTGTGGTGCCTGGGCTGCCTGAGCGGCATCCCGGGCTCCTCCGGCGAGCACTACCGGTACCTGTGGAGGAGCTGCTACCCCTGCTACCTGGGGCGAGCGGGGTACCCCGACCTGCGGCCAGGTACGTGGGCGGCCGGGGAAGGTCCCTTTAGAACAGGGCTCTTGGCGGATTTTGGATACCGGGCTGGGGCTCCCTGCAGGGCTCTGCCTCGAGGGGTTTGTCCCCGGATTCCCCCCAGCTGCAGCGTGGAGGTCCCAGGCTGGTGCCACCCAAGTGACAGACTGGTGACCTGGCTGTATATAGTGTATATGTACCTGTGCTTTCTATTGTTATATTTATTTTTACATTATTATTATTATTATTGCTATTAATGTTATTATTGTTATTATTATGGATGTTATTATTGTTATTATTATTGGTATTATTATTAATACTGATGTTATTATTGTTATTATTATTGCTATTATTAGTAGTAGTAGTATTATTGCTATTGCTATTGTTATTATTATTCTTCAGTGCATTTCTTACTCTGAAAAGTCACTTCTGGCAGAGGGGGAGAGAAACAGGAGTTTCTTCACATCTGTTGCTGTCCAGCTGGGTTAAAGATAGCTCCTGGGCCACATTCCTTAAAAAGCCAAATGCATGCATTTTGCTAGGGTATGTAGATTAATTTTTTTCCCCAGCTCCCAAGGATCTCTCCTCAGTCCAGGGCAAAAAGCGCAATTTTCATGTTTTTAGCATGAAAGAATGGTGCCTTTCTCTCTGGGTGAGGCTGTGGGGTTGCTGGGGCTGTGTGAGTGCTGCTCGGCAGATTCTCCCCCAGGACAGGGCTCGCTGTTATTTGGGGTTGGGTTTGTGCAAGGGGAATCCTCTGGCAGCAGCAGAGCTGGGCACAGCCAGGGGGTGCAGGCAGAGAAGCCGTGTCAGGGATCACTGCCCTGGAACATTCAGCCTCAGTGTCCTTTGGAAGCCAATTCCCAGCCTGCTGCAGCGTGGGAAGCGCTTGGCCAGACTTCCCATGGAGCAGGTGGAGGGGAGGGAGCCCTTGGTGCTCCCACTGCACGTGGCTCACGTGGGCTGGGAGATGGGGACACGGAGCCAGGTGTGAATTCTGCCTCTGCACCCTCCCTTCCTCCTCTGGGTGTGCTCAGCTGCCTCCACGGCAGGAAAAGCTTGTGGGGATTTAGGAGATAATAGAGAATGTGTGAAGGTCACTGAAGAATTGGGATGCTTGGGCGTAATGTAGACATCAAGGAATGCATTATCTCATCCTGGGATAATGCTAATAAATAAATGCCCCAAGCAGTGATATCAGAAGAGTTGTGAGATGTGCCAGAGTTTCAGGAAGGGGCGAGTTGCTGCTTTGTTATTTATAGATCAGATGTTTGTCTCAGGCTCACATTGTGCTTGCTGTCTCCATCCAACTGTTTTGGCTCAAAGTAACTCTCCAAGACAAGCTCCTGAGATCCAGCTTTGTGCTGGATCCAACCTTCCCTTCCCTAGTGCAGAATTCCTCAGATCCTGAGGATCCTGATCCTGTTTCTGCTCCTCTCAGCTCCATGAACAGGTAGCTCTGTGCAGGCTTGGCTTTATCCTTGGTGCCTCTGGGCTGCACAGCTGAGGGGTTTTCTCTTGGGTTTTTTATCCATCTCGTGACTCACCCTGAACTGGTATCACCATGCGTTTGCTTAATTTGGTTAATTTTTCCTTTGCTGCCTGAGCTTCTCTTTGAGGAGTTCTCTTGGTGTGCTTTTATAGCCCCAGATGTTGCCTCGGTGTGATTTTTAGGGTGTGCATGTGCTGCTTTCCCTGCCGCTCCCATCTGCCCAGCCGGCACGCACGTCCCCACAGCCGTGTCCCCTCAGCAGGCAGCTGCCACGAGGCACAAAGCTCTGCTGTGTGCACATCACCGGCAGCTCTGCGTGAGCCAGGAGAGGGAGGAGGTGCCCTGTGCAGCCCCCCTGTGCAGGAGGAGTGGCTGTCACTGAGCTCGGGGGTGCCTTGATGTGCCCCGTGTGTGCAGACAGGCTCTGCTGGGGCTGATGGCAGCGCTGGGTGTTGTGTCCTTGCACAGCCACCCCTACAGGAGGGGCTTTGTGCTCTGCTGGGGACTCACAATCCATCACCACAGTGAGGTGGGCCTGGTGCTGTGATTTCCTCTCTAAAGCTGCCAGAAACCAGCAGAGCTGTTGTTTGATCCTGTTCCATTAGCTCCTTCAACAGCATTTCCAGCCGGGGGTGTGGGATTCACCTTCTCTGAACAGAGAGACAATTCTCTCTCTCAGGTTTTTTTCATGGAGAAGCAGAGAATAGAATGATCAGAACAATTCTTATCTCATTTGCTGCCCCTGTGCTTGTGCACAAGCAGAATGCATTATGGAAGATTGTTTACCTGGAGGGATTTGGTAATTGGATTCTGGTGTGAGTGTTTTGTTTTCTTGACCAATCTCTGCAAGCTGTGTCCTGATGGTCGGGCTGGAGACAGTCACGAGACTTTGTTCAGCTGAGTTCTTGTTCAGTTTCAGCGTAGATGTAGTGTAATATCATGTAATATAGTAGAGAATAACACAGTATAATAAAGTAATTAATTAGCCTTCTGATATCATGGAGTCCTGCTCATCATCCTTCCCACAGTCAGGCAAAATTACCCCGATACAGGGGCTCCATTCCCAGCTCCGTGTCTGGGAATCCACAGCGTGGCACAGGGAGATCTTTCACTCAGAGTGACAGCCTGCACAGGGAATGGGGTAAAACCGTGATGAGAGAAGGTTGGAGAGGGTGAGAGCAGCAGCAAGTCCAGAGCAAGTCCAGGTGCTTGTTGCTGCGTGCACCTCTGCTCCACGCTGAGTAATTCCTGATTCCAGCCCCATCCCCAGGCACTCAGGGGAGCACAAGAGGGAGCTGGGCAACTCTTCCACCCCACTGCTCGGGGGAAGGAAGAGGTGAGCTGAGGACAAAGCCAGGAACTGAGGCAAAGCAGAGTTTTCCCTGCAGCAGATTGTTCTGAAGCCGATGCATCCATTCCTGAGGTGCCTTTGGGATGGCACAGGTGGTGTGGGAAAGTGCTGGGCATCTCCCACCTGCAGTGGAAGGAATTCTGGCCTCAATAATTCCCTGCATCTCTTCAAGGCCTTTCTCAAATGCCTGGTTTAGGATGAGATGAAAGCTGAGGGTGTGGAGGTGCTCTGACTGCCCCAAATGGCCTTTTGATTGCCCAGCCGTGCTTCCTCAGCCTAGAGGAGGAAAAAACTTCCAGGCTAGCAGAGAGGAGATGAAGCATTGTCCTCTCCCATGGCCTCCTTGCAGTGCTGGACCTTGCCATGGCTGCTTTGTCTGCACACAGGGAGTGTGGAATAACAGGATATCTGAATTCCTCAGGTTATTCGTGTTGGGACTGTGTGACACATGCAAAAAATGAAGTAATGCAGAGGGTTTTTTCATTCTAATCTGTGTCCATAATGTGGGATGGCTGTGCTCCCCTGCCCACGAGCAGGGACTGTTGGGTCCTCTCCATCCAGTCTTTTTACTCCTTGAAATTGCTGAATTATCTTCAACAAACTGGTACTGGAAAGATAAAGTCACTAAATCCCACACATGCTCATCGTGGTGGATTTTAATTAACCTTTTCCCTGCAGCCCTGCTCTGTAATCCAGGCTAATTGCTGCAGGGATTAGAGCCTGGCACTGCTGCTCAGCCAGACAGAGCAAACCTCCAGTGTTCTCCTGCCTGTGCTTCCAGCTGGGCTCCATCGCCTCCTCCTCAGCCCTGCAAGGAGATAAACTGCCTCCCTACCAAATATTTAATACTTTGCAGAGCTGCTGTTGCCACTTTCTTCTCCCTGATGTGTAGCTCTTGTTGGAGATAAATCAGTACTCCTTCTGGAAGGATCTGTGTGTGTTCAGGCAGTGCAGCCAGCCTAAGCCATCTCCTCACTCTGTGCCCCCTTTTTTTTTTGGTTTTGTGTTCACCTTCCCTATTTTTGATTGCTGTATTCCCTGTGTTAGTTCATGTGGGTGTCTAACCAAACCTTTTTTTTGGGTTTGTGTTCATCCTCCGTATGTTTGACTGCTGTATTTGCTGTGTTAGTCCATGTAAGTGTCTAACCAAACCTTTTTTTTGGGTTTTGTGTTCACCTTCCCTGGTTTTCATTGCCATATTACCTGTGTTAGTCCATGTAGGTGTCTAACCAAACCTTTTTTATGGGTTTATGTTCACCTTCCTAGTTTTTCATTGCTGTATTCCCTGTCTTAGTCCTTGATGTAGGTGTCTAACCAAACCTTTTTTATGGGTTTGTGTTCACCTTCCCTGTTTTTCATTGCTGTGTTCCCTGTGTTAGTCCCTGTAGGTGTCTGAGGTTTCAGGGGTTGTTTCTGCTCAGGGAGGAGGCTGGGATGAGCCTTCCTTGCAGAACTCCAGTTTCCTTACACAGCAGGGACCAATATTTCTGCTATCTCATTGATCCAAGCCCCATCCCCAGCCCTTGCTGCCTTGGGCTCCTCCTCAGTTGGCTTTGCCTGGTACCCACTGCCCCGTGCATGCAGAGCAGGGCTTGGCAAACCCTGTCCTGGCACGGCTCTGGCTTGCTCAGAGTCAGCTGAAGAGAAGCCTGTGTGCTTCTCATTTGCTCTCCTTTGGTATTGTTAATTCCAACCAGATTTTGTCAGCTCTCCAGTAGGAAAAGAACCCCGGCGTGCCACGAAGCGCTGCTCGCGGTGTCACGTAGGGCTCGTGGTGCTGCTGCCAGCACCTGCACCAGGGCCAACCTGGCCTTCCCAGAGCTGCTCCTGCTGCTTCCCAGTCTGTTGTATTTGCAGGGAGGAATGATGACTCTGACTCCATGTTCTCAGAAGGATAATTTATTATTTTGTGATACTGTATTGTATTAAAGAATACTGTACTATACTAAAGAATACAGAAAGGATACTTACAGAAGGTTAAAAATATAAGAAGGAAACTCATGACTGTTTCCAGAGTCCTGACACAGCTTGGCCCTGACTGGCCAAAGAGTGAAAACAACTCACAGCAGAATGCAGTGAAACAATCACCTGTGGGTGAACAATCTCCAAACACATTCCACATGAGCACAACACAGGAGAAGCAAATGAGACAAGAATTGTTTTCCTTTTTCTCTGAGCATCCTCAGCTTCCCAGGAGAAAAATCCTGGGCAAAGGGATTTTTTTCAGAGAATGAATGCCACACCAGTCCATATTCCCAGCTGACTCACTGGCTTGAGCCTCGGGCAGTCCTGGAGGTGCTGCTGCTGCAGGCTTGGCTGGTGGATCTGCCCCTGGGGACAGTGTTGTTTTGGTCACACCACGGTGCAGGGTGTCCCAAAATCTCCCTAGTGCTGCAGAGGAGATCAGGGAGGCTCCAAGAGGGACTCTGGGTGGCAGGGAAGGTGATAGGTGATTTTATGGCCGCTCTCCCCAGCCAGGAGGGGGTTGGGATGGGGACAGCCCTCTGCAATCACAGAGATTTAGAGGGTGAAAAGTACAAAGAGGGAAGAGGAGCCACGGAGAGAGATGTAAAATCACTGAGTATGAGTAATGGGGTGAAAGTAAGAAGTTTACTCAACACATCACTAAGTTTCTTGGACAGTGAATTCTCAACAGTTTCAGATTAGAGTTGAAGGGAAGCAGTGGAATAGTCATTTAAATGCAGACCAAAAAACTTTATTATGCTGCATAAAACCTTCCCAAACCCCGGTTTTCCTGTTCCTGAGCTGAGTAGAGCCAGTTCTGTGTATTAATAGCTAATCCTGCCCACAGAGATGAGTAGGGAGTGCCTCAGGGGCTCTATGGCTCTGCAGTGTCCCAAGTGTGTGCAGAGGAAAATGATTTAATCAGAATTAGGTTGCTTTGACCAGCTCTCAGACTCATGCCATCACATTTTTCCCCTTGAAAAGCCACTTTGGCTTTGGCTCACTCTTCACAGAGCCTCACTCAAAGCTTATGTTTCACCTCAAAAATCTATTCATTTTCCTTTCTTTCAGTATTAAGTGTCGTGGAAAAAAAAACCAGGAAGAAAATACTAAAACCTCCTAAAAGGCTCAGTCCACTGAATAAAGCAAAAGGCTGGCACTACAGAAATGAGCATTTTGCTGGGTTGAGGGAGCCCACAGCTGCAGTGGGAGCTCTGCAGGAGGAGCCCAGCATGGCCAGTGCAGCAGGACACCCCAAGACAAGGTTGGGGGTTCCCTGGGAATCACTGGGACAGAGGAGGGGTTTTTAATGACCTCTGAGCTTTAGCTTTTAATGTTTTAAGCCTTGCTAAGAAAAGTGCTCTGAGAAAAGATTTTGTTTTTGCAGGTAATTTGTATTTTGTATGTAATTTTGTATTACCACTGCAGAGCTCAGACTCAAACAGGCGTCACCTTTCCCACTCTTCCCCTTCCACCCCTGACCCAGACCTTCCCTTGCTGCTGGCTGATTTTCTTGGCAATTAGTCTGACGAATATAAAAATTGGCTCAGCCGAGGCTGTGCTGCTCCTTTTTTTTTTTGGTGCCCTTTTCCTGCCCAGTGGGAGCTGTGGGAGAAGCAGAGCTGGGCTGGGGCACTGGGCACGTTCCTGCACCTCTGGCGTGTGAGGACACGGCCGGGGACCCACCCTGCCATGATTCACTCAGGAAATGTTTCTTTATCTTCTCAGTAACAGCCGTGGATGGGAACTGAGCTGGCTCAGGGCTGGCCTTGCTGGGAGGGGTTTGGGGGAGCTGGAGGTGAAGAAGTTGCTAAGAGAAACCCAAATGGAGAGACCCAAGGTGCTGAAGTTTGTCTCTCCGTGGGGAAGGGAATGGCTGGTTGGGTGCTTTGCTGCTCCTGCAGTGGGATCTGGTTCCCCACTCTGATCCTTCCCAGTCTGAGAGGTTGTGTAGGTGCACAGCTGTGCACACCCACAAATGGCAGGAATTAAGGAACTGTGCAGCCCTGTCCTCATCATCTCCATGTTTATGATCATGGCACAGGGAGAAATCTGCCTCAGAGACTTTGATAAGCAAGTATAAGTGTAAAATATGACTTAATCCATTGTTCTGGAGTCAGTGGGAAAGGTGACCATTGGCAGGTGATCAGAGGAGGATGGTTTGTGCTGGCTGACAAAGCAAATTGGGTTTTTGTGGTTGTTGTTCACTGATTGCAAGTTTGTCCCTGGAATTTCACAAACAGCTTGACTGACCGAACATAACAAAATGGCCAATCTTGTTCCCTTTGCTTTCATTCCTCAGATCCAGAGTCGGGCAGCAGAGGATAAATATTCCTGAGCTCAGACCCCCTCCCGTGCACTTGCCTAAATTTTTACCCACTTTCCCCTTGGTTTTTTTTGCAGATGTTGACGAATGCCAGGTGCACAACGGGGGCTGCCAGCACCGCTGTGTGAACACCCTGGGCTCCTTCTACTGCGAGTGCCAGCCCGGCTTCCGCCTGCACACGGACGGCAGGACCTGCCTCGGTAAGGCTGCCCTGCAAAGCCCTTGGCAATCTCTCCTTGCAGCCCTCTTCCTACCGGTAAATCCATGGCAGTGAACAGAAAACCTTGATTTCCTCACTCCCTCCCGTTCTCTGTGCCCTGAATGTGAGATAATGGGTTTGGGTTCCTTTGTGTTTCTGTGTCTTCCCTCACAGTTTCTGTCCCTGGGTTCAGAATATTTGCTGTTCTTCCATGTGGTAACATAAAACTGGGGCTGCTTTGCTGTCCCTGAGTTTATTCTGATTCAGGAGAATCCCTGGGTTCAGAACATTTGCTGTTCTTCCATGTGGTCACATAAAACTGGGGCTGTTTTGCTGTCCCTGAGTTTACTCTGGTTCAGGAGAAGTAACTCTCAAGTGCTCTGATGCTTCTGCTTTTGATTCAGGATATATCAGATATGGCATTCTCAGAACAGATAGATGAATAAAAATAATGAGGAATTTCAAGTCAGGCTTCATTTTGACCTCAGTATTTCCTCAAAATTTCAGTATTTTCTCACTGGGCAGCAGGTGTGACAGACAAGTGACAGTAAATGTGGCTGTGTGTGGAACTGTGGCCATAATAATCCAAAACCTTCTTCTCTGGGATGCTGGTCATGTACTCTCTTGGATGGTGCTTGTCCAAACATCACCATCCAGGCACCAGGTTTGCCCTGCAGCTGATTTTGAGGCCAATTCCTTGAAATGCTGTTGTCTGCCTGCCCCAGACTGGAGGCTCAGAGTGGAATTTGGAATCTGCCTCCAGCATCTGTGGCTGTTTTAATTAAACCACTGCTTCATTTGACACATTTTCCACTATTATTTTCATATCCCTCAAAAGTGGAAAAAATTCCCGGGCCATGGTGTTTGCAGAGTTTTCTCAGAACACAGTCACGCTCCAGAGTCTGCCTGTGTGTTCCAGTTGGGAATGGTGATGTGAGCAGGAAAAATCCACCCAGGGAAGCTGTACCCACCGTGCCCAGCTCTGCACTGACACACATCTGGCCACAGCTGCCTCCAGTACATAGTGACACCCAACCAAGTGAGATTTAAGGTGCAGGATCCCCATATTTCACTGGAAAAAATCCAGAAGGAAAAAGATGGCAAAGAAGGGACAAAGCCAAGCCTGGCAGCCAGCACTGAACTCCAACACTCGTGTCGGGGTGACGAGCTGCTGCTGCTCACATGTAAGTGTGCTGTGGTCTGTCATCTCCTAATTGCCTCTGGGATATGTTGCTCCCTTTCTTGTGGTGAGCAGTGATCCTGTGCAGCCGCATTTCTCCTCATGGAGAAAAGCAAGGCACAATTCTTCCCAGGAATATTTCTGGGTTTCACATTCTCTGAACCTCAGAGAAAGGAAAAACAATTCTTATCTCACTTGCTGTGCTTGTGTTTGTGCAAAAGTAGAATGCAATATGGAGATTTGTTTACCCAAAGTGATGGTGTTTTGTTTCCTTGGCATATCAGGGCCAAGTGTTGGACTGTTGGCTGACAGTCACAAAAAGAGTACAGTTATGTACAGAGCTGGGTGCTTAACAGATTCAGTTTAGATGTAATGTAATATACATCTAAATATAATAGAATAAATATGATATAATATAATAAATATAATAAATATAATATAATATAATATAATATATGATACTATATAATATAATAGTATAAATTAATATAATAATATAATTATAATATATAATAGATAATTATAATATATACTAGATAATATATTTAATATATAATATATACTATATAGTATAATATTATAACGTTATAATAATATATATAATACAATATATATTAATATTTAATTATAACAATTTAATAGAATAATATAATATAATAGAATAATATGAACATTGTGTCATATAATATAGAATAATATAGTATAATAAAGTAATTAATTAGCCTTTTGATATATATAGAGTTCTCATCTTTCCTCTCCTTTGGGGGCAAAAAAATCAACAATAACCCCGCAGCCGCCCGTGCCTTGCGGAACAAAACGTGGGACAGGAGTGCTCAGCAGCCCCAGAAGGTGGAACAGTTCTCAGGGAAAGCATTAAATGCATCTCTAAATGGAGGAATATCTTCTTTAAGAGGAATTTTCATCATTTTCTTTCGCTCTCCAGGCTTCCCTGCTGGTGTAGCTGAGCATTCCCACAGGATCCAGCCCCGCTCCTGCTGCCCGTGCCCAGCGCTGCAAACCTGCTTTGCATTAAACTTGTGAGCCAATATTAGCCATGAAGTGCAGTGCTGGAATTCATCTGCCAAAAGTGAGAGGTCTCTGTTCAGGAAATCTGATCATGAGTGAGTGGGGCAGCTCCTGGAGCTTTGGGGAGTGGAGCCTGCAGGATCTGCAGTGAGTTTGTGGTGCTGGTACCCCTGGGATCCAGAGCACCCAGGAAAGCAAAGCAGACCAGGCAGGGCAAATAAAAACCTCTCACTGCATAATTATCTCATAATGTTTCTAAAATGAATCTAAAATGGGGCTTTCTCATTTCAGGGCTGGTGGCTTTTTCTCTTTACAGATTTGTGCCTGTCCATGTGTATATGTCACATCTTCACAGAGCTCTGTACTGACCCAGTTGTGAGGAGGGTGGAACATCTTTTCCTTAGAAAAGCTCAGAACAGAGCAAGGCACAGAGGTGCCTCCTCTGCTGGTGTTTGTGGCTGTGCTGTTGTACCCACAGACACCAGGTTGCCTTGTGGTCAGTTCTGAGGGATTTGGGGTTAACTGCTCAAAGCTGTTTTTCTCCTCAAGCTGGGATGTCCTCTCATTCTCTGTAGAGATTCTGTGCTGCTAAAACACAAAATATTGCCACTAGATATAGAGAATAGTCCAGGAATGAAGGGAACTGGAGACAGTGAGCATCCATCCATCCATCATCCATCCATCATCCATCCATCCATCCATCCATCCATCCATCCATCCATCCATCCATCCATCCATCCATCCTTGTCCTTCTGCTGAGGGAAGCTCGCAGCTCCATGCTGGGACAAGCCCAATTTTGGGTGGTAGGAAGCTCCTGACTGCCCCAGTGAGAGTGTTCTGGGTACAGAAAGAGGCCTTTGCAGTCAAATTTCTCCTTAAGGGTTGTCAAATCACAGATTTCATTCTTTAAATGCTTTCTGGTCCCCACAAAACCCACAAAGGCTCCGATGATGGATCAGCAGCGCTGAGATGGAGCTCCACGATTCCCCCACAATGAAGCAGCGTGGCCAAGGGTCAGCTGGTACCTGGGGCTGTGACTCAGGAGGGCACAAAAGTGGCTTAAAACCCCTTTCCTGTGCCCAGCTCTCAGCTGGTGCTCTGCAGCTCCCTTGTGCAGGATCCTTTTGTTGTGTCTTTGTTCCGATGGCTGCTGAGAGAGGGAGAAAAGGAGCAGCCGCTTCCACTGCGAGTGAAACAGAACAAAGAGAGGCCTTGGGCGTCCTGAAATTACCTCTTTCTTTATCAGAACCACATGGGCAGGAGGCAGGAAGCTGACATCTCCAGGTCCTTCTCCACTGTTTCAGCAGAGGGATGCAGGCCAGGCTGAGGCTGAGGGGTTTAATGGGAGCCAATTGCTTTTGTTGGCCTGAGGAGCAGGGAGATGGTCTGGATTAACACACAACATGTTTCTGGAAGTTGTCTGAGGTCTGGAGAAATCAGCTAGGGATTACATGATGGAGCCCTGTTTGTATTAGGAGAACTTCAAATGGAGAAATCTCAGTGATAGGGGTGATATAATGAACAGAAGGACCATGCCAGGAGGTTTGTGTGGGCTTGAACTGTGTGTGCAGGGACCACGTGTGCTTGGTGGGGCTTTCCACTTTGCAGACAACTCGCACATTTTAGGGAATTTGATCTTTTCTTTGCCCAGTCACACATTTTTCAGCCTTTTCTTAGAATTGCTGGGGGTTTGTGTGATGCTGCAGGAGGAATATCCTGCTCAGTTCTAGTCACAGCTGCTCACAGTCACTCTTTGGGTATCAGCTCTCTGCTTCTGATGGCAAATCACTTGTGTCTGAAGGGAAGGTGAGAGGGAGGGAAGAGGAGAAGTGAGAAGAGAGATGAAAAGTCAGAAGGGAAGCTGGAGGGTGCAGAGATCAGGTATTAAATCAATTGCTGTGCTAGGCTGCTGCTGCACAAATCCACTTCCCGGGTGTAATCAGCAGCAAAAATCTCCTTTCCATCCCTCTTTATCCATTTCCCAGGCCTGAGAGGGTCAGAATCTGGGAGCAGCATCTTCCAGCAGCACTGCACTCCCCTCAGACAGCGGGGCTGGAAGGAACCTCCCTCTCTCAGACAATGAAATATCATCTGTGGAAAATCTGTCTGAGCTGTAATTACAAAAATCTGTGTGATGTACAGGATGACACTGGGCTTGGCAGCCTTGTCACAGAAATGTTAAGCTCGGCAGAGCATCTGGGAATGGAAATATTTTTAGAGTGGTTCTGTAAACAGAATAAAAACCCCGAGCAGTAATTAAAACAAGGCCAGCAGCGAGGTCTGCTGGCTGTGATTGTGAGGAGCCAGCTGAGGAGACCCAGCCTCACACGGGCTCTCTCTCCTGAAATCTTGCACCTAGGAACCCAGACTTTGGATTTTTTTTAGGAGTGTGCAAGGAGGCTGTTATTTCAACTTCAAATTCATCTGAATAACTGCATCCTGGGAGGTTATTTTAGACACAAGATGCATTGGCTTGTTCCATGTTGGCCCAGTGCTTTTCCCAGATGAAGGAATGTTTTGGCAGGCATCAGCATTGTTTGACTTGTTTTCTTTTTTTACTTTAACAAAAAGGCTCTCCAACAAGCACATTATTTATGGCTATTTTTGAATATATGTTATTAAACACTTAAATTTATTAGAATATTTTTAAATGACCACCCATCTCTGCTAGAGCTTGAGTAGTGTAACTCTGACCCAGAGCTTTTCAGGAACGTTAAGTATTTCTGTTGTTTTCTTCCAAATGGACTAAAGGAAACAATGCCAGCACAACTAGCATAAACCCCAAGTTCTTGCTCCAGCCTTATGATTTGTATGGCAAAATCTTGACCCTGTCAAGCAGCTTTTATTCCCCCAAATGTTGTTTAGCTAATTAGAGGCATAAAATGAAAAGTTGAGTTATTTTAACATTTGGAATGAGAGTGATCCTCAGCTCTGAGTCAAAGCTTTTTTTTTTTTTTTTTTTTAGGGGAAGGGTGTGCAGAAAAAAATGAATATATATATATATTTTTCTTGCCTTTATTTTTGTCCTGAGCCAAATATTTGTTTTCACTAATGTATAAGAGAAAGGATCCAGCTTGCCTTGGGATTCAGAGGTGTGTTGCAAGCAGAGACTTCTGCTGGCAGCTGCTTTCCAGGCTCTCCTGCTTCCAGAGCTCTGGAGGTTGTGGAGGGCACTGTGATCACCTGAAGGATCAGTCTGGGGAGAGATGGTTTTCATTAGAGATATTTTTAGCTTTCCTGTAAGATTCCTCTGAGCCAGCACATGAGTTTATTCTGGAGTTTGAAAAATAGGTCAGAAACGTGTGAGACCAGAGCTGATGGTTCTGCTCAGCTTAAGGCAGCCAGGGCTGGGTTTCCATCCTGGGCCGGGGCCAGCTCCAGCCTTGTTCCACCAGCCCAGTGGGTTGTGACACTTTGGTGGCTCCTGAGAGACAGAACAGAGTTTAAAGACCAATTTCCCAATTCTCATAAGAGACAGCTCTCTTTGGAGGAGCTCAGTGCATAACGAGTTGGGTGGGTTAACTCAGGAGACATCCAGTGCTCCAAGAGGGGACTTGTATGGCTTTGGAGGCATGTCATCATCCCACAATGACTTCTGTACCAGAGTCCATGAATCCAGCTCCAGAAAGTCCTTCCCTGTTTAGTTTCCCAGCTCAAATTCCTCCTGGATCTGAGGTTGATGGTCCTGGAGAGCAGCAATAAAAATGAAACTTCTGACATTGCCCTGGCTGCTCACAAGGTGCTCCCACCCCAGTTAAACATCCCTCTCCTCTGCTGATCCTGCAGAGACATCCCAGTTACAGGAACAGGAGGAGGAGGGGGCTGATTAATGATGTTCCCAGCTGATTAATGATAGCAGGCTTGTGAGGAGTCCACGTGCTGGGTCACGGGGTCTGTTTTGTGCCGTAGCCCAGGCAAAACCTCCTGTTTCCTGACTGTTTGCAATCTGCTTGTGCAAGGCCACACAGAAGAGCTGTGGCACGGCCAGGAGCTCCAGTTTTTGTCCTCAGCCAAAGATTTGCTTTCACTCATGTACAAGAGCAAGGACCCAGCTTGCCTTGGGATTCAGAGGCGTGTTGCTTCTGCTGGCTGCTGCTTTCCAGGCCCTCCTGCTTCCAGAGCTCTGAGGTTGTGGAGGGCACTGTGATCACCTGAAGGATCAGTCTGGGGAGAGATGGTCATGGGTATGTTTTATGCTGTAGCTCACGCAAAACCTTCTGTTTCCTGACTGCTTGGAATCTGCTTGTGCAAGGCCACACAGAAGAGCTGTGGCACGGCCAGGAACTCCAGTTTGGAAGCTCAATTCCCAGTCCTGCCTGTGCTGAGGATGAAATCGAGCTGCTGTGTCTCTGTGTGCTCTGTCTGGGTGACACTGCTGCTCACAGCAGCAGGGACCCCACGTGCCTCGGGTTCCACACAGAAATCTGCTCAGAGCCCTGAGCTGGGGGTTATTACACCTGGCCCAGCTATGGGCACACAGGATGCATCTTAAAACATTTTCCCCTGAGTGTTCCCACAACCTGCTGGGCCTCGGTGACTTTTGCACATCCCAGAGCCAGAAACTCGGGTTTTTTTACAGGAAAACCTGCATGTGCCTGAGCACAACTCTCTCAGCAGTAATGGCTTGAGGCAGCTGTTCCTCTGCACCTGCAGGGACTGTCCTGGCACTAAAGGATGGGAATTTCAGGAGCAGCACAGAGCCTGGCTGCTGACACGGCGCCCTTTGAGAGGGCGGATGCCTGGCAGGAAACATGCTTCCCTCCCATGTAGTGCTGGACAGGACCTGACCCAGCTCCCTGTGTCCTGCAATCACCTTCGGGGAGACCTCTTATGGTGGGAAAGAGCCATTTTAAGGGGAGATTTAGGCTGGTTAGGGAGAAGTTCTTCCCCGAAAGGGGGATCAGGCGTTGGAATGGGAGGTGGTGGGTCACCAGCTTTTATTCTGCCCAACACTGCTGAGCTGATGTTGCCTTGAAAGAGCAGGGTGCCCACCTGGCACGGAGCTGGGTGGCCTCTCCTGCACTGCCCACAGGCTTTTGCAGCTGCATCTCCCACTTAACACCCTCCTGGCTCATCAGGTTGGTGGTGAACTTGTCACTGAATGTGCTCCAATCTTAAATTCACACCAGCTTTAAGGGTGGGCAGTCTGCCCTTCCCTCATGCAGGTGCCAAACCTGTGTCCCTGTGTCCCCAGGTGCCACCCAAATGTCACTGTCATATTTTCTGAAAAATCCTTTGCCAGGATTTTTTCTCCTGAGAAGCTGAGAAGCCTCAGAAGAAAAGAAAAATAATAATTATCTGCTGGTGTGGAATGCAACAGGTGCACCTTTGGTTGGTCCATGTGAGTTGTTTTCACTGGATGCCCAATCATGGTCCAGCTGTGTCAAGGTTCTGAGAGTCATAGGTTTTTATTATTCATTCCTTTCTAGCTTTCTGCCTGTATCATTTCTCTGTTCTTTTTAGTATAGCTTTAGTGTAGCATAGTGCACCTTTGGTTGGTCCATGTGAGTTGTTTTCACTGGATGCCCAATCATGGTCCAGCTGTGTCGAGGTTCTGAGAGTCACGGGTCTTTATTATTCATTCCTTTCTAGCTTTCTGCCTATATAATTTCTCTGTTATTTTTAGTATAGGTTTAGTATAGCATTTTTAATATAATATAATATAATAGGATATAATAGGATATAATATAATAGGATATAATAGGATAACAACAACCCAAACTCCTTTTGTGCCAAACCTTGTGTCCCCTTGCAGCTCTGAACTCGTGTGCCCTGAACAACGGTGGCTGCGAGCACGACTGTGTGCAGGTGACCCTGGCCCAGCACCGCTGCCAGTGCAGGCACAACCACCAGCTGCACGAGGATGGCAAACGCTGCATCCGTGAGTCCTGGGGGGCTGGGGAGCCAGGGATTCCAGCTGGGAGCTGTGGGGATGGGGATGCTCAGATGTCCAGCAGATCAGACTGGGGGATTTCCAGTAAAAACTCTGTGTGTTTGGTTGTCATGGACATGTCCTGTGGTTTGTTCCAAGGGATGGGAAGAGCTGGAGGAGTTGTAGCCAACAAAAATGAAACTGTATGAAGGCACAGGCACTTTGGGAGGGGAGGGACAGCAGAGTGTGGCAGTGGGGTGGGATCTTCTCCCTGTCTGGCTGACCTGCTCCTGGCTCAGGAGGGAGAGAAGCTGAAGGGGACAGAACACAAGGTTGTTCTCGTTCATGGCAGTTGGCATTCAAAAGGCAGGAAGGAGGGAAATCCTGAGCTGTGAAGTTGCTACAGCAAAAGAAACAACTGGGATGTAAAAAACCAGCAGTCAGAGAGGTTTGGAGCATCTGTCCTGGTCCTGGGGCAGGTCAGAGATTGGCAAAACTCTGGGTAGGAGTATTTGGAGCAAGCTGCCAGCACTTGCTGTGTAATCTCTGCAGAGGGATGTGCCCATGCCAAGCTTCTCTGGCAGGGTTTTACCCAGCTTAATGCCAGCCTTCTGCAGCACCTCACAGCGTGTACAGGGATTTTCTGCCTGGGATTCACACAGACTGCAGGCTTTCCTGCTGCTGTGTGCAGGATCCGTGTGGGGTGACCCGGCTCTGTGCTCTGCCTGCAGTGAGGAACCCGTGCTCTGACAGGAACGGGGGCTGCATGCATCGCTGCCACAGCCACCGCGGCCGCGCCCGCTGCGAGTGCCACCCCGGCTACCTGCTGGCCCCTGATGGCAAGGCCTGCCAAGGTGAGTGCCCTGCAGAGCTCCCCTGCAGGAAAAGCTCTGTGTCTGGTGGGTCAGGGAGTGCTCAGTGGGAACAGAGCGGAGGGAAGGACATGCCGCTTGTATTTGCGGGGTTCGCAGATGAAGGAAGGAAGGATGGTTCTGACTCCATGTTCTTAGAAGGATAATTTATTCTTTTATTATCTATATTATATTAAAGAATACTAAATATAATAAAGGATACAGAAAGGATACAGACAGAAAGAAAAGACACTAATGAAAAACTTGTGACTCTTTCCAGAGTCCTGACACAGCTTGACCCTGGCTGGCCATTGAGTCAAAACAATTCACATGAAACCAATGAAACAATCACCTATTGGATAAACAATCTCCAACCACATTCCAAAGCAGCAAAACACAGGGGAAGCAAATGAGATAATATTGTTTTCCTTTTTTCTCTGAGGCTTCTCAGCTTCCCAGGAGAAGAATCCTGGACAAGGGGATTTTTCCAGAAAATCCCAGACTGCCACACATGCCTTCCCTTGGGTGGCTCAGGTGGTGTCTGTGCAAGAGCCCTGCTGGAGCTGTCTGCAACAACAGAGCTGCTCCAGGGGAGATTTAGGCTGGGCATTAGGGGGAAGTCCTTCCCTGAAAGGAGGATCAGGCGTTGGAATGGGCTGTCCAAGGAGGTGGTGGAGTCTTTTATTCTTTTTTTAAGAATAAACTGCATGTGGCACTGGGTACTGTGGTCTGGTGACAAGGTAGTTTTAGGTCAAAGGTTGGACTTGATGATCTCAAAGGTCTTTTCCAGCCTAATTGATTTTGTGATTCTGTGAATGTCCCACTGTTGTGTCCCCATCTCCTGGGAAGCTTTACAGCAATTCCAAACTCTTAACTCTGTGTCTTCATTGGTCTGGACCCCAAGGAAGAGTTCAGGCTGCAAGAAACCAGTGCAGAACTCAAATACCATAACAACAGTCCTTTGGAAGGATGTTTAAAATTCAGCCTACTTATCTTGGGCTTTCTCCCTCTCCCAGATGTGAACGAGTGCCTGACAGGGCTGGCCATGTGTGCACACCAGTGCCTCAACACCCGGGGCTCCTTCAAGTGCACCTGTAACCCGGGCTACGAGCTGGGCGCGGATGGCAAGCGCTGCTACCGTGAGTACTGCGGGCTCAGCCGTCATGTCTTCATTTCTTTTCTGCCAAGGTCAGGATTAAATGTGTGAGATGGTATTGCTTGTTGGGACTCAGATGTTTATTAGCTCTTATCTACTTTACAGTCTCACAAACTATGAGTTCTGCAGTACTTAACTCCAACAAAGTAAAAATTGAGCCCCCTCTCTTTCTACAAGTCCTTTTAAGGATAAACTGTCCAATTAAGAAATGACACCTAAATTATTTTTACTTTTAACCCAATAACCAACCACCCGTGGCCTGCAATGAGAACTTTTTTATCCAATTACACAAAACCACCCAAACCCATGGAGAAGAAGGTGAAAAAGAAGGAGAAGAAGGTGAAGAAGAAGGAGAAGAAGAAGGTGAAGAAGTAGGAGAAGAAGAAGGACCACCTTCCACCTTAAAACCTCCATCTTGCTCTATATATATTGCTATATTCTAAAACCTCAAACTCTGAGTTTTCCACCCTGTGGTGGAAAACCCTTCTATCCAAACTCCACACACACAATCCCAGTTCCATCATTCCATTTTGGAAGCTTCTCCAAGGCCCCAGGTCAACGCAGTGTTCTCCTGGGGGTCAGGGCCTGTCAGCACAGAAAGTCTGAAATTCTCAGTGACCAGGGTTCCAACACTCAGCCCTGCCCAGCAGGACAGGGCACACCTGGGCTGCTGCAGGCACATGTTTGTCACTGCCCTCTGGGAATTGCCAGGGCCAAGCTGTGGCAATCTCTGCTGAAGGATTTCACAAGCAGTTTTGAGGCTGTTTACTCCCCCACCAAGATAAAAATCTTGCTCTGGTCTTTAAAGTCACCACAAAAGCCACTTTAGCTGGTTAAGGCAATTGATTTGGAGCCATTTGGCTTCAAATAAGCCAACTTCTGCTCTTGGGGACTCTGCTGGACAGGCTCAGTCAGCTGCAGATGTGTCACTGGAGGAATTGAGCCAGAGAAGGGATCACATCTGCTCCCATCAAGGAAAGAAATAAACTCTGTGATGCAAGAGTAAGCCAGACTGTCCTCACAGCTTCGTGCAGCTGCTGCACCCCAGCAGGGCCAGGCTGAGCCAGAGCCACCAGCCTGTGACAGATGACAGCCATCGTGGCAGTCCCAGTGCTGGCAGCTGGTGCTGCTGGGTGCTGTGAGGGTCTCCTTGTGCAGCTGCTGGAGCTTGGCAAGGCTAGGAGGGCAAGGCTTTGCAGGCCACAAACGGGTCTTGAAAGGCATCAAACAGAGCAATATGGGGCACCAGGATGGTGACATGAGGTTGAAGAGCCTGATTATGTACATATCTTTCTTCTTAGGGACACAGCCAGTCTCACACCATGACACTGACATTGCCCTGGGGTCAGCAAAGCAGCCTTTCCACAGGAAAGGTTTCTCCCTGCCCTTCCTAGCACATTTCTTTTAGGCAAAACCCTGTTTTGTGCTGCTTTAGTAAGAAAAGAGAAGGGAGGGATGAAAATCACGTTGTGAAATCTGGAAAGAGTCTTCCACTGTGGCACAGCTTTTGTTTTTGACAAGCACAGATCCATTGGGAAGCATCAAGCTCCCTTTCTTTCATCCTCCTTGGTTCTGAATGCACGAAAAACTCAGCGCTCTTGAAGGCAGAAATTGTCTTCCTGAGGTTCAGGACTGAGTCAAAGCTCCATGAAACAAGTTCCTTTTAGTTTAAGAAAGCTTAATTAACTAGACAAGTTTACAGAAACCTTGCCAAGCTCGGATGATCTATGGCTGCAATTGATGTTTGCGCCGACCGCTTTTGACATGTCAGGAGCTAACGCTTCTCGCTGTAGGCATCTGGATGTTTCCCTACTTAGCTGTGTTCTGCTGCTCCCATTTCTGCCTGGCACCAGAACAGCTCTGCTCTGAGGCTGAGCCAACTTTTGGTTGGCAGCACACGCTGCTGCTTGGCAGGAGTGGGAGCAGTTTCATCCCGGAGACTGTCCAGAGCCTGCTCCACAACCCCATCCCTGAGAGGCTGCGTGAGATCCAGAGGTTTCTTTTTATACCCCACTTCCCAGCCCAGCAGTGGCCTCTGTGCTGAGCTATTTCCATCCTTTCCCACTGCAGATCCCCCTCCTCAGCAGGGATGCAGTGCCAGGAGCTGGTGGGGGCAGGCAGGGGCCAGCTGTGTGTGCAGATGTGTCCCACAGGATCCTAACCAGGCTGCCTTTTCCAGGGATAGAGATGGAGATTGTGAACAGCTGTGAAACCAACAATGGGGGCTGTTCCCACACGTGCCACCACACCAGCTCTGGCCCAGTCTGCACCTGTAACTTTGGCTTTAGGCTGGAAGAGGACCAGAAGTCGTGCACTGGTAAGGAACAGGAAAAAGCCAGACCTTGATTTCCAAGCACATCCCAGATAATGGTGAGGATCCCTCTTGGGATCTTAGGTCAGGATCCCTCTTGGCTACTGTGTATGTGCACTTCAAACAGGCTAAAGAGGATAGAAACTGATGGAAAGTGAGAGCAGATGAAATGTTGCTCTGCTCAAAGATATCCCCAAACTTCCCTCAGGCTGTACTTGGACAGCACTTGTGACTTGGACAGTAATTATGACTTCCAAACTAATTAGTTTTTCCCGGATGAAACTGCCCCAAGCAGGAGTTAGTCAGCCGGAATCACCCTGCTTGTAAGGACACCTGTAACCACAATCCCCAGCTGGGAATCACAATGAACTTCCCTCAAGGATTCCTCCCTGGATGGGGAGGATGATCTGTTAACACGAAGCTCCCTGATTTCAGGAAGAACTCGAGAATTCTGGCTCAGCATTTGGCAGCAGAGCAGTAAAATCTCCCCAGAACGAGTCAGGGAGCGGTTTACAGCTCCTGCCACCACTCTGCAGTGTATTAACACCCTTTGTTTCTCGTTTAGATATCAATGAGTGTGACACGGGTTCTCACTGCTGTCAGCAAGACTGTTACAATTACCCTGGGGGCTACGAGTGCTCCTGCCATGCCGGGTACAGGCTCAGCACGGATGGCTGTGGCTGTGATGGTGAGTGCCAACTCTAGAGGTACCAGCTTCAGATGTGCCAGAACAGGGCAAGATCAGTGCTGCAAACCCGAGAGCCACAGAAAGTTCTGGTTTCCCTTTGCTGCTGCAGAGGTCCTGTCCCCCTGTTTACCTGTCCCATTGTTCACCTCCCAGGGACCTTGCAGAGATCCTGTCCCCCTGTCCCTGCTCCCAGGGACCTTGCAGAGGTCCTGTCCCCTTTCACCTCCCAGGGACCTTGCAGAGGTGCTGTCCCCCTGTCCCTGCTCCCAGGGACCTTGCAGAGGTCCTGTCCCCCCGTTCACCTCCCAGGGACCTTGTCTGGTCCCTGCTGTGACGCTGTCCCCTCTGTCCCTGCCCCGCAGCCATCGAGGACACGGTGGAGGCCCTGGATGGCCGGCGCCCCGTCATCCGCCCCATCCCTCACGTGGCCATCCTGCGGGATGAGTTCACCCAGCTCTTCAACGACGACTACGAGGAAGAGGAGGAGGAGGTGGAAGCACGAGGGGAGCACACGCTGTCAGAGAAGTTCGGTGGGTGCAGCAGCGGTCAGTGCTGTGCTTTGCTTTGCTTGGAGCTCTTCAGGAATGACGGTGCAGGCTGGGTTTAATTGTTTGGTGAACACAGCAGGCCTGCTGAGTGCCTTTTCTGCATTTAGCTCTGCTGCAGCCTCCACTTGGGGAGGCTCCAAACTGCCCAGGCTGCTGCAGCAGCCTCGGGGAGGTTCTCACCCGTGGTGCCTTGTGGTAATCACGTATCTTGTGAACAGAGAGAGAGCTAGTTCTCTCCCAGGATTTTCCTGAGAAGCTGTGAGAAAGCTCAAAGAAAAGAATTAGAAACAATTCTTATCTCCATTTATTACACTTGTTGAGTCAGTGATGTGCAGAAAAGTGCACATGTGAACTGTGTTATGGAGATTATTTAGCAAAGGGTAATTTCTTAATTGGACACTAGTGATGGTATTTAGATTGACTGACCAATTAGGTCAAAGCTGTATCAGACTGTCTGTAAGGATTATGGTGTATTATTCACATGCCCTCTGAACAGAGAGGAGCTGTGAGAGAAGCAGAGAAAAGAATGATCAAAACAATTCTTATCTCATTTGCTTCTCCTGTGTTTGTGCCCATGTGGAATGTGTTCTGTTGTTTACCTGAGGCGATTGCTGGATTGGATTCTGGTGATGGTGTTTTGGATTCATTGACCAATTGGATCCATGTGTGCGTGTCGGGACTCTCGGGCAGAGTCATGGGTTTGCTAGTTAGTTAGTGATAGTTCTTGTTAGTGGAATAGAGTTATAGTGTAATATAGTATAATAAAGTTATTAATTAGCCTTCTGATATCATAGAATTCTATGCATCATTCTTCCTGCCCATCAGGCATCATAGCACCGATTTTATAGGCTTTTTAATAGTATAGTATAGCTTAATAAAACAATTAATCAGTCCTCTGCAATCATGGAGTCAATGCTAATTATTGCCCGTTCAGGGGACCGTTACTACGATAGTGCCTCTCGTTGCAGTCTGCCTGGAGCACACGTTTGGCCCCGAGTGCAGCCTGACCTGCGACGACTGCCAGAACGGAGCCACGTGCGGCGCCGAGGGCAGCGGCTGCCTCTGCCCGGCCGGCTGGGCTGGCCTGCTCTGCAACCAGAGTGAGTGCAGCTCTGTCCTCTGCTCCAGGCTGTGCAGTGGCTGCAGCCCTCACCTCTCTCTCCCTCCCCAGCTTGCCCAGCCGGCACCTTCGGCGTCAACTGCAGCCAGAGCTGCCGGTGCCAGAACGGCGGCACCTGCGACCCTGCCAGCGGTGCCTGCCGCTGCCCGCCCGGCGTGGCCGGAGAGCTCTGCCAGGATGGTGAGTCCAGCGTCCCCTCAGCCTCTCTGTGGTGCTGGGGGCCATCCCTGTCCTCCTCCTCCTCCTCCTTCTCCTTCCTGGTGTCAATGTCTTAGCAGAGATTTGCCACCACTTGATGTGGTGCGAGTTTTCCCCAGCCAGCTCCCAGCACTGCGCCGGGAGTGGGCTGTTCCCTGAAAGCAGCACAGTCTGGGATACAGAGGACACAGAGGACAGCCTTGACCTCTCAGAGCCCTGTGGGTGGGTTATTTCTGTCCCAGCCAGCGGAGTTGCTGGTGACAGTGAGTGCAGAGCTGATGGATGCCCTGGAGCACCATGAAGTGACATCCCCTGTGACACTGCGCAGCTGATTTGGAGCTGGTGCAGGGAATCTGATCTCTCTCCCCCTGTAGGGCTTAAACCCTATGGCAGAAGTTGTTAAGTGTCCAGAGCAGGAGCAAGGATAAGGGAGAGGCATTCAGAATGGTTTCCAAAAGGATTTATTCCATGTAAGGGTCAGGGACCAAAGACACAGAACGACGATGGTGTGTAAGGGTTTTTAAACAGGGGCGGTTTAAGGGGAGGGGATAAATCAGCAGCTAATTGGAGATATCCTGGGGAGGGGTAAAGGGCAGGTTCACAAAAGCATCTTCCAGTTACAGATTTAGGGGAGGGGTTTGGGGTGATACTGAACTTTAGGGGATTTCTGAAAGGGAATTCCAAGCAGAGGGTTGGCACCAGGTAGGATTGACAGGGAACTCAGGGTAGATCAGCAGCATCTTCCAGCTCTCTTGTTGAGCCATCCCAGTGAGAGCAGCTCCAACACATTCCTGCTCCATCTGAGTCCATCAGCCACTGAGCCTTGTGTGGAAAAATGTCATTTTAAACAGCAAATGGAGTGGTAAATGGCACTCTTCCCCCACAAAACAGTGCTACAGGTGTTCTGTCTTTGCACTCAAAGACCTTTGCAGTCCCTGTTCTCTGCTCATCCATGACTGGGGGCAGGGATCTCTATTTCATGGGGCATTCAGTGGCAGACACAAAAGAATGTCAAACCCACAATTTCCATGGTTAATTTCCATGGAAACTGTGGAGGTATTTTCCACCCAAAGCATTGGAAAGCTGTGACAGCAGTAGTTACCCAAAGTACCCAGAGTACCCAAAGGAGGTGTCACTGCTGGTGATGCTCATTTCTTGCTCCCAAAGGGTTAAAATTCGGGGGACATAATTTGAAAACCAGAAAGAGGGAGACAATCAGAGATTCAGACAAAAGGACTTCAGTCACATGTTGGGAGCATATGGGAACTATTACTGAAGGAGGAGAGTGAAGCAGAATGCAAATGAACACAAGAGATACCCCGACCTCTTCTTTCTGTAGGAAGGAGGTGGTTGAGAGGGACAGAGGGAAAACAGGAAGGTAAAATGAAAATAAACAGTGCAGGATTGCTCTGTTGTCCCAAGGTGGCATTTCCTCTGCTCCTCTGTTCGTAGGGACAAGGCACGTGCTGCTGGGCAGCTGCTGGCCAGAGCACTCTGCTGACACAGCCTGTCTGCCATGTGCTTCCAATATCGAGATCTTTAGCATAACAGAGAAAAAACAATAATTTTATTCACTTAATAGTGCAAATATCCCTGTGGGTTTTCAACAGGAGCAGCCTCGTGGGTTGCTTTCTCACGGAGGACAGACTTGACCTCTCAGAGCCCTGTGGGTGGGTTTTTTCTGTCCCAGCCAGCGGAGTTGCTGGTGACAGTGAGTGCAGAGCTGATGGGTGCCCTGGAGCACCATGAAGTGACATCCCCTGTGACACTGCGCAGCTGATTTGGAGCTGGTGCAGGGAATCTGATCTCTCTCCCCCTGGCTGCATCCCTTCCCTCGCTGCATCCCTGCTCCGGTTCCGAGAACTGAACACAGCTCTGGTTCCGGTGTGTTTCTCTCAATTAAAACAAGCTGCTGAAACTGGCTCATCTTCCCAGGAAACCTCTCTCTGTTACTAGGGTGCCCCAAGGGATTTTTCGGGAAGCACTGCAGGAAGAAGTGCAACTGTGCCAACCGGGGTCACTGCCACCGGATCTACGGCGCCTGTCTCTGCGATCCCGGCCTGTACGGCCGGTTCTGCCACCTGGGTACGCTCGGATTATCCCTGAATTCCAACCCTTCTGGCAAGGAGCTTTCTGCCCCTCGCTGACCAGCTCTTCCCTGTCCCTGCAGCGTGCCCCAAGTGGGCGTTTGGGGCCGGCTGCTCAGAGGAGTGTCGGTGCCTGCAGCGCAACTCGCGGGACTGCGACGCCAGGGACGGCTCCTGCCGCTGCAAGCCCGGCTACCGCGGCCAGCGCTGCCAGGACAGTGAGTGAGGCACAGGGCCACACCTTCAGATGGCTTGGAAAACACCTCTGAGGTCGTCAAACCCAACCTGTGACCCAACACCACCTTGGCACCCAGACCGTGGCACTGAGCGCCGCATCCAGGCTTTTCTTAAACACCTCCGGGGATGGGGATGCCACCACCTCCCTGGGCAGCCCATTCCAAAGCCCACTCACCCTTTCTGTGAAGAATTTCTTTCTAATGTCCAGCCTAAACCTCTCCTGGTGCAGCTTAAGGCTGTGTCTTCTTGTTCCTGATCCCCCCTGGCTGCACCCTCCTGGCAGGGAGTGATGAGGGCTGTGCTGAGCCTCCTCTTCTCCAGGCTCAATAACCCCAGCTGCCTCAGCTGCTCCTCACAGGATTTGTGTCCCGGACCCCTCACCAGCCTTCTTGCCCTCCTCTGGACACGCTCCAGCCCCTCCATGTCCTTCCTGAATGGGGAGCCCAGAACTGGACACAATACTCGAGGTGCGGCCTCACCAGGGCTGAGCACAGGGGAAGAATCCCTGCCCTGCTGCTGCTGGCCACACCATTCCTGATCCAGGCCAGGAGCCATTGGCCTTCTTGGCCACCTGGGCACACTGCTGGCTAATGTCCAGCCTGCTGTCCATCAGTGCCCCCAGGTCCCTTTCTGCCTGGCTGCTGTCCAGCCACTCTGTCCCCAGCCTGTAGCACTGCAGGGGTTGTTGTGGCCCAAGTGCAGGACTCAGCACTGGGACTTGTTAAACCTGGATGTGTCCCATCTATCCAGCCTGTCCAGGTACCCCTGCAGAGCCCTCCCTCCCTTCAGCAGATCCACACTCACACACTGGTGTCATTCTGTCCCGACAAAGCATCCCCAGATCATCCCCCTTTTTCCTCCCACGGCCTCTTTTCCCCATTAACTTTCTCAGGGAAAAGCTCTGCTTGCTTTCCACCCTCCCAGACTGTCTCACCTCCTGCTCACTCAGAAGCACACCGTGCTCACACTCAGCCACGTTGAGTGGTCAGCAGGAGCTGTGTGGTGGGTGGGGACAGCTGTGACAGTGGCTGGTGGGACAGCTGTGACAGTGGGATGTGGGACAGCTGTGACAGTGGCTGGTGGAGCTTGGAAGGGTTCTCAGCACCCAGGGGCAAGGAGTAACTTCAGAGCTTCTTTCTCTCTAATTCTGGCTGTTCACAGGCTGTGACCCTGGGTTTTATGGGGATGGCTGCAAGAAGAAGTGCAGCTGCTCTCCAGGAGTGCCCTGTGACCCTGTCACCGGGGAGTGTCACAAGGAGTGTCCCCCAGGCTACCACGGCGAGCACTGCGACCAAGGTGAGGCAGGGCCCTGCAGGGCAGCTCTGAGTGTGCTGGAAACTCACCAGTCCTCAGCATTTTGCATCACAAAATGACACAAAAGCACTTCCAGAATCCCCTGAGAGCCCCAGCCCACTGCAGATGATCTGATGGGTGGCCAGCAGAAACTTCAGGGGACACAGGAGCTGCCATCCACAGGTCTCTGTGAGACACTGCTGCCTCTGGAAAGTGGGAGAGAGAATTCCTGGTATAAGATTCAGAAAAGGAGAACAAGGTTTCTCTTCACCCTGCCACTGGACATCTCTGTGTGGGTAGATGGAGGTGATTGGGATCTAATTATCTTTCCCTGGCCTTGATGTCTTTTCCCTTCCAGGCAATCCCTGCCCAGCACAACCAGTATCACATTTTCTGCTCTGTTCTCTAATTTTTTTTTGAAAACTCTGTTTCCTCTGCAAGTGCAAAGGAGAATTTTACCTTTAATTTACATTAGGATTCAAACTTCTGCCTCTGTATGAACCTCCTAGAGCAGTTTTGTGCTCTTCCATGCAGGGCCAGTTGATGGGATGGTGACTGAGCTGCCCAGCTCTGTGGATGTCTAACTGTCCAACACTCAGGGTGCAGATTTCAAGATTCTGGGGGTGGTTTGTGTGCCAGAGAGCTTCACTTTGGGCAGACAAAGGTGCTTTGAGAGAACCTAAAGGCAGTGAGTCATTGGCCCGAGGTGATGATTACAAAATATGAACGCAGTGTTTGGAAAAGAATACATTCTGCCAACCACAGAGCTGAGTGGCGACTGAAAAGTCAACCCACTGCTGCCCTTGTCAGGCTGGGGCCTCCTGAACCCCCTTCAGCTGGTTAGGACCTGCAGAAAATGCAAAAAGTTAGACATTTGGAGACAGACTGCAGCAGCAGCAGACGCTGCATGGAGAGGTTGGAAGTGGCCAGCATCTGGATTTGGACTGGAGCATCCCAGGAGCTTCTGCACTAACTGATGTTTAGCCAAGCACTGCTTCACCCCAGCCCAGAAGCTGCAACCATCAGCCTCATTGATCTGCCAGCAAAGGGTCGTGGTGCAGAGCCCCATCTCTGACAGAACAAGAGCTGCAGAAAGCAGCAAAAATCCCGATGCAATTGCTAACCACAGTGCTGGAGGGAGAGATGGGAGCAGCTCCTGCAGGGCTGTGCTCCCTGGCAGGGTCTGACAGCCCTGAGCCCCCCGTGGGGGGATGCTGTGGCCCCTGGAGCTTTGTCAGGCTGGGTGCTCCCGCTCAGGATATTTTTAAAAAGGGTAAGAAAGGAGCTGAAGGCTGTAGGGGGGAGTCACAGGAAATAACACAAATATTTGTATAGAAATAGTAGGCTCTTGGCTGTTGTTCGGATCTGGAAATTATTAAAGGGTGAAGACAAACATCTGCCATCAATTAGCAAAGAGGAGGAATAACAAAAACTCCACTGTGTCACTGGAAATGGAGGCGCTGCGTTTCCTCCGCGGTTTGTCGGTGCCGGCGTGTTCCCCTCTGCTGAAGCTTTTCAGAACATTGGCTTTGGTGAGCGTGGAGCTCTCATGGGGGACTCAGAGAGGATTTAAGGATCTTTGCTGTGGAGCCCTCAGTTTGCATGTCACCAGCTCGTTGCTAAATTGTGGCACGGGATGCAAAGATCAAAGCGAGCTGGGATCAGCAGAACCACGCTGGCATCAGAGCAGAGGGAAGGAAAAGCACTTATTGCTCCTCTGGATGAGGATGTTCCTTCTTTCCTTCTTTCCATCTGTGTCCTGCTGCAAACCTGGCTGCTTCTTAAAATCCTGCTGCTCAGATCCTGGAGGCATTCAGCCAGAGGGGTAAAAACCCCCAGAGCACCTTGGAAAAGCCAAGGGTGGTTTGGTGTGGGGCTGTGACCCTGGTGTTCTGCACCCCAGCCCAGAGACAGCAGCGTGCCTTGGCCAGAGTCCTTGTCCAAAGACTGGAGATCAGTCTGGCCTCAGTTTTTGTGGGTGTGAGTGGTCACTCTTGCATGAAGAAATACTTGTTGAAAGGACACACATCAGGCAGACAGACCAGGTGGTGGTGGCAATGCTGGAGGTGACCAGAGTGGCTCACAGAGGGGTCACATCTCTAAATCACTAATGTTGGAATCACTAATGTTGGAAAAGACCTCAAAGATCACCAAGTCCAACCTTTGAGCAAGCACCAAATGTTGGAAAAGATCTCCAAGATCACCAAGTCCAACCTTTGAGCAAACACCACCATGCCCACTAAACCATGAGCACAGGTGGGAACCTCTCACAGCTGTGGGAACCCTCCACAGACCCAGAGGCTCCTTCAGCCTGCAGGGCCAGGTTGGTAAAATGCTCTTGGGTATCTTGGGGAGGATGTTCTGACCTTGCTGTTCTCCCACAGAGTGCCCTGAGGGGACATTTGGGCCAGGCTGTCAGCATCCCTGTGCCTGTGGAGAAGCATCCTGTGACAGGAGCACGGGGCAGTGCCACTGCCCCCCTGGCTGGACAGGACACGACTGTGCCCAAGGTGAGCACGGGCAGCAGAGCAAACACTCAGGGATTTCAGTGTGGAGGGAGGGATTTAGGTGTAGACCTGTTGCTTTTCTTTTACTAAAACTCATTTTAAAAACACCCAGTGCAGTTAGAATCATCTTTGTGGAAAATTAGAGAAAATTGCAGCTTTTGATGGTGAGTCTTGAACAACACGATGAAAAAGATGAAGATGTTTTTTGTTGTTGCAGTCCTCAGTGCAGGAGAGGAACCTTTCTTTATTGATGCATGTTTTTCATTGCCTTCACCAGATTACTCTTTAACTGCTGGAAAACTAGAAAGTCTGAAATGGAAAGCTTTTGCATGATTCTGCAGTATTGCAGCAGCTGGAAGGAATTAGTCACATAGAGATGTCCTGCTCCTAAAGAGTTTGGCTGAGCAATGAAACTACGTGTGCACAGTGCTTACCATACGTTTCAAGCTGCCTTTTTTCCAGGCCCTGGAGCAGCTTAGGACCAGTTGGAGAAGGATTCCTGCCCTGGTTTTAGCAGTTTAGCCTTTTGCTCCTTCTTTGCAGCTCCCAGTGGGTCCCAGAGCAGTGACTGATGTGCTGTCCACGGTGTGACGGCAGCTGTGGAGCCCCTGTGCCAGCAGCACCATTTCCCACTGAGGAGCCCTTGGAGCTCCCTGCAAGTGGCTGCAAATCCAAAATTGGCATGAAAATCCTGGAGTGAGCTCAGAATAGCACTTAGAGACAGGCAGGGCCATGCTGTGCTCGCTGGTAGCCACGTGCTGCGAACAAAATCCACGTCTCGCATGAGCGCAGCACTGACGGCCAGAGGGAGCCCAAAAGGTCTCACATTTCCCTCTGCCACCTCAGCTCTGATCCTGGTGCTCTGTGTTCTCTGTCTGCTCACGCTCCAGCCTGCCCTGAGGGTCTCTGGGGGCCGGGCTGCCAGGAGATCTGCCCTGACTGTGCCAACAACGCCAGCTGTGACCGCGCCACCGGAGCCTGTCTGTGCCCACCTGGCTACACCGGGCAGCGCTGCCAGGATGGTGAGTGCAGCCTGGGCTGGGTTCCTCACCTCCAGCTGCAATGGGGGTATCTCAGCCGAGCTGGAGCATCCAGTGACCGACCAGGCACTGCCACCCTCAGCACTGTGCACATCTCTGTTCCTCACTCATTGGGGTGCAGCCTGGGGCCTTCAAAGTCCTTCTAGCCCATCTCCACTGCAGTGACTTCTGCAGCAGGGGAAAAGAAGGCAGAATGCTGAGCCCGTTGTCCCGTTCAGCACCTGCACTCGGGGTGTCAGGGCTGTGTCAGTGCTCTGCCGGAGCACCGCGGCACCCAGCAGCTCCACCTGGGGCTGGGATTCCAGCAGCCACCTGCAGTCCCTCCTGTTTCCCTTGGCAGTGTGTCCAGCCGGCTGGTTCGGCCCTGCCTGCCAGCTGAGCTGCAGCTGTGGCAACGAGGGACATTGCCATCCGGTGACGGGGACGTGCAGCTGCCCGCCCGGCTGGACGGGGCACCACTGCCAGCGAGGTACAGCCCCTGTGCTCTGCCACCCCCACTCCTGGGCCACTCTGGCCGTGCCAAGCTATGCTGCCACCTCCCCATTCTCATCCTCGTCCTGGCCGTGCCTCTGCCAGGGAAACGCCACTCTGGCCGTGCCAAGCTATGCTGCCACCTCCCCATTCTCGTCTTCGTGCCGTGCCTCTGCCAGGGAAATCGCTCTGAAATCCTTTTGGTTTCTTTGCTGTCTGTCTTGTGCTGGCAGTGCCGCTGGCCTCTCTGCAGCTGTGTTGGTCGTTGTGCCCAAGGGATGTTGTGCCTGCTGATGAAGGCATCGCTGTGCCCATCCCGTGCTCTCTGGTACTCACCAGTGATGGCTCTTGCTGTGTTTTTCCAGCCTGTGACCTGGGGCGTTGGGGCCCTGACTGTGCCCACGCCTGCAACTGCAGCAACAGCGACGGCAGCTGCAGCGCCGAGAGCGGGCAGTGCCTGTGCGAGGCCGGCTACACGGGCACCCACTGTGAGCAGAGTGAGTGCTGCCCCTGCCCTGCCTGCCCTCTCACCCACCAGGGCCTGCAGGGCTTCCAGGGAAAGGCTCCAGCCCATCCCCTGCCCTGGCTGTGGTGCTGATCCCGTGCCCAGGGTGATGTGGGTACACACCTGTAAGGGGTGGGTTAGAACCCGCTGGTTGTGGGTTCAGCTGTCAGATATTTTTATTCCATTCAGAATGCAAGCTCCTGCCTTAGATAGCTTCTCTGGGATCCAGGAAGGGACAAACTCCTCAGTCTCATTTTTTTCCAGAGTGCCCAGAAGGGTGGTTTGGGCAGAGCTGTCGGCACCAGTGCCAGTGTGACAATGGAGCCACCTGTGACCACGTCAGTGGGGCCTGTACCTGCAGCCCAGGCTGGCGAGGAACCTTCTGTGAACATGGTGAGTTCCTGACCCTGGGCACCAGGCCTCCATCCCAGAGGCTTTGTGCTCCCTGTCTGACTTTGTTATCCTGTTACAGCAAAGGGAATTCCTCAGGATGGCCCTGGGCGGAGCAACAAGTCTGCAAGCTGCTGCCTTTGGTTTTATTTCTGGAGGGAAAAGGTTTAGGGGGAAAAAAGCACTACGAAAATGTAAATAATAGGTGACCCAGTGGTTGCACAGCTGCTGTGGTCACCTGAGTGTGTACATGTTGCACACAGAGTCTTGGAGCAGCCTCTTGGAGGATCCCTGGATGCAGGGATCCAGCTCCCCCAGCAGCCTCTCCATGGTCAGGAACCTCAAGCCATCACTCTCCTGATCCACCACTGCCCTCTCCTGTACCTGGAATGTCCACAGTGAACTTGCATCCAACATTTGCTGCCCTCAGCAGCACTGTCACACTGGTGCAGCCTCACGTTGGCCACAAAGGCCACCAAGGGGCAGGCACCTTCTCCCCCTGGAGGGCTCCAGCTCTGCATTTTGTGTGGATTTCTCCTTTGTTTTCCACAGCCTGCCCTGATGGATTTTACGGACTGGAGTGTCGACAAGCCTGTGACTGCCTGAATGGTGCCCACTGTGACCCTGTGACCGGACAGTGCCAGTGTCCCCCAGGCTGGACTGGTGCCCGCTGTGCCCAGGGTAGGTGTCTGTGGGAGATGCCCACCCTGCCCTCCATGGCACTCTGGAGCCAGGGCTGTCTCTGTTTCCAGGTCATAGGAACCAGAGTTCTGGGTTGTCCGTTCCCTATTTGTGATTTTCTCTGTGTGCAGTTTAATTTGGGTTAAGACTGGGGGGGCTCTGCCTGGGCATTTGTGGTTGGATGCAATGAGGGTTTGGGCATCCAGAAAAACTGCTTCCAAACAAATGAAAGATGTAACAGTGATGGTAGCAGTGTCTGTGTTCGGATGCCAGGTCTGTAGGACACATTATTTCCCTGTAACCCCACAAAACCCTCTCACACAGCAGCCAGCCACCCCTGACACATCCTCTCCCAGCCCTTGGCAGGGTTGGCAGGAGCCTGGCTGCTGTAATTCCCACCCTGTGCCCACCACTCCTGCCTGCTGTGCTCCCCTGCAGCGTGCCCGGAGAACAGGTACGGCCAGAACTGCAGCCTCACCTGCCACTGCTTCAACAACGCCACCTGCAGCCACATCAGCGGCCTCTGCCTCTGCTCCGAGGGGTGGACAGGACCCTCGTGCCAGCAAGGTAACCCTTCCCACACCCCTGCTTCCCCTGGCAGCACGGGGAGGGATGCCACTCCTCGGGGTGGGCGAGGAATGGTGCCCACCCGTGTCGCTGTGTTCGCGGGTCCCAGGACAAGGGAAGAGATGAATCTGACTCCATGTTTCTTAGAAGGCTGATTTATTATATTATGATATTGTGTTATATTAAAGATGCTGTACTAAAGCTATAGTAACAAGAATAGAGAAAGGATTTCATCAGAAGGCTAGGAAAGGAAAGGAGTCAATAAAATCTCCTGACAGACAGCGATTCCGACACAACTGGCTGTGATTGGTCATTAAGTAAAAACAATCCACATGAGACCAATCAAAGGTGCACCTGTTGGTAAACCAGACCACGTTCCACAGCCATCAGATACTTATTGTTTACATTTCTTTTCTGAGGCTTCTCAGGAGAAAAATCCTGGCAAAGGATTTTTCAGAAAATATGACAGTGACACACCTGAGCAGGTGACATACCTAAAGTTGTCATTGCATCAAAATCAGTGTTGCTGCATACCAGACCATCCACCCACGGCTCTGGCAGCGTGGCACAAGCCTCCAGAGCTGTGTCCTGACCGGGATGTCTGTCCTGTTTGTCCCTCAGCCTGCCCGGAGGGGTTTTATGGGAAGAACTGCCAGCAGCGCTGCCTCTGCCACAACGGCGGCACCTGCGACCCGGCCACGGGGACCTGCGCTTGTCCTGCGGGCTGGACCGGGCTGGCCTGCGAGCTGGGTGAGGAAACAGCTGGGAAACAGCTCTGGGGCACACAGGGCCTGGTTTGGAATGGCTTTCTGATGGTTTTCAGCTTGCTTTTTCTACCTCTGTCGGGTCAGGATTCACTTGAGACAATAGTTGGCGTTCAGGCGTAGATGTTTATTGTTTGTTGTCAATGTTACAGCCTCACAGCAGTGAGTTCTGGTAACAGTGAGTTTTTTTTCACTAACAAGGCACAAAATGGCCAACTATCCCTTGTTACAAGGTCTTTTAAGGATAAACTATCCAATTAAGAAATGACACCTAAATTATTTTCGCTTTTAACCCAATAACTGATCACTCAAGAGTCCGCAATGTGGACTTTTCTGTCCAGCTACAAAATACCACCCAAACCCATGGAGAAGAAGGAAGAAGGGGGTAAAGAAGGATGACCAGCCTCTGGCCTGGAACCTCCATCTTTCTTTATATGTATTCCTATATTCTAAAACCTTAAACTCTTAAATTTTCCACCATGTTATATTATACACTTCTAATCAACTCCACACCCATAATCCCAATTCTATCAACCAATTTTGGATGCTTCTCCACGGCCTCAGGTCAAATGCGGTGTTCTCTAGGGAGTCAGAGTCTGTCAGCACAAAAAGTCTAAAATTCTCAGCATCCCGAACTCCACCAGTTTTCCTGTGGAGGTTGGAGGTGACGCGCGAGGGGTTGGGGCGCTCGGTCCTTCCTGTGTGTGCAGGGAGGGTGGGAGCTGGGAGGGTGGGCACCAGGGCAGTGTCTCACCCTGTGCCCCTGCCAGCCTGTGCCCAGGGGCAGCACGGCCTGGAGTGCCAGCAGCGCTGTGAGTGCCAGCACGGGGGGCTCTGTGACCGCCGCACCGGGCACTGCCTCTGCCAGCCCGGCTGGACCGGCGACAAGTGTGACACAGGTGAGTGGGGTGTCTGGGGGCTGAGCTGGGCATCGTGGCTCTGCCAGCACCTGGAGGATCTGGGGGCTCAAGCACAGACAGAGAATTCAGATTTCAGCAAGCAGGGAGCTGGCAGTGCGGTGGTTTTGGCTGTGCCCCTGTTTTGCTGTGCCCTTTCTCCTTCCATCGAGTCACAGAGGGGTTTGGGTAGGAAGGGACTTTAAAGTTCATCCAGTTCCACCCCACCTGGTTCCTGTTGTCTGAGGGCTGTCCTGAAGGTGCTGGTGCACACCCCAAGCAGCCTGTGGCAGTGCTGGTGGGAGGGGGATGGCATTCCCAAAGGCACAGACCCCCAGGCAGCAGTGCAAAACCACAGGCTGCAAGCAGGGATCAAGGCAGGGCAGCAACCCAGCGTGAGGAAACCAAAATGCCAAGGGAGGACCTTCCTCTGCCAGGATTATTTTAAGAGTAACAGTGGATTGTCCCCTTCCCACTCTTCCTTCTTGTCCTTGTATCACACTGACCCTCAGGGCCTGGCTTTGGTCCCAAGCCCCAGCAGGCCATGGCATCTGTCCCTTGGTGGCTCCATGTCTGCTGTGACACACACCCTGGCTGTGGGAAATGGATTTGTAAAGAATTCTTAAAACTAGTTTCTAATTCAATCTCTCAATAATTGATAATAGAATAAAATCTTTTAAAACATCTCTCAATTAGCCCATCTCTGTAAAAGCTGAGAAAATAAACTCCTGGCAATCTCCTTCTCTGAGGAAGGGATTGAAAAATCTTTTGGCCTTCAGTGACAGGGACCTCATCACATATCAGCACACCAAGCAGAGATCCACAAGCTTCCTCCCTTCTGGGGTCATGACACCTCAGCTTGGCACCTCCTTAAATCAGGGTGTGAAGTGCAGTGGCAGCACTTGGCAGCTGGCACAAGGGAGCTGCCACCAGAGCCTCAGCTGCTCCCAGCCACTCTCAGGTTTCCTGCTGGGGATGTTTTTCCCTTCAGGAGGCTGTGAACAGCTCTGCTGGCAGCTGAGGCTTGGCCACACAAATCACCTCCCTGGGTCCTGCCGCATCCTGAGGGACAGTGTCCCCTCCCAGCATTGTCACAAGGTCCCAGAACCCCACACAGCAGCACGGGGCACCAGGCAGTGTTAAGCACTTCTATAGTTTCTTCCAATATAAATTAATGAAGAAACCCACCCAAAAAGTAGAAATTATGCTGTTTTTTATAAAAAAGAACCAGACTAGGGTCCTGTCAGCTCCCCATGGCTCTATTTCAAGCTGTGTGTGCACAAGAGACAGACCCAGTCAGCTGTGGAACTACAGGGGAAAAGCCCCCAAAAGTATTTTTTTTTTTTTGTGCAACTTGTCCTCTCTGTTTTCATCCCTGAAGCTTGTCCAGAGGGGCTGTTTGGGGCACGCTGTGAGGAGCTCTGTGACTGTGGGGACAACGTCTCGTGCCACCACGTCACCGGTGCTTGTGACTGCCCCCCTGGCTGGAGGGGCCGGCGCTGTGAGAAAGGTGAGGAACACCCCTGGGTGAGGGAAACCCAGGGAAACATCAGCTGCTCCAGAGCCTGGGAAGAGGGAAACTTCATTTTTCATGAGAGTTACACGTTGTGGCAAAGTATTTTGAGGCTGTGACATGAGATGCTGTTGGGTTGGTTTGGCGCTGGGGCAGGAGCCCCTCAGAGGAGGCTCTGATGGTTTCCAGGAATTAGCAACAACTTAAATCCAGGCAGAATGCCCATTTTCAGCTTTCTTTTTCCTCTGTCAAGGTCAGGATTGAAGGCATTTGAGACAATGGTTCACGTTCAGACTCAGGTGTTTATTGTTTGTTATCTGTGTTACAGCCTCACAGCAGTCAGTTCTGCAGTTCTTCATTAACAAGGCACAAATGGCCAACAATCTTTCATTACAAGGTCTTTGAAGGCTAAACTATCCAATTAAGAAATGACACCTAAATTATTTTCACTTTTAACCCAATAACTGATCACTCAAGAGTCCGCAATGTGGACTTTTCTGTCCAATTACAAAATACCACCCAAACCCATGAAGAAGAAGGAGAAGAAGAAGGTGAAAAAGGAAGAAGAAGGGAAGAAGAAGGACCAGCCCTCACCCTAAATCCTCCATCTTGCTTTATATTTATTACTATATTCTAAAACCCCAAACTCTAAGTTTCCCACCATGTGATATTACACAATTCTAACCAACTCCACACCCATAATCTCAGTGCTATCAATCAATTTTGGAAGCCTTCTCCACAGCCTCAGGTCAATGCAGTGGGGTCAGCACAGAAAGTCTGAAACTCTCCAGAGCTCCAACAGCAGCAGACTGACATCCCACTGTTTGTTTTCCCACAGCCTGCCTGCCAGGTTTCTTTGGGAAGAACTGTGCCAGTCGCTGTGGCTGTCCCCTGGGAGTGCCCTGTCACCATGTCACCGGCCGGTGCGGCTGCCCGCCAGGACTGACCGGCTCTGGATGTGAAAAATGTACAGAGATGGGAATGATCCTCCTGCAGCTCTGCTGGCAGGCTCTGGGAACGGGATGGGCCAAGCAATTCCTACAGAAAATAGAAGGGGAAAAAAAAAAAAAGATAAGGACAAACAGCCCGAGAGCGAAGCTGTGCCAAGGAGCAACTCCCAGGCTGGCAGCTGGGTGCATGCCTGTGGAATGTTAGCAGGGCAGAGGGAGCCAAGTGGGAAATCAGAGCTGGGTATTTATGCAGAGGATTAGTAATAAATCACTATTAAAATGAGCTCCTGTGGGTATGAGCAAGTCTGGAAGAGACAGAGGTGTGTGAGCACGTTCCTTACGCAGAGGACAGTGCTGGGTGTGCCATGTCTGTGTGTGGAGCCTGCAGAAATGTGAGGGCAGGAAGGGTTGGCACAGCTAAAGTCATCTAATGCCTTTAAGTACTTGCCTTTCCTTTCAATCCAAGTATTTCCTGGAGTGAATGAACCTTTTGCATGAGAGTCTCTTCGCTTTTTGGGTGGCGGAGAATTTTACTGCCATAAAAGGCTTTCTAAATCCGGGCTTAAAATAAAATGTTTTAAAAAAAGCCTTGCAGAGAGGGGTGGGATGGCTGCTGAGCCACCTTGGTGCCCTGTCTCCTCACAGCCTGCCTGCCAGGGACCTTCGGGGAGGGCTGTGCTCAGATCTGCCAGTGCGCCGGAGCCACCCAGGAATGTCACCCTGTCACCGGGGCCTGTGTCTGTCCCCCTGGCTTCCATGGTCCCGCCTGCCAGCTGGGTGAGTCCTGCTCTGCTCCCATCCCCTTTGCAGGCTGTGCCATCCCAAAATCCCGGTGCCATGAGGGATGTGTGTGAGTCCTGGGTGCTTTGGGGCTGGCACAGAGAGCTCCCAGCAGAGCTCTCTGCCTGCTCCCGGGTTAAACATCCGTGCAAATCCACCTGCTGGATTTCCCCGGGCTGTCTGCACCTTCTCCTTGTATTTGTAGCCGCTGTTTGTTGTCCCCTCAGAGTGCTCCCCGGGCTGGTACGGCCGGGACTGTGCGAGGCCGTGCCAGTGCAGGAACGGGGGCAGCTGTGACACTGCCACGGGGATGTGCCACTGCCCGGCCGGCTTCATCGGCGCCGACTGCGCCATCGGTGAGCTCTGCTCCAGCCACAGGGGCTGGGGAAACAGGGGAGCTTCCTCAGGGGGGTCTGACAGGTGGGAGAGGCAGACCCTGCCCGCAGAAAAACCCTGTGGGGGATGAGCAGCAGAACAAGGACTGAATCCTGGGAAAAGCTCATTTGTCCATCTGTCCTGGCAGCAGTGCCCTCCTGCTGTGTCCCAGGGAAGGAGCCTGCAGATGAACGTGTTTTCTGTCTGCCTTAGCCACGGAAATGTTTTCTGCTGTGTTTATTTTATGACAGTATACGTATAGTTTATGATATTTTATGATTTCTCCTGACACACCGTGCCCTCGCTGTACTGCTGTACAGCCACGGCTGGGCAGGGCTGGGAGCAGCCTGGCTTAGTGGGAGATGTCCCTGCCCATGGCAGGGGGGCTGGAAACCGATGATCTTTAAGCTCTCTTCCAACCCAAACCATTCCATGAACCCATGGCACAGCAGGGCAGGGCTGGAGGCTCCTTCTCATCCCCTCGCTCAGCTCCAGTGCTGTGCAAAACTTTCCCTCTCTCACCTCCCACCTCCCCAGCCCTGCTTCAGCCTGATTGAGGTTTTCCTCCCTCCAGGATGTCCTGCTGGCCGCTATGGCCAGGACTGTGCAGGGCTGTGCCCCTGTGGGGCTGGAGTTCCCTGTCACCCTGTCACTGGAGACTGCGTGTGCCCTCCGGGCAGAGCTGGCCCTACTTGTCAGCAAGGCAAGTGTCGTGCATCGGGACTGTCAGGCACTGCTTGGGAAAGGAAATTATTTCCTTGCCCTGAGATCTGTGCTCGTGGTCCCTGTGCCCACCACCGCTGCCTCTGGCCCCGCAGGTTGTGAGAAGCACCGCTACGGGCTGGGCTGCCAGCAGCCCTGCTCCTGCCACAACGGGGGGCTCTGCGACCCCACCGATGGCTCCTGCTCCTGTGCCCCGGGCTGGACGGGCAAATCCTGCGAATTAGGTAACCCTGGCCCGGATCCCTGACCTGCTGACTGTGGAGCTCACACGCTGGGTCCGGTTTCTGTCATCCCAGCTGTGCCAGCCCTGCCTTGGCACAGCCCTCTGGAGGTGGCTGTGGGGCTGCTGAGCAGCTCTGCCGCTCCCTCTGCCCGCAGAATGCCCTCCGGGGAGCTTCGGTGCCGCCTGCCAGCTGCGCTGCTCCTGCCTGCACAACGCCACCTGCCACCCGGCCACCGGCACCTGCCGCTGCCCCGCCGGCCACTACGGGCCCCTGTGCGAGCACAGTGAGTGGTGGCAGCAGGGACACCCTTGGTTTGGGGCATGGCGGGTGTCTAAAGCTCGTCCGGAGAGCCAGGGGTGCTCTGTGGGTGTGACTGTTGCTATAGGACATGAAATAAAACGATGTGGACATGCAGCTTTCCAAGGCAAAAATAAAGAGCTTTTAATTTCAGACTCCGACATTTATAGATTTCCAAAAGTGACAGTGGATTGGAGGGTGATAGTGCCACCGCTCCAATGACACTGGATAAACCATCAGTCTGTCAAATTTCTCCTCCTCCGTAAAAGAATGAAAAACAACAAGTTATTTGCATAAAGTGCGTGAAAAAGTTCATTACAAGAATGCAAACATCAGAAGGCTTAGAAAAATTTAAAAAAAAACGGGGCGACGTGTGACAGCAGTGTCACACCCTGGGGGGCTCTCCCTTTTCCAAGGGTTCGCAGTGAGCCCTTCCAAGGCAGAGGGTGATTTCTGATCCCCGTGTGACCCCGCTGGCACAGCGATGCCATCCCAAGGCACACATGTCCCCAGTGCCCCGCAGTGTTGGGCACCGAGCAAATCCCGTGGCACTGAACGCGGGGCTTGGAGCACCGGGGCGCGAGTCAGGCACAAGCTGAGCTCTCTGCTCCTCCCTGCCAGGTGGCTGGGGCTCTGCTGCAGAGCTCTGCTCACCCCCTCTCTAACAAGCTTCTCCCGTGCCAGGCTGTCCCCCGGGGTTCCATGGAGAGGGCTGCCGGGAGCGCTGTGACTGCGAGCACGGGGCAGGCTGTGACCCCGCCACCGGGCGCTGCCGCTGTCCCCCGGGGCTGCGGGGCGAGCGCTGTCACACAGGTACCCCCGTCCTCCTCCTCCTCCTTCTTGCCCTTCCCTGGGCATCCTGAGGGCTGGGCACACAGGCCAGGGGCTGTATTCTGTGTTTCACACAGGCTGCAAGGAAGGAACGTATGGCGAGGGGTGCCAGCATCTCTGCGACTGCCCCAGCGATGTCCCCTGCGACCCGGTCACGGGGCGCTGCCTGTGCCCCCCGGGCAAAACCGGCCCCACGTGTGCTGCAGGTGAGCTGAGCCCTGGCTGGGCAGGGGAGGAAGGGGCCTGTGTGATGGGGGGTTTGCTCCCAGGAAGCTGGGAGATGCTTTTTTCTGGTGTGTCACCTCACAGAGCGAGAGGGGCAGTGGCATATTGCATTTGTGGGGTTCCCAGACGAAGGAAGGAATGATGAATCTGACTCCATGTTCTTAGAAGGCTAATTTATTATTATATTATATTATATTATATTATATTATATTATATTATATTATACTAAAGAATACAGAAAGGATACTTACAGAAGGCTAAAAAGATAATAATGAAAGCTTGTGACTCCTTCCAGAGTCCCGACACAGCTTGACCCTAATTGGTCAATAAGTCAAAACAATTCACATGAAACCAGTGAAACAACCACCTGTTGGATAAACAATCTCCAACCACATTCCAAAGCAGCAAAACACAGGAGAAGCAAATGAGAAAATGTTGTTTAACCTTTTTCTCTGAGGCTTCTCAGCTTCCCAGGAGAAGAATCCTGGGCAAGGGCATTTTTCCAGAAAATATGACATTGACAGTGGCACTCATCTCTCTGGCCCCTGTTTGCAGTCAGATCTGAATGCAAATTCTCCCCCAGCCTCCAGAGCCCGTGTGTTCAGATGGACACGGTCAAAAGGCTGAGGGTCAAAGGCTGAAGGGACATCCTGGTGGCCTGGGGATGCTCCGGTGTCCTGTGTCACCACAGCAAAAAGCTCTCTGCCCTCTCCTGCACCCGGCTCTGCCTGCAGCATCCCGGGAGAGCTCGGAGCCTTCCTGCTCGCTGCTGCCACGGGCAGCATCCTGAGCAGCTCTGTGCCCTCCGCAGACTGCCGGCCCACGCAGTTCGGCCCCGAGTGCCGCCTGGCATGCCAGTGTGCCCCCAGCAGCTCCTACTGCAACGCCCGGAACGGGCAGTGCCTGTGCCTGAACGGCCACACGGGACCCACCTGCCGGGAAGGTGAGGCCACGGAGGGGACAACGGGGCAGAACCCGAGGGGAGGCTGTGCCCGTGCTCAGGGTGTGGGTCCTGTGCCAGGGGGGTGGGTTTGGGAAGGGTAAATCAGCTCAGTCCAGTCACTTAGGGGAGCACCTGCCTCTTCCCAAGTCCCTCAGTTGGTCTCACCTGTTTGCTGTCACTGCAGCCACCAGGGAGGTTTGTGAAGTCTCAGAATTGAGGCTGTTTAACAGCCTGGACAAATGTGCCCCTGGAACAGCCAGGGCACAAATCCCACTCTGAGCATGAGCTGGAATGTTGATCCCATGCACCAACCACAGTGAAACCCCCACACACCTCATCTCTGCCCAAACCTGTGGGCTCAGAGTGACCCCCGTGGGTGCTGGGTGGGGGGCAGGAGGGTCTGACCCAAACCCAGAGACTGGGAACAGTGCTCCCAGCTCCCAGTGGGGAGGGGAATGGGGAGGAGTCTTGTATTTGCAGGGTTCCCAGACAAAGGAAGGATTGAGAGATCTGACTCCATGTTCTTAGAAGGATAATTTATTATTTTATTATCTATATTATATTAAAGAATACTAAACTAAACTATACTAAAGAATACAGAAAGGATACAGACAGAAGGCTAAAATATACTAATGAAAAACTCATGACTCTTTCCAGAGCCTCGACACAGCTTGACCCTGATTGGCCAATAAGTAAAAACAATTCACATGAAACCAATTAAAAAAACCACTTGTTGGATAAACAATCTCCAACCACATTCCAAAGCAGCAAAACACAGGAGAAGCAAATGAGATAATATTGTTTTCCTTTTTCTCTGAGGCTTCTCAGCTTCCCAGGAGAAGAGTCCTGGCGAAGGGATTTTTCCAGAAAATATGTCTGCCACAGAGGAGGAATGGGGAGGGAATGTTACCCAAGGCAGGGCAGTGGTGTGGAGGGTCAGCCCTGCAGCAGGGCTGCCCACAGCAAGGACTGACCTGTCCTGTCTTCTCTTCCAGCCACGCAGTCCCTGCCACCCACCAGGCCACCGCCACCCCCGGAGGGGCTCCAGCCAGCAGAGAAGTAGATCCTGCTGTGGGAGTGCTCCCTTGGTTTCACCAAGCAGCCACCTGAAGAAGCCAATGACCTGTAACGAACTCATTTTTGAGCCACATGAGCAGCTCTCATCTCCTGACAGCCCCAGCTGCTGCTTTTGGGGTGTGTGAGTGAGGCTGAAGCGCCCAGTTTAACCAGTTCACTGTGCCAGCGCGGGCTGGCCGTGGGGACACGTGTGCCCACTCCAGAGACCTGCGTGCCTTTGGCCAGAGACCAGATGAGCACTTCGGGAGGGATCAGTTCTGGTCAGGGGACAGTGGACTTTGACAGCTTGTGACACATTGCTGGCCTTCAACTTTTGGGTGCTGGGCTTGGGGAGGGGGCTGAAATCATGGTCCAAATCAGGTATTTATGCATCAATATTTATGGGAAGCTGCACCACAGTGTTGTCAGGACTGATGTCTGTTTCTCCTGAGACTGGGCCTCCTGTGGATGCACCACCTCACTTGAATTATTTTTTTTTAATTTGAGTTTTCCATGGTGGTTTACTGTAAGTGACCATTTGCCAGGGGAAAACATGCAGGGCTCCAGCACTCACCTGCAGAGCTGGTGCCTCCTGACAGAACAGGCTGTGCTGGACAAGCTTGTCAGGGGCCTGGAGCCTGTTCTTCATGCCAGGAGTTTGTGAGTCCATGGCCCAGGAGTTTGTCAGTCTGTGGTGCTGCCCACGTCACTTACTCCAAGAAGAAGGAATCCAAAATCAAGTGTGGAAGTCAGAGATTCTGCATGGATGGAGACAAAGAGCTGGCTCATCTGGTCAATGCAAATCCCCATTGGAATGGGCTCTCCCAGCCCTGAATCCTGAGTTATTGTGCCATGCCAGTCGTTGCCAGGAGTTGGCCACCTGCAGCAGCGGGGAATGTCACCACTGCAGTGTCACCACATCACCCTGGTCAGGGCCCAGGGCCCCCTTTGTCTGTTTGCACAAAGCTCCTGGGCAGGTGAAGCCACTGACAGAGGAACGCCAGCTCTGCAGAGAAGAGGACAGCCCCATCCCATCCCATCCCATCCCATCCCCACAGGCAGCAGCACAGCCCTGCCCAGGCACTTGGCCTTTAAATTATTCCCACAGGGGCCAACTGAAAATAATAAAAGAATTGTTTCTTTTCCTGATGGAATTTATTTTAATCTGTATATAACTTGTCATTTTGGGCTAATTCCTTTCTTATTTTATTTCTTCCTTAACAGTATTTTTTTTTTACATTATCTATCATTCTTGTGAAGAAATCATGTTAATAGAAGTATGTAGTGAAGGACCAAAATGGTGCTGTTGAGGTTGGATGTTGGATAAGCAGGGAGCAGGAAGGTTTTGTCCATGTGCCAAATGACCCCAGGCAGTGCTGCCAGTGGTGCTGCTGATCTCCAGACAATCATCCCTCGGCTCCCCTTTGCCTGGAAGCTCCTGGGCCATTACAGGAAGGTTCCAGTGACTGGGAGCAGCACAGGAGGAGGAGGAGGAGGCCAGTGGAGATGCTGTGCCTCGATGGCCCTGCTCCAGGAGAACATGGAAACAGCCTTAAACTTGGGGATGGATCCATCCTGTCCCATTCCAGCTGCAGCTCCATGACTCCTGGCAGCTGCTCAGAGCAAGCCCTGTACCTGTATTTTTATATAATGTTCTTTTCCTGTTCATATTTCTTAATACGGTTTGTTTGCTTCCTCTTTTCTTGTACTGTGTCCCTTTTTGGATCTTCTTTAATTTAGCACTGATGAAAAATGTTACTTTCTCCACAGTTAAAAGAAATAAACAGAACGTCTGGCTGAGTTTCTACTTACCTTGTGTGTCTCACTCAAATGCACCTGACAGCTGCTCCAGGTGACAGCAGGCTGGCAGGGGCTCTGGAGGGTGTTTCAAGAGGTGTAGATATTGTGTCAGAACATGCAATGCCACCAGCAGAACGAAGCTTCATTTTAGGGCTCATGGTTGGCACAACCTGGCTCCTTGGAGCTGGCATGCTCAGGGACACTCACCACTAACAGAGAACACGTGGTTCATGGGTATCCAAGGATTTATTGTTACCTTAATTTACAGTTGTTTGATCAGAACAGACCTTACATCAACAGTGCCCCTGTGAATGTGAAGTTGGCAGTGTATGGGGCTGGCTCACCCCAAAATTGTAGCTGCCATGTCCCCTGCATGGGGTGTGAGGAGCTGAGCTCCCCAGCAGAGCCCCCTCCCCATCTGGGAGGAGGGAAAGGCAGGTGGGAGCTGCAGCACTGCTCCTCATCCTGCCCCTGCTTCCCCCTCTGCCTGGAGCAGATCCCATTCCTGGTCCCAGAGCTGACTCCATGGGAACAACTCTGGCATCAAGTATTTTATCAAGTGACCAAAATGTGTCTGGCATCACCTCACCTGTGCAGGGCACAGCTCTGCCCAAAGGGCCCAAGAATTATTGTGGGGGAGAAAAAAGAGAAAAAGGAGCAGAAACTGGGTTGAGGAACAAACCAAACTCATGGATTTAAGCTCCAAACAGCCTGCCTGGGGTGTGCTCTCCCCACACCAGGTGTGCAGCAGGTGCTGGCCCAGCTGCCAGCAGGGACGGAGATGGTGACATGGGCACCTCAGAGCCCAGAACAGCTCCAGCTTTCCGACCTGAGCCAAGCCCTTGGCTGCTCCCAGAGCCTGTTCTGGGTCACCAGTGCCAGCACTGCCAGGAGTGCCCGGTGCCAGCTCTCACAGAAGAGCCACTGTGTCACAGCTGCCACACAGACCCGTCCTGCCTGATGAGATCTGCCACCTGAGACAAACACAGTTCAAGAAGAAAGGCTCTGCTGCTGCCTCCTCTCCGTGGGCTCAGTCTGCAGAGGTCTGGGGGTCCCTGAGGCAGAGGGGTCCCTCCGGGCTGTCCCTACACGTCGGTCTCGATGCGCAGCCGCTCCATGCGCCGCACGTTGCCCTCGGCGGCCACGCGGCTCGTGATGGGCCGGGCACAGGCCTGGGGGAACCAGCCCCGCTCCCCGTCCCGCAAACGCTCCCCCCAGCACCAGCCTAGGAGAGAACAGAGTGGGTGACAGGGCCAGGAAGGGCCATGGAACCTTGGGGAACCAGCCCCGCTCCCCATCCTGCAAACGCTCCCCCCAGCACCAGCCTAGGAGAGAACAGAGCGGGTGACAGGGCCAGGAAGGGCTGCAGATCCTGGGGGAACCAGCTCTGCTCCCCATCCTGCAGCTGATCCTCCCAGCACCAGCCTAGGAGAGAACAGAGCTGCTGACAGGGCCAGGAAGGGCTGTGAATCCTGGGGGAATCAGCTCTGCTCCCTTGGAGGTTCTGGCTAGAGCTATCCAGGTGATGCCTCAGGTTTTGGCTTTTCTATTTTTCAGATTCTGTGCTGCTTTAGTGTGTGGGTCTGGGCTTCATGTTAGGGGTTGGTGAGCTCTCTGCACAGAGCAAAGAGACAAAACAATTCCTGCTCCAGCTGGGGACCAAGGACAAATGATCCAAATCTCAGGCCCAGGAGCACAAACAATGTGGACTGAAGAGAGAAAAACAAGAAGGATGAGACCTCATGGGCTAAAGCTGGAATTGGACAATTAACTCCTATATGCAAATGGACCAAAACTTACAAAACTGAGAGACCCTGTGACCAGTCATGCATTTTTGTGACCATTTTGGGTTCACCTGGGGTGTAGCCCTGGCTGGGCTCTTGAGCTGCCCAAGGTGTATCCACTGAAGCCTCCCAATAAATCCCTACTTTACTCTTTAGCTCCATCTAGTCTCTGTTCTAGGGCAGCCTTCACAAGGCACCACAGGGATGGCAGGGGAGGAGGTTTCTGGTTTACTGCCTGTTCTGGGGGGTGTTTTCTCTCATTTCTGAGGTCTCTACTGCTGGTGCCAGCCACAGGCTGCACACAGGAGTCACCCCTAAGGAACACAACAGCTGCCCATGGCAGTGCCACCTCCCTCAGCCCCCCAGGAGCCACTGTCACCTGCTGGGACACAGCACCAGCCAGTGCCACGGGTCCCACCAGCAGCCAGGGCTTCCTGGAAGCTTCTGCAATTGCTAAAACCCACTCCCTGGGAATCACTGAAGGCTCCCCCTGGCCTGGCTCTGCTGAGGTCAGAGCCTGCCCCACACCCAGCCCCACGCTCCCTGGCACTCACCATCCTCTCCCCCCAGCACCAGGACAACATCTGCTTGCTGCAGGGACAGCTCATCCGCTTCCTTGGCCAGGTAGGCACGGGTGATCTCCACCTGGCTCAGGTCTGCAGGACAGGGGACAGCAGGGACAGTGAGCAGACACAGCCCCCTGCTCAGCCGTGTCCCCGCAGCTGCCCACCCAGCGCTCCACAGCACAGCATGCTCCATTCCCTCCTGTCCCCGCCCCTAATCCCTCCAAGCTCGTCAAACCTCCTTTAACAACAGCTGAAGGCATTCCTGGAATTCCACTGTGCCTCCCAGGAAATGTATTTAAGGTCAATTGTGACTGATAACTTCATGGGAGGCAACTCCTAAGGAGCAAGGCACGGGGGTTTCCTCTCCATTGGCAGGAGTGGAGGAGAGCCAGGTAGAAACCTGGGCCTGCAAATGCTCTGGTGTGACAGAGAATCCCAGCAGAGCCAGGCTGCCCTCTGGCACATGGTACCTCCTTTGGGAGTGGTGTCAGGCTTTTCCTTCTCCCTGTGCATCAGCGCTGCAATCCACCGGGCCCGGTCACTCCTGCCAGAGGGAAACACAAAGAGAGCCTCAGGACAGCATCCCTGTGGCCAGCAGCAGCTGGGACATTCCCAGCAGGATGAATGCTTTCCAGGGGAGTCACATTGATCAGACTGTTCAGTGTAAGAACACTTCCCAAGTGGCACACATGGCCCAGCTGCTTTGCTTCACTTGGACAGAGGAAGTTGATATGGGAATTATAAGGGAAATATAAGAGAGAGGAAGGAACAGAGCCTGGGAGAAGGCTGTGCACATTCCCATTTCTAGGAGGAGGAGTGTGGGGGTAAAGAGAGATCTGCAGAAGCCTCAGAGGATTCCCACAGCACCAGTTCATCCCAAGGGCCAGAGCAAAATCCCAGTGTGGCACTCACAGTGTCTCTGCCGACAGCACCACCTCCTCCCGCCGGCCCTCGCTGTCCTTCTCCAGCACCACTCGGAGCAGGTGCCCACCAGCCTTGCCAGGAGGAGGGGAGGGTGGGTCTGAGCTCTCCACCTTCTCCACGGTGACCTGGTCCAGCGTGGCGTAGTTCATGACCGTGTAACTCTCCTCGCTGCGGCACAGATGGGATCAGCGCCTCAGCTGTGGGATCTGGGCCACTTCCCAGCTCCCAGCCCAGCACAGGAGGCTCAGCAGGCATTGCCAGAACAGCCTGGAGCTGATGCTCAGGGTGGGACATGGCTCTGGGGACTTGCTGGCCACCCACCCACCGAGGCAAAGCCACCAGTGGGACTCTTCTGGCTGACAAGGGACAGCTCGCAAAGATGGAAATCTCACTGATTTCTTTGGTATGCGCTGCTGGGGAAATCGGAGTTTAATCCCCCTAGCTGTTCTTCAGGGAAATGCAGGGCCCTCACCTCTTCTTCTTGGTGATGATGAGGACGTCGTTGAAGAGGAAGAGGTGGCAGAGGCGGCCGGCGCCGCGGCGGAAGATGCCGGCCTCCTCCGAGAGCAGCAGGTGCAGCTCCCCCCGCTTCAGCAGCCACCGGGACACCGAGATCAGGGGGAAAGGCTGCAACAGAGCCAGCAAAAGGCTCAGGCACTGCCCTCCTCACCAGCAGCAGGCAAAATCAAGGCAGGAAGTGAACCTGCAGTGGTCCTGGGGTCAGTTGGGATGGACACGCCACATGTGTTTAGGTGTTTTTTAAAAAGGATTTTCCAGGAGGCAGGTGGAAGGCAGAGCAGCTGTGCACCCCACTCCAGCACACCCAGAGATGCAGCCCCTGCACCCCAACAGTGGTGACACTGTCATGGCTTTACTACACCCTTTAGAAACTGCCTGCATCCAACAGTCCAGTCCAGGCTTCCCAGAAGGATTCCCAGCACAGGTCTGACCTGTCTAAATAGGCCCCAGAAGAACTCCCACCACCACTTCCACAAGACCTCACCTTCTTCTTCCCAAATTCCAGCTGTTTCTGCAAGGTGTACATCTGCTCTGTCCTCTCCATAGCCCGAGCTCCCTCATTGCAGCTCTTGACCAGCTGGGAAGAGAAAAACATCCCAAGGGAAATGGAGAAGGGTCAGAAGCTGAGCCCATCCATCTCCCACACCACCCCAGCATTAGGGGCTGTCCTGCTGCCCTGAGCAGGACAGACAGACAATTCCTGGCACAGGCTTCATGCCAGGTTGGGAAAAGGCAGTGGGATGCTCTGCTGGAGAGAGATGGCACATGGGCTCTGCGTGGAGAAGGACTCAAGTGAACCTGCACCAGAACTGAGGAGCAACAGGAGGAGGAAGAATTAATCATCTGAGAAGAGCTCAAGGCAGGAGGATGGACAGTCACACAGAGGGGAGGACTCTGCTCGGATGTGAGAGCAGGACAGACTGGGAGCAGCAGGAATGTGCTGCCAAGAGCTGCTCCTCAGCGGGGGTGAAAGGAAGAGCCACCACAGGCACAGTGGTGGCGCAGTCTCTGTGGCCCTTTGGCCTGTGTGACTGAGCAGTGGATGGGAAAACACAGGGAGATGAGATCCAGGAGCATGGACAGGGCACAGCTTGTGATTACTGCACTCCACACTTCCCTCTCTGCTTCATTCACTGCCCTTTGCCCAAATCCCCAAAAACCATGGTGAGAGTTGTCTCAGGAAGGACAAAATGAGCCAAAGAGGAAAGAAGAAAAGAGGACAAGAAAAAGGAACAAACCAAGATCAGGTGACAAAGGCAAGAAGGGAAAAGGTGTGTTCATCCAGCAGCTGTTTGGAGCAGAGGAGCCTCAAGTGAACTGATGCTGGGAGGGAAATGAGAAGCCAGAATGGCAGCTTTGGATCAGTGCTCCAGAGGGCTGAGCTGGCAGGAGGAGAGGTGGAGGGCTGGCAGCTGGGCCTCACCTTGCTGATGGCCTTCACAGCGCGGGTGGCAGCTCCGTACGCTGCAGTGCGCGCGTTTGTTTTTTGCTGGACGGTCTGGAATTCCAAGATAAGAAGCTTTAGTGACATTGCACCTCAGAGGAGAGAGCATCAGCCACTCTCCTGAGATTTTAGGTTGCCACAGATTGATTGAGCTGTTCCAGATGGTCAAAGGAAGGTCTAACAGTGCTGGGAGCTGTGAATCTGGGGGTTTCATGTCTGACACAGCCTGGCCACCCAAGGCCCTCACCCCTGCAACCCGCACAGACTGGGAACAGTCACTGGAAATCCCACATCCAGCAGCTTGGCCATTTAGAGCAGATTTCCATGAAGAATGCAAGACCTGCTTTCCATTCCTGGGCTGCCTGACCAGGACATTTGTGCTACCCCACCCTGGGACTCAGACACGGCACAGAAGAAGCTCAGGCCACTCAGATGGGTGGCACCAAGACATGAAGTGTTATTCACAGAGCTTTAAGCTGCACACCTGACACCCTCCAGAGGAGCAGATTGCTCTGGATATATATCACAGAATATGCTGAGTTGGGAGGGATCCATTAAGATCAATTCCTGGCCCTGCACAGGACACCCCAAGAATCCCACCATGTGCCTGAGAGTTATCCAAATGCTTCTCCTGAATACAGGAGCATCCAGGCTCAGCACACAGGGCCCAGCCCCAGAGGGCTGGAACTCCAAGCAGAGGCTGTCCCAGGCTCAGCAAACAAAGGGAATAGCAGAGTCACCTCTTCAGAAGTGCCAAGCAGTGCCACTGTGTGACTACTTACATCTAAGAGCAGAGGAAGCCGTGTTACCCTCTGCATGGGCAGAATGAGAAATGAGATCATTGGCAGGCCTCCACACTCTGGTTTCCTTTCAATTTGTTTCAGGGTATCTTTAAATAAGGGGTTTGTGGTTCTGGAACAGGACAAGAAAGCTTCATTAACTCTGTTCTTCAGTTGGCAGGATGTTCCAGCAGCTCTCCACACACTGGAAATGCAGAGCAGTGATGGCACTGCCTGGGGTGCTCTGCCAGGCTTGAAGTGCCCAGCTGGGCAGAAACAGGACTGATCCCACAGCAGGTGGTGGAAAAGCACCCAGAGAGAGATGGTGAGCCCAGCAAAAGGTGGGTAAAGCCGCAGATGTACCAACAACAGACTCAGACTTGGCCTGGAGATGAACAAGGCCCATCCATGCCCCTACATGCTATGGAGCTCTGCAGTCCCTGGAGCCCAGAGCTCCTCAGAGGCAGCTCCTTGGCCAGCCTGTACTCACAGCAGCTTATCCAGTGTCCTCTGCTGATAGACTTCATTGGAGCAGTAGCTGATGTAGGGGTTGAAGTGTTTCGAGGCGTGTTCCTCCACGATGTCACTGATGTCAGGGATCAGGAGGTGCTCCTGGTGTCGCTTTTCCAAGTCCTCAAAGAAACTGAGGAGAGAATTTAAACAACGTCACCACATGACTCACTAGGGCTGGACAAACTGAATGTTCCCACTGTTGCTTTTCTCCAGTTTTCCCAGAGGAGATGGGGCCTGGATCCCTTCTGGCAGGGCAGCTCCAGCAGCGGAGACACCCACGCCTTCCCCAGAGGCACACGCTTCCTCCATTCCTGCACGGGATCCCTGGCTGTGTCAGCCACCCCATGGCCCATCCCACCAGCACACACCAAAGGAACCCATCCCAAACTGCACACACCAGCACCCACCAAAGGAACCCATCAGAAACCATCAGAAACCATTTCACACTGCGACACACCACCACAAACCGTCACAACCCATCACAATCCATTACACACTATCACACACTAGCACACTCCATCACAAACCATTACAAACTATCATAACCCATCACAACCCATCACACACTGTAGCACACCAGCACACTCCAAAGGAACCCATCACAAACCACTACAAACCATTACAAACCAGACGTGAATCAGAAATCATCAGAAACCATCACAACCCATCACAAACCGTTACACACTATCACACACAAGCACAATGCATCACAAACCATCAGAAACCATCACACACTGCAACACACCACCACACACTAAAGGAATCCATCAGAAACCATCAGAAAACATCACACACCACCACCACTGCCCACCACCACTCACTCCTGCATCCCCCTGCCCCCTAGCCCCCAGCAGCTGCTGCCACTCCCTGGATGAAGATTACTCTCCCCACAGTCCACAGGGAAAGCCCAGCAAGGAGCACCTGCCTTCCCTCAGCTGTGGGGAAGCTGGGCAGACCCTGTGTGTCCCAGCCAGCACAGTGCAAACACTAATGACATGGAATTATCCCCTCACAGCTCTCAGACCCCCTGGGCTGCTGCTCCTACCTCTGGGAGCTGGCTCCAGGTCACCTGGGCTGGGCGGTAGCTCTGCACCACGATAGCAGCACCCAGAGGGGACGGCTCCTCTGGCAGGGCCTCCTCCAGCAAGTCCTCGTCTGACTCATGGGCATCCCCCTGCCCCCTAGCCCCCAGCAGCTGCTGCCACTCCCTGGATGAAGATTACTCTCCCCACAGTCCACAGGGAAAGCCCAGCAAGGAGCACCTGCCTTCCCTCAGCTGTGGGTGAAGCCCAGCCACAGCAGCACCAACAGCCCTGGGCAGACCCTGTGTGTCCCAGCCAGCACAGTGCAAACACTAATGACATGGAATTATCCCCTCACAGCTCTCAGACCCCCTGGGCTGCTGCTCCTACCTCTGGGAGCTGGCTCCAGGTCACCTGGGCTGGGCGGTAGCTCTGCACCACGATAGCAGCACCCAGAGGGGATGGCTCCTCTGGCAGGGCCTCCTCCAGCAAGTCCTCGTCTGACTCATGGCTGACAGAGTTCAGGCCTCTCTCACGGATCTCCTGATAGAGCCGGGGCTCTGCAGAGGACAAGACACGAGGTCAGCACAGCAGCCTCCCAGCTCATGGCTTCCCTTCCCAGCACGGCTGCCTTGTCCTGTTGGCCACGAGCCACAAGTTCCGGGCCAGAAACTCCCTGATGAGGTTGGACTTTGCACTGCACTGATTACCCAGCGGCTCCTGCTCCCAACAGCCTCCCACAGCTCTCCCATTTTCCCTGGGAGCCATCCATCTGTGAGCACAGTAGCATTATCAGCCCCCAGTGGGAAAGCAGGGCAGCAATGCTCCTGTTGCTTCGGGGAAACAGAGACAAAAGCCATGGCCCCGGGCCATGGGCAGGGAGCAGCACAGTGGGGAAGGGCCTTGCAGGGATTTGCTTGGCTGAGGCACAGGGGACAGGGGACAGGAGCACTCACGGTCCTTGAACGAGCCACCACGCTTCTGCACCCGCTTCCGCCCGAGGGTTTTCTGCAAGGGCAAGAGGAGAGCCTGCTGTGGTTACCACTTCTGAGGCCCTGGGAAAACTCCTTCAGGAAAAGGGGGAGTTACCTGTGCCAGTTGGTCCACACCACCCTGTTCTTTCAGCCTGGCTTTTGTGTGGGCTGTTTGCCTTACCCAGGTGACTCAGCTTTCACCTCCCATATAACCAGGGTCACGCTCAGAACCATTCTGTACTTGCACTGCTGCTGTCAAATCTCTCTCACACCTGGACTTTGCCTGCTCTGGAGTCTCCCTTTCCCCAGACGTGCTTCACCCATGTTTGTGTACGACTGGAGCCGCTCTCCCGGCCAGCCCCACCCTGCAAACATCCCGCAGCCGCCTGCCAAGCGTCCAGCTCCACTCCCCACAAAAACCATGTCAGCTATTCCCGGCCTCTCCAGTCACCTGCAGCATCTGCTGGTGACACGGAGCTTCCCAAGGCACCAGTCACGACACCAGGCTCAGCAAACCAGCTCCAGAACCGACTGCAGCTGTGGGCCCTGCAGCTCCTCTGTCACCACCAGGAATGCAGGACCTCATCCCTGCCTGACAGGGGTGACAGCGGGGGCTAAACCCACCTTGCTCCTGCCAGGGCTGCGGTCGGGCAGGGCGCTGCCATCCTCAGACACGGGTTTCAGTGAAGGAGAGGCCTTGGCTGGCTCCAGCTCAGCCCCCAGCCCCTTCATGGCCGCACGGTAGGACATGTTCCTCAGGTTGCGCTTGAGGGCCCCTCCGCCATCATCCTCATCCTCCGCCTCCAGGGCCGGGATGGGGACAGCCACCCGCTTCGAGTCGGGGCTCAGGGGTTCCCGGCTCGCCCCGAAGCTCTGGTGCCGAGAGGGGCTGTTCTTAGGCTTGGAGGAGACGGCCAGGCTTTTGGGGATGAGCTGCTGCGTTCCCACCTTCAGCGCGGCAGGGCTGTCCGTGCTGAGGACGATGCGACGGGGCTCGGCCGAGGTGGGGGAGCCCAGTGGTGACAGCGGGGTGGCACTGGGAGCCGTGGTGGGGCTGCGCTTCCCAGTGGCACACGTCGGGCTGGGGGGCTCTGGCCGCACTGGGTGGCATCGGTACTCCAGGAGCAAGGTCTTGTCATCCACAGAGGTAGCAGAGGAGCCCCGAGACATGGTGGTGGCCTGGGGGAGCAGCAAGCTGAGGAGGACAAACAGACAGACAGACAGACAGACAGGTGGCTGAACACCTCCCAGTAAGGCAGCAGGAATTTATGCTGAGCCATGGGAACCTTGGGACAGCTCAGAACATGGCCTCCACCTTCCCAGGGTGCTCCTCAGGCCGGGCCTGTATGGACACACTGGGGATGCTGTCACCATCCTGCTCCTTGTGGGGTCACCTGTGTGCCAGGGCTGGGCCGGGGGCTCTAAGACGTGGTCAGCAACGAGGAGCAGCCAGGCCATGGGAGCAGCCAGACCCGGGAGCAACCAGACTCTGGAGCAGCCAGGCCATGGGAGCAGCCAAGCCTCAGAGCAACCAAACCCTTCAGCAGCCAGACCAGGGAGTAGCCAGACCAGGGAGTAGCCAGACCCTGGAGCAGCCAGGCCATGGGAGCAGCCAAGCCTCAGAGCAACCAGACCCTTCAGCAGCCAGACCAGGGAGTAGCCAGACCCTGGAGCAGCCAGACCAGGGAATAGCCAGACCCTGGAGCAGCCAGGCCATGGGAGCACCCAAGCCCCAGAGCAGCGAGACCCTGGAGCAGCCAGGCCTGGAGCAGCCAGGCCATGGGAGCAGCCATGCCCAGGAGCAGCCAGACCCTAGAGTAGCCAGACCCTGGAGCAGCCAGGCCCGGAGCAGCCAGGCCGTGCCTCAGGCAGTGGGCAGGCCCAGACCTGCGCCAGGCAGGCCTGGAGCCTCCCCGAGCCCCGCTGCTGCCACACCTCCATGTCCCCTCATTCCCCTTTGGGGTGCTGCCAGCCACCACAGTCGGTCTGCACCCTCCTGAATGCCACCTCCCCCAGGCTGTGGAATTCCCGGCTGTGAACCCTGTGCTCCTCCAAGCTCGTACCTGCCCCAAACCGCTCCACGCTGCCCACAGAAACAGCTGCCCCACTCCCTGGGGCTTCCCAGGTGGGGTTAAGGTCACTCATCCCCTCCTGTGCCACGCACAGAACCATGCACCTACAGAACTCTGCCCCTACAGAACAGACAGAGCGTTTTATGCCCTCTGCCTATTACATAACTTCGGGAGAAAGTATGGTTTAGTTGTCCTCAACTGAGATCCCATTGTGTGCCAATGCCATCTCCAAGCTGTTCCCTTTCAAAGACCAGGAAACAAACCAAGGCTGGACCGTGCTTTTCCCTGCATGAATGACTGGCAGGAGGACAGCACAGACCCATCAACAACAGCTCGTTTGACAGAGATGCTGCTCATTCCACTGTCCTCGGCTGCGGGACCCATGCTCTGTGTCCTGAGGTCTGCCAAGTGTCCCTGAGACGAGCAAAGCGCCACATTCCGCTCTTAACCCCATCCTGCCTGAGGACGAAGCTTATCCTAAGCCCTGGTGGCAATAAACAAGCCTGAACCCAGAGGGGCTGGGGGCCGCAGCACGCACAGCTCTCGGTGCTGGGGTGGAGGGAGGCTCGGTGGCCACACAGGGCATCGATCGCCCGTGTCACTGCCCGCGGTGGCACACGGGCACAGGCACCGTAACTCGGTACCAGGGCTGCGGTGCAGGGGGCAGGCTCTAAACGCTCTGGGAACACGGCGGGATACAGCTCTGGGAAGCACCCAAACCCCTCCGCCATGGATCCAACCACCCGCCGGCACCGCTGGGACCCTCGGGGACAGCGGGGAGGACGAGCCCGGCTGTGCCTCGGGAGGCACGGCACAGCCGCTCCCCGCCGTCCCCTCCCCGGAAGGCGCTCGGTATCCGCTGGCTCGGGGCCGCCACCCGCACGGCTGCCCCGGATTCCCGGTGCCGGTCCCGATGGCGGTGCCGCTCCCTCCCCGGGCTCCCCGGTCCCTCCGCAGCGCCCCGGCCCCGACCCCGCCGCGCCCGCACCTACCCGCGCCCCTCGGAGCCAGCACGGCGGCGGGGACGGATGGGAGGGACCGGCAGGGCTGGGAGGGACCGGGGCGGCACCGGGGGAGGTGCCGGTCCGGCCCCCGAGACCGTGCCGGGATGGAGGTGTGCGGTGTCCCGCACATCCCGGCTCCGAGCGGCGCTCTGCTCTCTGCCGCGCCCCGTCCCGGGGTCGCCCCGGCTTCCCGGGGGTGAAAAATTAATTAAGAGAGTCTAGAAACAGTGTTTTGCTGCTTCTTGATGAGGGTTCATCAGGTGTGTGCGCCCCTGGAATCTCGGAATTCCTCATCCCCTAAAGCCGCCTCTGCAAGGTCGCTGGAGGCGGGGGGGATTATTCGGTGTCGTTCTCCTGTCACGTTAGCGGGTGACAAACGAGTGTGCCCCGGCTGTCCTCGGGCTCTGGCCGACACACGCGGTGTTTCAGCAGCCCAGGGACTGTCCCTTACTACAGGCATGTCTGATGTTCTCTTCAGATGGGTTTTCGTGGTCAAAGGTAACCTCGGGTGATCCCTCCGGATGCACAAAACATCAGTTTCGGCTGCTTTTGGGCGCTGCAGCTACTGGGAAAGAGGATCTGAGGGTCAGGCTGCTGACAGCTGCCCAGTAAGGCTCAACAGTGCTCTGTGTCTTTACTGGGAACAGACTTCTCCTTGACCTTCTCTTTTGCCCCCCTGTTCTGCTCCTCCCCATCCCCCAAATGGGGCCTTTTTCTCACTTGTTTGTGGTGAATCTCAAGCACTTTGTGCATGACAAAGTCCACTTGTCAGCAATATTCTTTGAAATGCCTGCCTGACAATCGCCCCATTATCACAGCTTTCTTATCCCACAGATTTTTTTATCCTTCCCCTCCGGGGCTAATAAGGAGAAAGGCTCCAGCGAGAGGAGGGCTCCTACTCAAGGGTTCAGCTCGGACTGAAACCCTCCCGATCTCCGGGGAAGGGCCATTATCCCGAATGTGGGACACCATCATTTGATCACCATGAATGACTTTTTGAAGCGAGGCCATTCATCAGTTGTGTAATGGGGTTTTTAGCTCAAAGACCCGGCTTTCAAGTAATTTCTGCTCCCAGGGTCCCCTGGAGCTGAACCATCTGACCGCTATCACTGGGCAGTTCATTCGCTCTGCGCTCTGGTTGTGAAAGGAAATACGCTTGACATTTTCCATCAGCTTATTGATGCCCCATCCCAACACTTTCTCCCACCCTGGAATACTCTCACTCCTCCCTGTGCAAGCATCCCGTCCCTTCAGTGGGATGTGATGCACCTGCTTTGCACGGGGGAGAAATCGAGTCCTTTACGAGTTCTGGGAACCTCACAGCAAAAGACAGGTTGAGGGGCTGAAACATTTCCAGAGAAGGGCACAGAGCTGGGGAAGTCCTGCGAGGAGAGGCTGAAGGAGCTGGGGGGGCTCACCTTGGAGAAAAGGAGGTTCAGGGTGGGGCCTCTGGCTCTGCACAACTCCCTGACAGCAGGACAAGAAACAGCCTCAAGATGTGCCAGGGGAGGTTCAGGCTGGATATGAAGAAGAATTTTTTAATGTAAAGGGTGCTCAGGCCTTGGCAGGGGCTGCCCAGGGAGGTGTGGAGTCCCCATCCCTGTAGATGTCCAAGGAAGGCCCGGACATGGCACTCAGTGCCCCATTCTGGGTGACAAGGTGGGGATTGGGCACAGGCTGGACTGGATGGTCTTGGAGAGCTTTTCCAACCATAACCATTCTGTGATTCCATGATTCTGACCTCAGCAGCAAGTGGGGTGGCCGTAATTTAATTTTTGAAGCTCTTTTGAGTATTACAAACCACACAAACACGACATCAAACCCCAGAGGTACCACCGAGCAGCAAAGCCAGACAGTGACACACCGAATGTCCCATTATTTGGGATGTTCTCCATGGTTATTCCATTAAAAGAAGCTCACGGGACCACTGCTTATAAAAGCACACAGGTTTATTGCATATCAATCTCATGTATAAATTCATTGTAGCATTGGAAAGATTACATTTGGTATACATTCCTATTCTACAGCATTAACCTCAAAATCAGCTTTTTCTATTCATTATTTTAAAGGAATTTCTCTACACAAGTACATTTGTCTTTTATCACAAGCATCAAAATGAAATTTGTAAAATTGCCTTTTTTTTAATTATTTTCTACACTTCATATCTTTTATTTCATTATGCTCCCAACAAAGCGATTCCATATTAATTAATAACTGCCAACACTTTTTCTTTCTTCCTTGGCAGTTCGAGGCTTCGAGCCTCGGACGCAAAATCTAATCACATATACAATAAGTGCATCTACGGAATTTTTTCTTTTTAATAAAAATTTCACAAACGGACACAATAATGACTGCTAAACACAAGTCATGCACAGTTTACTTATAAACATAACAGAAGCAATATACAATCAAGAATGATATGGAACAAGCACCATCCTCTTTCTCAATGTTTTTTAAACATTATATGAAAACCAGACATTTACAATTGATTTAAAAAAACACTATACAGGTCTAAAGGAAAAAAAAAATCCAACCTAAATCATATCTGTATTGTAACAATGGGAAAAGGAATGACATAGGATGCACAGATTTATGATTCTTGCAAGCACAATATATATATGTTTTAAATTACATCTTCTGCAGGCTGGAAATGACATCAGGGCAAAACATCTCTTGCTTTGAAGAGAGAAATGAGAATGTAAAATACACTGAGAATTACTTTCAGAATTACTTTGTTCACATGTGAATTGCACATTTGGAAAATCAAAGCTGCCTTTTTTTTCTTTTTCGTTCTTTTTTTTTTAATTTTTTTTTAATTTTTTTTTTTTTATTTTTAATTTTTAAATTTCTTCTTCCAAAGTGGTAATAAGAATTAACGACAGAAGAAAGAGAAAAAAAGAACCTCGGAATCATTCAAGAACGTTTTAGTCACAGTTTCACTCAACACTACGGAGAAGTTTCATGGCTTTGTGAGAACACTACTGACCACCAGCGAGGAGCAGAGGGTTTTGCCCTTGTGTTGCCAGCACTGACCCGAGCGATGCCACTCCTGCCCTTGGGGACAGCGCCGTCCCCAAGGCTCAGGATCCCCCCCAAAAAGGGGCAGGGTCCCCAGCGCTGCCCCCCGCCCCCCGCCACACACACACACACACAGTACAGCACGTAAAAACCGAGTGGGAATTCAGCAGATTGGCCTGGCCGGGGGCACGGGGGGGTCACCATCCAGTGCTTTGATGCTCAGCGCCAAACACGTTCACCTCATTGTGCAAGTGCTTCCAAAAGGCTCCGTCCGCCACGGCAGCGAGGAGCTGCTCCCAAGAGCAGCCACCGAGGGCCTAAGTGCTGATTGGGGAGGGGGCAAAAGCTTCCTCTGGCTGTCCGAGGGAGGACAGGAGCCCAGCAGGGTGTTTGTCCTGGAATCAGCTGAGCACACCCGCTGGTGTTTGTGCAGCCCCCGTTGGGTTTGGGGTCCTGCACGGCGATGTCCCCGCGGCGCCCGGCGAGGCACGGCCTGGGACAGCTTGGAAAGGCACCCAGAGCGGCCTGAGCACCAAAGGGAACATCCCAGGGAAGAAGCCAGCAGCCCAGCAGGAGAACTGGGTGCCTCAACGTGTCCTGCAGGACCTGGCACCTCAGCACAAGTCGTGGGAGAACCTCAGCTCATCCCAGCGGAGAGCTCCCAGCTGTCTGCACCAGCCACAGAGATCACACCAGGAACAACCCCCAGCTCTGAGCTGGTGGGGAGCAGGGAATGCACAGACATGAGACCCACATCCTCCTCCCTGAGCAGCTCAGGCAGGAAGGTCCAGCCCTGGCCAAACTGAGGGCCCTTCACAGAGCACCAACACTTCAGCCCTGCTCAGCTCCCAGCCCCACCTGACCACTCCAAAAATCCCCAGGGCTTCTCCTTCTCTCCTCTGTGCTGTTGCAGCTGTGAAAATACTTTAAATAAATAGATCCTACACAAAGCTCTGGGTTTAAACCACACCTGGAGCAGTGCCCTGGCTACTGGGCACACCACAGCCACTTCCCATCCCTGCCACCCTCACCTGCCTTGGATCCCAGCGTGTTCCACCACAGCTCCATGTCTCACCAAAGCTCCCAGAGCTTCCCCAGCACTAGGAAGCCAGCAGTGCTCTGCTAGCAGAGCATCCTGGACACAAACCTCTCAGGAAGCAGCCTTGAAAAGGTGAGATTCTCTGCTAAAGCAGTAAAATGGAACCTCCACACCTGCTGTGAGCTGCAGCACGTTCCAAGTGCAATCCAACAAAAGGTAGAGGTTAACAGAAGTTCAGTGAGGCTTCCTGTTTCTTCATCTTAATGGGAAAAATTGAAACTTGTAATCAGTGCTAAATTAGAGGAGTTGGGAGATTCTACAACACAAGCTAGAGAAAATGGGGAGAAACTGATTTAGGAAATATGAAAAGAAAAAAAATAATTATTTTAAACCCTATATTTTTATGTCCTCAATCTCTGGCTGGATAATACCTCCCTGTCCTTGGCCAGGGACCCTCAGGAGATCCATGGAGAGACAGGATGAGCCTGGGGAGGGGGACAGCGACAGTGTGAGCTCAGTCAGAGCAAGGACCTGACCAGCTGCTTCTGGAGAAATGACAGAACTGGCAGCAGGGCTGAGAGAGGGACAGGGAAACCATAAATATCCCAAATAAGTCCCCACAATAACACTTGCATTCCTTAGTATTGGCCCACATTTTGGTGTCCAGCTCAGTGCCACTCCCTGGGCTGCTCTGTCACCTCCCCGTGCTGTGGAGTGCAATGCTGACCTGCCCTGAGGATTCTTCAAGGATGAACAAACCATGCTCAGAGCATACAAACACTCACTGCTGCCCACAGGTCCTGTTCCAGCACGGCAGAGAGATGCTCAGACACGTGGTTTGTTCCAAACAGCTGCCAGGAGTCATGGAGCTGCAGCTGGAATGGGACAGGATGGATCCATCCCCAAGTTTAAGGCTGTTTCCATGTTCTCCTGGAGCAGGGCCATCGAGGCACAGCATCTCCACTGGCCTCCTCCTCCTCCTCCTGTGCTGCTCCCAGTCACTGGAACCTTCCTGTAATGGCCCAGGAGCTTCCAGGCAAAGGGGAGCCGAGGGATGATTGTCTGGAGATCAGCAGCACCACTGGCAGCACTGCCTGGGGTCATTTGGCACATGGACAAAACCTTCCTGCTCCCTGCTTATCCAACATCCAACCTCAACAGCACCATTTTGGTCCTTCACTACATACTTCTATTAACATGATTTCTTCACAAGAATGATAGATAATGTAAAAAAATACTGTTAAGGAAGAAATAAAATAAGAAAGGAATTAGCCCAAAATGACAAGTTATATACAGATTAAAATAAATTCCATCAGGAAAAGAAACAATTCTTTTATTATTTTCAGTTGGCCCCTGTGGGAATAATTTAAAGGCCAAGTGCCTGGGCAGGGCTGTGCTGCTGCCTGTGGGGATGGGATGGGATGGGATGGGATGGGATAGGATGGGATGGAGGGGAGGGGATGGGATGGGTGGATGGGATGGGAGGGGATGGGATGCGATGGGTGGATGGGATGGGATGGGACAGGGCTGTCCCTCTTCTCCACAGAGCCGGGATTCCTCCGGCAGGGCTGGCTCTCCTACCCAGGAGCTTTGTGCAAATACATGAAGCAGCTCGGTCACACCGCCTGGTGCTCTCAGAGCCTTGGGCACTTTCACAGGATGTTGTGGAAAACCAAAAAGGGGAGGGTAAATTTTCTTGGGAAAACACACTGGTGCTGCTAATTTACTTTTTGTTCTCTCTGTACCAAAGTCACCCTGGATGCTTTCCTGTGGGGGCACTCTGAGGCTCCCCAAAATCAGCCTCACATGTGCTCTTGGGTGCAAAGCTGACTTGCAAATGTGTCACACCCAACTCTGACTCTGCTTTGCTCAGGGAGCATGTCCCATTGTTTTGGCCTGCTGGAATGAGGCTTCCCACACTAGACTGGACTAGAACCCTCCATCTGTCCTTTTCCACGGCTTTCCCAACCATTCCAACAAGGAATGTCATCTCCAAATTCCCTGCTCCAACAGTGGATGGAAATTGCAGCAGAGAACAGCACAAAGCCCACAGGATTTGTGGAGGCTGCTGTGTATCAGTAGAGATGAGGTTTGGAAGTGATTGGAAATCACTCATAAAATCTCTATGAGAAATTTTAGAGTCAGAGAGACAGCTGGATTCTTATCTCCATGCTCTGCACCCCTCAGGCGGCTGGAGCACGGAAATGTTCACCTTTCTACTTAAATTACAGGCCAAGCAGCAGCAGGCAGTGCAGAGGGAAAACCAGGCCAAACCAACGGTGTGAATCAGAGATCCGTGCCACAGATACCATCAGCACAGGGTGATGTCACCCTGAAACCCTGACACACGAGCAGATGTGTCTGAGCTGCCCTGGGTTTGCCCAGCACACGTTTCCTTATGCACAACCAGGGAAGGCTTTACCCCGTGACCTCTCTTCTTAGGCAAATACAAGCATTTCCAGGAGCTCCACCACGCTGGCTCTGTCCCAGGCACTCCCAGCCTGTGCTGGCCTCACAGGAACCAGGAGGGGCAGGGAGCTCTCCCAGCCTCGCTCAGGGCACAGGGGACCATCCAAGTTCGTGTGACACATCTGTCACCCCAGCCTCAGCACTGTTCCAGGCTGGGAGCTGCATGTGGCTCACGAGGACTGCAGGCAGCGTGGCCTCACCTTGAAGGAGCTTTGCACTGTGCCAGTGTTTGCTGGGAGCAAAGGACAGGATGGTGCTTCTGTGGGTGTGCAGAATTCCAAATTCTTTTGGGGGGTCAGTTAAGTGGGTTGAATTTGCCTTTCCCTGGCATAACTCCAGTGGCTGTGTCACAATTGCACCAGGGACAGGTCACACCTGGCTCTCTTCCTTGGTGCTTCACCATTCAGCTGGATGGGAAGGAAATGCTGCCCTGTGGTTCCAAGCTGTCGCTCCTGCTCAGGCTGTGCTGGCTCAGTGACACTGGTTTGGAAGGTTGGAGGGGCCAATCTTTGATTGCACTCTTGCAATTCGTGTCTTGCTCATGCTATTCCTACAGGCTGTGAAATCCTGGGGCTGCTTCAGGGTTATCCAGTTTGGGAGGGGTTCATTGTGATAAATTAGAAAGGAAAACTGTAGAGAGATAAAAATGCAGGATGTGTAGGTCAGATGTGACAGGTTTCCTTCTCAGCCCAAAGTCCAGACGACTCCCTGAGGCCCTCTCATCCATCTTCTGCTCGCTGGGATTTTGCTGGGATGGCTGCAGCACCACCACTGCCTCACCTGGGCTCTGGCCAGTGCCTTGTGGACCTCTCAGAGGTGGTTGATGGGGTTAAAGGTCCCCGACTCTGAAGCTGCTCCTGCCATGTCCAGCCAAGCCCCCAGAGAGTTCTGGGAGGACGTGTGGAGGGGAGCGTTCTCAGACAGGGACAGCATCATTGCATAAGCCTGGGGGAGAGAGGGATGCAAGGGCACGAGTGAGAACACAGGATGGAGAACATTGTGTAAAACACAGCAGCACCTAACCCTGCCCACCTGGGCCAGCAGCATCCTCTGTGCTGGGCTCAACTCACATCCACGCTCTGGGATGGCACCCACCTCTTGGTGGGTGCCAAAACAGATTTGTCATTGGTGTATTTTTAATTTACCTAATGGTTTATAGGGACAGTCAGGAGAGACCATCATTCCCACTGGTTTTCACAGGACCAAACCCATCCTGCACTGCCTGAGCTCTGTGACAAACGTCCACATGATTCCAGGCTCTGCTCCCAGAGGAAAGCAGCTGACACTGGGGCTTTTTATTAAAAAATCACATCCCCAGACATCAGTGAGGCTGGGCTGGGGCAGCAGTGCCCTGGCAATGGGGCAACAATGCCCAGTGGGAAGTGGTGAGCAGCTGCCCATCCTGACTCGATGCCTGGCATGGCCCCACTGGTGATGCCAGTGTGGGTATTTAGGGATGTGGAATTCTCATTGGTGTGACCAGTGTGGTCAGGGTGGGTTTATTGCTGCAGTGAAACCCTTAAAGGTGTCTGATGAGAGAAATGCAGCCAGACTTGTTTGTCCTCCAACAAAGTGCTGGTTCTGTGTGACCTGGCTGCTCTCCTTCCACCAGGACACAAGATTTGCCTCACACACCTCTCTGTGCCCTTTCTCAGCCCACACGAGGGATGTGAGGGCTCAGGCAGATGAGAACCTCATACAGCAGAGGGGAAAATCAATGTCATTGTCACCATGGCCTGAAAAAGAGGAGAACATGGTCCCCATCCTCCCCACCACCCTGCCTCAGGGAAGAAGTACAGTTTTTGGGTTTTGTGGACACACACTTCTAAAATTGCTTAAAACTAAGCCAAAGGAGTGCTGTGCTGCTCACACCAAGGTTTTATATTACCTGCCAAAAGATGGGTCAAATTATTTAAGTTGCTTATTGTGATTCAAGTGTAAAACAGAGTCAAAAACCAAAAATGCCTTCCCCATCCAAGCACAGGCTGTACCAGGGTGGTACATTGGAAAAGAACAAGCTGCTCCCAAAGAGTTAGTGCATTTGGGATGTTAGTGACAGGACACAGGGAAGAGTCAGGCAAGTGGCTTGTGTTTAAATGGGTGTCACCCCAAAAAACTGCTGTGCTCTCTCTTCCAGCAGCCCCTCCCCAGCCTCACTACTGGCACCCACTATGAAGGAGGAAAAAACATTTCCCAAGTTTTGGATTATGCTAATTCAAAAATCATGTTTGGTGTGGTGGCTGCACTTTAAGATACTGCTCTTTTGGGCATTTGAAATAGATTTTGGGCTAAATTCTGTTGCTTTAGGGTCAGAAATGGCCCATGAGGTGAGAGCTGTGCTCATTCCCCAGCAGGGGCTGTATCCTCTCTCCAGCCCACCCTGCTGAGGTAACTTCACTGAACAGTTCTTCTGTGAGAATCCTCGTGGAGGGATCAAGAGATCAACTCCATAAACCCAGACCGGTATTTTGGCTAATAAAAAAGCAGAAAGCACACACAGACCTGCCCCAAACCTCCAGATTTCTCTCAGAACTCCAGTAATTCTGAGGTGCCATTCTGATGGTGTTTGGTGGGTCTAAACTGGTCTGGCTCACAGGGCTGGGATTTTTCTTTTGCATTTTCTGGTTTACTTTTAGAAATCAAAGAAATAAACAAGGATACCCTCTAGACATGCTGGGTTGCAAGTTCTGGATATATTCTTGTCTTTCACACCTGTTTTAATCAAACCCAAGGGCATTTTGTTGCTGTTTCTGCAGACCAAACCTCAGTGGTTACCAACAAAAGAGCCACCCCAAAGTATAAATAAATAAGGAGATATAAAAACATTTATACAGACAGATAAAAACACACAAATGGCTCTCTCTGCCTGCATAGCCCCGTTCTCTCTGTACAGGCTGAGATAAATCCATCTAAAGGTGATGCCCCCTCCCTTCCTCCTCTATTTCAATTTAGTTGCAACAAGACACATTAATGTGTGAGCTAGAATTCCTGCTGGAAAGGGGAAATAACCTTCTGGAAGGGGAAAATAACCCACTGGAAAGGGGGAATAACCTTCTGGAAGGGGAAAACAACCCACTGGAAAGGGAAAATAACCCTTGGCTGGAGGAGGCCAGCTGCTCCCTAATCCTGCTGTACACGCTGGTGGCAAGCTAGGAAAACGTTCTGGATATACCCACCTGGTTTTTAGCCTGCCTGTACAGAGTCTGTTTTATTGCCTCAGAGTCTAAGGTGGAATTAAACACATCTTTAACTTCAAATGCTTCCTCGGCCGCTTTGCGGAGATCCAGCCCCTTCCCAAAATTCGGCATCTGCTCCAAATCTAACAGGCCGGCTTCGTCCTCCTCAATACACCTGTACCAATGACCAGGGGAAGGGGTGACCTGTGTTAGCTCGTCTGGCCCACAGCCTGCATGCACCACCCACGGGGGCTCACCAGCCACATGCGTGAAGGGATGGACAGACGGACACGGACACGGCATGGCATGGGGAGGAGTGAGGAGGAAGTGGAAAGCAACAAGCAGCAGGTTCTGTCTGAGGTTCTGAGTCTGCCACGTTTCTCTTCACGGAGAAAAGCAAGGCACAACTTCCCGAGAAATTTCTGGGATTTGTATTCTCTGAACCTCAGGGAAAGGAAAAACAATTCTTATCTCATTTACTGCTCCTGTGTTTGCTCAGAAGTGGAATGCATCGTGGAATAATATATAACATAGTATAATATACTAAAATAATAATTAATTAGCCTTTGGCGACAGTTCTGCACCAAAACTAGCGGTGCTTTTAAGCTGGGGAAGGCATCACTCAGTGTTGTGTGGTTTGTGCTGGGAATACCCCCAGAAACTGGGGCAAGCTGCAGCAAAAAGAGAGCTGAGCCTGTGCTGTGTGCAGCAATCTTTCATTCTGAAGGTGTTCAGACATGGCTTGATCTTGGGGGAAAAGTCCTTCACTTTTTATAGAATAATGGGATCTGGTTTGGGTTGGGAGGGACCTTAAAAGATAGTTGGGAGGGACGTTAAAATATAGCCATGGGCTATCCCAGGGTGCTCCAAGCCTTGTCCAACCTGGCCTTGGACAATTCCAGGGACAGGGCAGCCACAGCTGCTCTGGGCACCCTGTGCCAGGGCATCCCCACCCTCACAGGGAAGGATTTTCCTTAAAGATCAAACCTATATCTCTCCTCTTTCAGTTTAAATCCATTCCCCCTTGTCCTGTCTCTCCAGGCCCTTGGAAAAAGTCTCCCTTCATATTTCCAGTAGCTTCCTTCAGGCACTGGAAGGTCACTTTGGACCCTTGTCTCCTCCAGGCTGGACAATCCCAGTTCCCTCAGCCTTTTCTGCCAGCAGAGGTCCTCCATCCCTTTGATCACCCTGGGGCCTCCTCTGGACTCTCTGCAGGAGCTCCAGGTCATTCCTATGCTGGGACCCCAGGGCTGGAGGCAGCTCTGCAGGTGGGGTCTCACCTGGGCAGGGCAGAGGGGCAGAATCCCCTTTTTGCCAGAGCTCCAAGAATATTTTGCTCCAACTCAAAGGGCCACAGCAGCACCAAAGGCATTGCACAGACATCTCTTCCCTTGCCCTGACCAGGGATTTGGAGAGAAAAACGACATCTGCTGAGCTGTGGTACCCTGGACACTCTGGGTTTTGTATCTGTTCTCCTGCTCCAGACTCCTCTTCCCTTGCCCTGACCATGGATTTGGAGAGAAAAACGACATCTGCTGAGCTGTGGTACCCTGAACACAGCGGGTTTTGTGTCTGCTCTCCTGTTTAGACTCCTCAAGCCTTGGATATCATTCCAGCCTCTCCTTGCAGTCCACTTGTCTCATGTTCCCCCCCAGAATGGTGAAATGGAATCTGGAGTGAAGGTTTGAATCCAACCAGAGGCATGGCATGGCTTGGAGAACAAACCCACAGCACTCACGATGCACCACGGACACGGGCAGGGGCCTGAGCCCCCCGGGAATGGCCCCCTCACCTTCTGGTGTGGTCAAAGCTCATGGTGAGAGATGTGGGCTCCTCATCCTCCTCATCCTCGAACGCTCCCCGGGGCTCTGCCGTGGGCGACGCCGTCTCGTCCTGGGATTTCCCAGTCAGGCTGTCATCATCTTCCTCTTCCAGTTCTTCATCCTCATCGTCCACATCTTCTGTCTTCTCGTTTGCCAGTCCGTGGCACTGGGAATTGCCATCAATATCCTGGATTTCTGGCCTGAAATGTTTGGTTGAAGGGCAGGGAGGAGGAGAAGAAGAAGAAAGAAAAGGAAAAAAAAAGATGGCAAATGTTTAAGTCATGTATTCCCCACTGAAATGCAAGACTTTGATAATGTTATATAGAGATATGAACACAGAGACACATTTATATACATGTACATATTATTTAAAATGTAACAAAGAAGAAAATCAATGTGCTTCAGCCATTTAAAAATCACCGTTCACTGTTCCTAAAGGCCAATGCGCACGTTGAGAATGCACCAACCCAAGGCTTTTTGAGCTACAAAAATGAATTTAAATGCTGTTTTTTCATCTCTTAAAATTAACATTTGTGAGACAAGCAGCCTTCCTCCTTCTCTGGACTCTGTCCTCCAACAATTTCCCTTTGAGCAAACAGCAGGAGGAAGCTTCTACCAGAATTCCCTGTTGCGTCACTCTGCTGTTCACGCCTGTCCTCTCAGCAGATAATTTTATTTCCTTGCCTACCTTTTATCTGCTAAAGCCGACGCTTGATTCATCTCGCTATTGGCAATAAAATTTCTGATTTCCGAGAAATAGGAATCCTCTTTTTCGTCTAAAAGTGCATGGTTGTCTGATTCCGAGGTGGGGGAGGAGGCGCTGGTCCCGAGGTGGTTGGTGATGACTCCGGAGTGCTGGCTCACTGTGGGGCAGGAGCAAGGACAGGACACACAACAGGACACTCCATCAGGTGGTGGCAAGGCCAGGGTTATGAGGAAACATGAAGCAAGAATGTTCTCAACAGCACTCACACTTTGTACTGATTGTTTAATACTCAAGAGGAAAGTCATGGAGCAAAGATCCCAAAGGAAGATGGTGTTTCCAGACCAAAATACAGGGAATATTTGGCATTTAGGGTCAATACACACAATTTAACAACCATTGCAGAGCTGCTTGCCTACAACTTCATCACAGCAATTCCTTCCTTTCATTTTCTTATGTCAAAACAAAACCTATTTATCTTAAACTTTAAAAAAACCCTACAAACAACCCTACAAACAACCCTGAAAACTCATCCTTTGGGGGACAGTGCATTCCAGCAAGTTGCCTACAACTTTTCCTTAATACATCTTTTTACCCATGGTGGGAAATCACTTACTTGGCTTCATCACAGCAATTCCTTCCTTTCATTTTCTTATGTCAAAACCTCTTTATCTTATTGAAATTCCAAGAAACCCCTACAAACAACCCTACAAACTCATCCTTGGGGGGACAGTGCATTCCAGCGAGGCTTCCCAAGGGCCAAGACCATGGAGTCTCCTATCTCCAGTGGTCACCAGGGGGTTTCCCTACCTGGAACGTTCTCGTGCTCGTGCTTTTTCAGGTGCCTGTCGAGGTTGGTCTGCTGCCCAAAGCACCTGTTGCACAGGTGGCACTTGAATGGCTTCTCCTTGTTGTGGATGTTCCTGACGTGCCGCTGCAGGTTGGAGGAAATGCTGAATGACCTGTCACAGTATTTACACCTGGAAAACAGCAGCAGATGCCAAAGAATGCAACGTGAGGAGAAAAATTAAAAAAAAAAACCTCAAACAACAACAGAAAAAAAATAAAAATGAAAGGAGAAAAATCTGACTATCAAAACCCCAGGAAATGTTGGTCTATAAATCTTTACTCAGGAGTAAAAATTGTGCTGAAGGAAGCACAAAGCATTAATCATCCCAGACAAATCTGATATTATTGTTACTCAAGGAGCACAAAGAAAGGATTAGGATTAATTAGGAAGTCGTCCAAATAAATAAGAGTTTGAAACAAAATAATTACTTTTCCATGCATGGATGTAGGAATGAGAGAGGTGGATTTATTCCTTCCACTTTTTTTTGAGAGGAATCAGGTGAAATATGGCTGAGGAGGGAGGACAAGGAAGACAGAAGAAGAAAGAAGGGAGGTGAAATGTTTAAAATAGTTATGAACTGGCAAATCCCTGCGTGACAGTTAGCTGGACACACACAAAATCCTGGCTTTATTTGTGAAATTCCTTGTGGTACTGGACATGCAGGGATTGCAGCATGGCTTTAAAGGTAATTATAACTATTCTTATAGCAAAGAAATCCACCATCCTTTCCAAACAGGGTAAGATTTACTCCTAGGAGTGAATATCTGGTTTGTGATGAAAAGCTGGAATGCAAGGAGCCAAGCCAGGATGTTCAGGAGAGCTGCTGAGTGAGGAGATGTTCCCTCTCTGAGCTCAGTCTCTGCAGGACCCACGGCAGATGGGCTGGGGGCTTGTTCAAAGCCACCACCCCCCTTTTTTGGGTTTAGATCCCCTCCAAATAAGTCGGAATTGCTCGGGGTGGCGGTGAGGGCTCCAGCTCCCAGCGCAGAGCCGGAGCCGCTGATGGACTGAAGGTGGCAGCTCCGAGCTGCGGTGGAGAGTTTGGGTCTAAAACTCCTGAAAACCTCATTCCTGCCCGAATCCGCCGAATCCCTCGTTCCATCTCCCTTTAAACACGTCACTTGTACCTCAGCAAAGATGCTCCCCCCTGGGTCTGCTTCCAAAACCCACGAGCAGCAGAATCTGTCTCTGCTGCGGAGCTGCGCAAATCCTGGATGCTTCCAAAATTCCAGCTCTTCCCAAGCCCTTGTAATCCCAGAATAAATCCACACCAGCAGGCTCCAGATTCTGGATTTATTCTAGAATAAATCCACTCTGAAATCCTCTAACCCACAGCAATATCTGCCCCACTGAGCTGAGCTACTCTTCCATGGGAATCCTGGAATTCCAGAATGATTTTGGGACTCTAAACCCACCCCAGTGCCACCTCTGCCATGGGCAGGGACAACTTCCACTATCCCAGGTGGCTCCAAGCCCTGTCCAACCTGGCCTTGGACACTCCCAGGGATGGGGCAGCCTGTGCCAGAGCTCCCCCAGCACTCCAGGACACGGAGATGGAGATTTTGGGAGTATCAGCAGCTCCTGATGTGCACAGACTCACCCCGTGCCTGCCTCACTCAGGGATGGAGCTGGATGTCCCTGGGCACAGGGGACATGGGATTCTTCCCTACAGACACAACAGTGGAGTGGAAAAGATCCCTGCTGTGAAACACACACACCCCATTTCCAGATGTGTTCCAGCTGGGATTTTTATTCGGTCTCTAAAAATAAATCGATATTATTTTTGGAAAAAAGCGGGGATACATTTATGAAACACTCTCTCCTGCTGAATGTTTATGGATTCCATGTCCACCTCCGAATTTCCTACTGCTAAATCTCCAACAAGAATGAAGATATTTCAAATAATGGGCCTTTATTAGGATTAAGCAAGGCAGAGAGCAAAATTTTTAAACCACAGCATTTCCAGACTCCTAAAGTATTTAGTTTTCCTCTTTTTTTTTTTTTTTTTTTCCAAAAACCCCCAAATAACTCCAGAAAACAAGAAGTTATTTGAACACCAGCAAGAACAATCACACGGAGATTTATCAAGAACAATCTGTACAGAGAGTTAAACATGGATTTCCAGCACCAAGGAATTTGCTCTCAGATTCCTGTTCAGCACTCCAGCAAACTGCAATATCCAAACCTGCCAATATCCCAATATTCCTGATATTCCGTGAGATTTTCATGAGTGGTTTTATCCAGTTTAGACTAGGAGCTCCGTTCTCATCCTTGATGATGCCAGGGGTTTTCTCTCCCTGCCTGCCATCACCAGCTCCTAAAAAACCCTTTTTCTGTGTCCCCATGCTTGGCACAGGGAATACCTGGCACAGTGGGCACCAGGATAACTCATGTTCCCAGCCTGGCTGTCCCTGCCAGGAGCAGCTCCAGACATTTAAAAGCAACTCAAGGCAGGAACGACCTGGCCTCCTCCACATCCATTTATTTAGATGTTCAGGAAGCCTTTGAAAAGTTCCCTGTGACAGGTCCTGGCCCTAACCATGAGCTATGTGGATGCAGGGTCGGGAATGGGGAGGGATAAAGAGCTTGTTAAAAAAAAAATAGGAACCAGAAGGGCACTGGGAAGGAGCAGGGAATGCCTGGGAGCAAAGGGATGAGGGAGATGTCCGGCATTATTTGTGGTCCCAGAGGGGTCAGTGCTGGGAGCTCTGCTGGTTTTAATCTAAATAAATGGCCCAGGCAGAGGAACCAGCAGAAATTCAGGGAGAGGGGTGAAGAGTGAAGGAGGAGAAGAATAAAACTCAAAGGCAGCGGTGTTTGCTTTGCAAACAGCCCCACAAAGCTTCTCCCTTATTTTCTGAAAACATCCAAATGGGAGGGAGGGACAGCGAGGAAGGAGCCAGGGCTGGAGCTGGGGAGCTCTGGCAGGAAATCCTGGGAGCTGCAGGAGCTCGGTACCTGGGACAACACGGGCCAAAGCAGGGAGCAAACCCTGGAAATGTGGGGAGGATTTTCCCAGTGCCTCTCATGAAGTTCTGCACTGATCAGTGTGATCTGAGAGGCAGAATTGCAGGAAAAAAACCAAAAAAACCCCATGGATAGCAGCTCTCCCTCTGAGTGACTCCTCAGCCCCAAGTGCATTTTTAGCAGGGGTGAGCTCAGGCTGCGTTTTGAAAATCAGAAAATGAGAAATATCTTCAATATTTGTTGAACTATGTGCAATTTAAATGCCATGGTAGATGTCAGCTGTGGCTCTGAGTTCCAGCTTAATGCAGACAACACGACACAAGGCCTCCAAGGGCCTTTTTATTCTGAATTCTGAAATACATAGTCCAGATTTTCAGTTTTGGTGCAGAAAAAACAAAAAAAAAAGAGTGAAAAGAAGCATGTTGAATTTCACTGTAGCGCACAGGGGCTCGGAGTGTTTTCAAATAATTTGATTTTTAGGAAGTGAATCACCAGGTATTTCTCACTCTTCAGAAAACATGTTGCGTTTTCTCTTTATAAAAAGAATTTGCCTCGTTATTGCTCATGTGCTATTAATTCCTACTTTATACATAATTAGACTTCTTAAGTAGAAGTTTGAGTAACTTCATATCCCCCTCAAAAAAACTCCAAAAAATTGAATCAGTGACCATCAGGAATCAAAGCCAAACCACCTTATTTTCTAGCCCGTTGCCTTTAAGAACAAAGTAATTAATATTTGGATTAGTACTGAAATTATTATAGATAAAAATATTTTTATAGGGTAAAAAAAAAATTAAACAATCAAAAACAAAGTTTTAAAGAAGACAACAATAAAACACTGAGAAATCAGCAACCTCCTTTTACCTGCCTGAAGTCAGCACTTAAAAACCAAGCTTTCAAAACAAGTCTGGCTGCCAAAGCTGCAAATCTCAGTTCTCTGAGAGGAAAAGCAAATCAATGATAATTAAAGCTCGTCCGTAAACGCAGCCCCGGCTCTCCGGAGTGCTGTTAGAATGCAACATTGTCCAGGAGTCAGACCTCTAAAAAACCCACACAGGCTATTTTCTGGGAGAAGACCAGATCAAATAAATCTTTATTTTCCTAACCTTTGTTAAGTTGCAAGTCTCCTTTTTTGGAAGAAAACTGAACTAAAGATCTCGGAATAATCGGGAGCGAGAGTTGCAATGGACAGGGAACACACAGGAATATCAAATAACACAACCCCAAACATCACAGCAGGGATATAATCCAAAATATATGTCTGTTTTGGGGGGTGGTGGTGGTGGTGTATTTTTAATTTACCTAATGTCTACACTAAAAATGCTGGATGGAAAAAAAACGTGATTCTCGGCGTAGCAGGGATTACAATGTGGGAGAGTCAATTCTTAGGTTAAACTGAGCATAAAAATGTGATGTATTTGACCACATGGCCTTTTGCTGCTCATAAATTTGTGTTTCTCTTTATTTAATAACTGCTCCATTTGCTTTGTTGTGAACTTATGGCTGTGTATGAAACGCTGCAACATCAGCTACCCAAAACGAAATGGAATTGTTACCATTGTTTGACAACCTGCAAAACACTCCCTCACATCATGGCAAACACAAGGCTTGATTTGCAGCAAGCTCTCAATTCATCAATCCTTCAGGTTTGCTCATTTCTGGACTTCATTTTAACTAAAAAGGCATTTTTTCTCCCAGTTTTTTTTTAAACTGCTTGTAACTCGCTGGGACAAAATGCTGGGGGGAAGATTTCCCTGAGAAATACTTATTTATATACATAGGCACTCATATTACATGTATTTTCTTGTGAGTTTTATTCAGATTTAAGAATCTGAATAAAAAATTTATTCAGATTTTAAAATCCTGACTTAGGCAGGAGCCACAGAACCCACTGGGCTGGGACACTGTCCTTGTGCACACTGAAGCATCAAAATCACATCACCTTGTCCCCAGCTAACAGAAAATAGCTCAGCCTTCTACCTTAAACACTCACAAAGGTGTGAGACTCTGTGTGAATCCCCCACTCCCACCTCTCCTTTTAAACTCCATGATTTAAGCTCAGAAACTACCAAAATTCAGTTTTAAGGCAGGTAAATCCACACGTTTTTGCATGTTGCATTTTCTCTTTATAAAAAGAATTTGCCTGGTGTGTATTATGTATAAAGTAGGGATTAATAGCACACTACTCATGTACTTTATACATAATTAAACTTCTTAACTAGAAGTTTGAGTGACTTCATAGCTACCCCCCTAAAAAACTCCAGAAAATTTAATCAGTGACCATCAGGAATCAAACCCAAACCTTTGTTTTTTTTGATCCCCTACTCCAAGCACCTCTGATGTGCATTAAGAAAAGAAAAAGAAAAAAAAAAGAAAACCCAGCTAGCCCCAGCAGTGAAGGTCCTGGCAAGCCCTTCAAACCAGCCCGAATTTCAGAGCCATTCAGCACCTTCAGCTGTCCTTGAGATGAATGGTTAACGTGAGTGTGAAACAACACTGCAAATCAGAGCCCTCATTTGCCAGCATACATCTAAATATAAGTTAAGTGTCTATCTTCGAGCTGCCAAGCCTGATTATTTTTGGCTGGTACACATAATATACAACCCTATGAATCACTCTGTGTAATGCTCCAGGCCTGTGGTATTCTGCTGGCACAGCTTTATAAAGGAGAGGGGGGGTGGAAATACCAGAGTGGTGAGTGAGGAGTGTTTGGGAAAGGGTTTTTTATGGGGGACAACATCACCTGTAAGGCTGCTCCCCAGTGTGTGTCCGCAGATGCCTCGTCAGGTTGGCTGAGCGTGGGAAGATCTTGCCACAGTACCTGGACAGGGAGAGCCAAAGGAAACCATCAGGAGAACCAAAGGAAACCATCAGGAGGACCAGAGGAAACCATCAGTAGAATCAAAGAAAACCATCAGGAGGACCAAAGGAAACCATCAGGAGAACCAAAGGAAACCATCAGGAGGACCAAAGGAAACCATCAGGAGAACCAAAGAAAACCATCAGGAGAACCAAAGGGAACCATCAGGAGAACCCCTGGATGCTGTGGGAGATGGATTTCTAGGGAATTCTCCAAGCCTGGCAGAAGGCTCACACAGTGTGCAAACCTTGGGATAAGAAATGCTGACTTAGAAATGGGAGAGGACAGACATTGCTGAGAGAGAAATGGAGGTAGAAACAAGTTTCAAAGGATGGCCTTGCAAACAAGACTGGGTACTCTGGAGAACTAGAACTATGAAAGATGCCACAGCACCACCTGCACCCCTCATTCTGACACCGCTCCCAAAATCTCTTCATGCCCTCACATCATGAGCTCATCCCTGATGGGGAGGACAAATCTCCCACCCCAGGGTCACAGGGGGCACTGTGCTGGCATCAGAGCACCAGGAGCAGCTGAGGGAGCTGGGAGGGCTCAGCCTGGAGAAAAGGAAGCTCAGGAAGAACCTTCTCACTCCTCCAACTCCCTGGCAGGAGGGTGCAGCCAGGTGGGGTCGGGCTCTGCTCCCACAAATGGGGGACAGGACAATAGGAAACAGCCCCAAGTTGCACCATAGGAGGTTTAGATTGGATACTTGGGAATTTTTTTTCACAGAAAGGCTTGTCAGACGTTGGAATGGGATACCCAGGGAGGTGCTGGAGTCACCATCCCTGGAAGTGTTCAAAGGAAGTGTGGACAAGGCACTCGAAGACAGGGTTTAACTACAGCATTCCTGCATGAGGGTACAGAGGGTTTAATCACTGCCTGGGCAGATTGGCACTTGAGATGTTTCTGCATCTCCTTTATAGCCCTGTTGATGCGCTCATCAAAAGGAATCTGCTCTTTCATCCTTGGAATTCACAGAATTTTCTCTGGATAAAGGCTGCAGCACTGTGCTATGGGTTAGGAGGCTGACAGCTGCTTGCAGCAAGGAAATGCAGCTGTAGGAAATTAATAAAGGAAGGAATTGTGTTCCCCCATAAATCCAGTTCACAGGAAAATCAAAAAGGTATAAATAAAAACACTAATTGGGAAATAAAGATCGAAGGAGGCGGGGCTGCACCCTGTGACTATGAAACCTATTGTAGGAGGAAGCCATGACAGACTTTCCTTATTTCAGAGAACTTCAGCTGTCCTGAAGATGAACAGTTAATGTGAGTGTTCCCCAGCAATGCAAATCCAAATTTTAACTTGTGAGTGTGCATCTAAAATTTATGTTTAGTCCCTTTTGTAAGTGGAAACCTCAAATTTCTAAATACTCAACTGAAATCTGAGCCCACAGCTCTTGTGGCAAAGATGAACATAAGAGGCACCTCAACCAAAGCTTGTACCCACTTTCTGCACCCAAAAAAATCCCCTCAGCAGGAGCCACCATAAGAACCTTGAGGTAAAACTGCGACAGCAGACAGAGGTTTATTATTAAATACCCTTGATCTGCTCCAGCTTGGAGCTGGATGGGTACGTGAGGAGTTCTGTGGATAGAACAGTTTGAAAAAGTTGTTTCCTGCATGCTGTTTTTCAAAATTCAATCATTTTTCCATAGCTGAGGTTGGATTTAGCCGGGACTGGCATTGGGAACGGCGGCGTTCGCCGCTGCACGCCAGAGACTTGGCGTGGGGAGTTGGGTTTGCTTGAGAATCTCCAGATCTGCTCCCAAGGTTATTAAAAATTACAAAGCAAACAGAAGATGCTGATTTCCTACCAGACAAAACAAGCTATTTCAGAGGGAATTAGTCATCCCAGCTCTGCTCTAATTCCACCGCTCCTTGTTTTCCCTCCTGGCCAAGATGTCGGCGTGGAGCTGCTCCGCTCTGTGCTGGCGCCCAGTGCAGCTGCCCAGCTGGGAATGCACACCCTGGGTTATTTCCACATCCTGGGATGTTTCCACACCCTGGGGCTCAGTGTGGATGCCGTGGGATGCCCGGCTCACCTGCAGGTGTAGCGCTCCTTGCCCTTGCGCAGGATGGGGTCGGAGAGCGTGGGCGGCGGCGATCGGAAGTTGAAGGGGTGGTGGGGAAGGGGCTGCAGGGACGAGCCAGAGTCAGCCTTCATGGCTGCAAAGCTCTCCAGTTTCTCCGTCATCGTCTCGATGGCCGACATCTGCAAGGACAAGGAGAAAGCTCCTGTCAGAAAAATCCCCAGGAAGGGCAAGGTCTGATGCACGAAACACCGGTTTTGGTTGGGCAAAGCCTCCTGCTGGTGTTGGGTTTCTTGAAAGTTGGAGGCACAGTGGGAAATGGAGCCACTGAATCCAGCCAGGAAAGACTGGAGTAGTGTATTGGTCGTGGAGAAAGCAGGAAAGGCACAACTGGCAAATGTATTTAGGTCCCAGAAATGAGCACTTGTTCAGTTTCTGCAGTGTGCATGTGCTCATTTCAGCACTTCAGATCAAAAATTACCTCAGAATACACCTGAGACATCCATTGTTTATCAGGAATTCAACTGAATTTTTTACCAGGAAAACTCTGAAACTAAACACCATGGTCAGATACCTGAGGTAGAACTCAGTACCCAAGCCCAAAGCAAATTCTTGGGAATTCTGATTTCTCCTACAACATCCTGCGGTCTTGGAAGGACAGGGCAGTGAGGGGTGGGTGGACAGGCAGGGACACAACCCCAGGAGAAGGGGAACAGGCAAGTTTTGGGCCCAAAGCAGCAGAATCCTGTCCAGAGTGGAGTGGGAGGGATGTGTGATGGCTGCTCAGGGAGCTGAGAGGAGAGGAGAGGTGGAAGGGGTGAAGAGGGAGCAGCTGGGAAGAGCAGGAGTTAGGATCAGGCTCAGGATGGGGTGGATCCACAGGGAGCTTGCCTGATGAAGAGGCCAACACTTTAATTATGGGTAGGAAAGGTTCAGCAGCTCCTGAAGGTGATGGAAGGATGGGTGGGAGGTGGCTGAGTTTCCTGGAGTGAAAGGGAGCTCCAGCCAAACCCCTGGATGCGAGTGGTGGCTGGGTGAGTTGTGGTCAGGAGGGGCAACACCTACACATCCCTTTGGGGTGGGAGCAGCTGGCATGCAGGCCTGGAGCTCGGACACCAAGCAGAATACCCCTGGAGGCTTGTTCAGATTTATTTTGTATGACTTGGCCTTGTTCTCACGGACACGAGATTAAACACCACACCAGAAAGAGGGAGAAAGGGAAAACCCTGGAGATACAGGAGAAGGGGAAAGCAGAAAAGGAAAGAATGAAGCTGGACCATGTGCAAAAAAGGAAAAAATGAATCTGCATAAAAATCCTGCCTAAAGAACAGCACTTTTACTTTCATTACAGCGCAACAGGAAATCCAATCCAAGAGAGCAACGCGGCTCAGAGGACGACGCCGACTCCTCCGACATCCAGCTTCGTGCACTCCTGAGAGCACTCTGGAGATACCAGGGGCAGAAGAGAGGGCTAAAACAAACAAGGCAGCAATAAAGCTGCCTCCTGGCTGCGCTGACATCAGCGGGACAGGCGGGAGCTGCGGAGGCAGCCGGGGCGGCAGCGAGCAGCGGAAGGCAGTAGGAAGCCATACATCACCCCGAGATGCTCGATTGTGCAGGAAGGGCTGACCTTTTGCACGTTTACACTTTATTAAACTGGGCTTTAAAAGGATGGGGAGGGGGGGGGCAGAGGGGGAAGAGAGCCAAGATATTGTTTAAAAATATATGGCTATGAAAAAAAAAGTTGTCTTAATCACCCCTGAAGACATTGTGAGGGCTGACAAGCATTCATAAGCTGTAAAAAAAGAGGAGTAGTAACCCCCATTTCTCAATAATAGATCCACAGCCCCTTAGCTGGAGGCTCCCAGCCCATGAGAAATAGTAAGTAATACTTAGCACCAGCCACTTGAAAAGGTTACTTGATCATTTACAGCACCAGCTCTGCCCCAGCTGCCAGTCATGCAACAAAACCATCACGTTAAAAAGCTCTCCGGACCTTTCAGAGCTGAGCTCTCAGCCCTTCGCCGAGGTACCTGGAGCTCTCCTTTGTTGTGCCCTGTTCTTTAGGCACTTAGTCAGAGATATTTGCTGGCTTGAGAGCCGTAGGCTGGTTTTAAAATTCTAAACACTGGCCACGGCCTCTCCAGTGGCAAAGGCACTTTGCTATTTAGGGAACAACTGCCTGGTTATAATAAAACAGAAAGGGGGAAGAAAAGAAACTTAACAGGTGAGGAAAGGCTTTCCATTAAGTTATCAAAAAGTTACACAGGTTATTTATGTTGTCCAGAGTTTCATTTGGAATAGACAATGTAGGAAAACTCCCAGGGAGCAAAGGAACTTCTGCCAACGACTGGCTAAGAAATAAGAGCTGCCTGAAATTCATTTTGAGAGAGGAAACATCTCCTGAACACTTTTATCACATCTTCTGGCTTCATCACATCCCAGTGAGGGCACTCTGAGAGAGCTGGGGATTAGTCATAAAGGAAAAAGGCTGAGACCAGACTCATGTTTGGAGTGAGAAAAGCCTGGGTAGAACGTGACTCTGACTGACCAGGCACAGGAACGTTGGTCCTAATGAAGAAAGCAGAAGCAGGAATCCTGAAAATGTGATTCTAAGGAAAAGATCCAGGATCCAGGGAATTGTCACGGCCTCAAGGCTGCCAGAGCTCTCAGACACAGGGTGGGATTGTTGGGGTGTCCTGTGCAGGGCACAGGTTGGACTGGATGATCCTTCCAGCTCGGGATATTCCATGACTCTGTGATAATACTGGAGATTCTGTGATAATACTGGAAGGGGATCTGGTGGTACAAATCAATATTCTGGAACAAATGCCCCGTGTTCCTTCTCTGTGTCTGAAATACCTGGTTGACTGCAGCATGGGAACGGCGCCTCTCCAGATCAAGTGATCTGAACACAGCGCCCGCCTTATTAAAAATCATTATTAAAAATCAGTTATCAGGAAGCTTTGGGCTGGAGTGATTGTGAATTTGAGGCTATTCTGTGTGATAAGCTTCTAGAGATAACCAGGCCTTCCAGATCTTTTCACTGCCATGGGAAGAGGACGTGGTCAGGATTTCAGGAACAATGTTAACAACCTTCCACCCAGAGCTTGCTCCTGCTTGGGGTCTGAATGTTTCTCATCGTCTCCTTGGGTTGCTTTGCCACGCTGGCTCCTCCCTGCTATCAGATTCTTTACAGGCAGATATCCCCACTATTCTAAGCCACACAAACACAGGATGTTCCTGGCCAGCCTGTCACCATTATCCAGCCTGGATGAAGGAAAAATCAGGGGAAGTTATTAACCAAACTCTGAGGCTGGTGTGAAACAATGCAGGAACTAAGTTTAGCTGTGAAAGCAACCAGGACCCAGATTTCACAAACCTGCGAGTTATTTATCTAAGGTGGGAAACATTATCAGGGGAGAACAATGCTCGTGAATATAAAGGAGAGCACAATGAGGAGCACGGAGCTGGGATCCCAGCCTGGGCACAGCAGGAAGGACTGGGATAGCTGGGGACTGTCACACACACAGCTGAACCCACTGCCCGGCACTTCCACACAATCCCCGTGATGTGGGGAATTCAGGAAGGTGGAAAATGCTTCTGCCTTGGGGCTGGGCAGTCCTTCTCCACCTTGTACCACTGCAAACCACACCCCCAGGTGTTCCCAAAGGAAAAACCACGCAGGCATTGTGAGCTGTGGAAGGGGAGCTTGGCAGAGCCTATGAGCTGCCCAGACCTCATCCCTGTTTTTCTGGCAATGCAAAGGAAGCAGCAAGGCACAGCTGCCATGATCCTCAAACTGGGAATTAAATGTGCCTGGAAGGAACTAGTGGAAAACAGTGGAGATTCCAGTCAGGCCCTTGGATGAGGAGGAGCCTGATCCCAGTGATCCCAGCGTGTACCAGCTCCACCCCAGCATTCCATCAGCACTGCTTTTACCTGGGGGTGGAAAAGCAGCGGGGAGGGTCGCAGGTACTTCTCCTTGAGGGCACCCACGGGGTCTGTCACCTTCCGCTTCTCCACCCTGCTGGACAACAACACAGAGGGTTACATACCTCACAGGCAGCCCCACACAGCCACACTGTGCTGAAATTGCACACAAGGTTATTCTCTTACTCACACAAATGTCTTACACCCCCTTCTCCTGGACACTACAGATTCTGATGCACAATTGCCCCACAATTGTGTGCAGAGTGCAGAAAGCACTGGAAATAACATGAACACCAATCCCCTCCTTTGGGCAGTATTTTTTTTAGCCTTCAGGCTGATGACTAAGAAAACATTTTGCTCCTGCTCTGCTGCAGTGGTTTATAAACCTCTGCTGTTGTGAAAGGTCATGGAAAACCTTGCATTTAGAGTAAAGCTGTCTGAGCAGGAGAAGCTCTAGGGTCCACAGCAGGCAGCCCCCGCACGGAAAAAAAAAAAAATTGTCTTTGAGAGTTTGCATTTATTTGAAGAGTTAACACTGGGCCAGACTCTGCAGCCCCAAGCGTGCTGAAATCATTAGGTGTTTCATATTTGTTTCCTCCCTCGCAGCTGAGACATAATTTGCATTGAGTTTCTTTGGCAAGCCCATGTGGACAACGATTTAAAAAGTGAGGGACTGGTGGGAGAATTCTGAAGTGGCTCAGAAACCTGAGTTCTTCTGATATCACCTTGGCCCACTCAAATATTTCATGTTTAAGCATCTGAGATGCAGAAATGACCCTAAAGTGAGGCTATTTTTGAAAATGTTGGCTTTGCTTCCACAAAATATTCTACTTGCAGGGAAACGGAGGTGTGGAATCACCAAAAAGACAAACTGAGATGTTCTCTAAGGGAAAAAAAGTGTTGAGGAAGTAACTCCAACAAACACAGCTGCATCTTTAAATGGTTGGAATTGAGTCCATCCAGCTAAACCAGCAGAAATCCAAGAGTAAGAGTGATTTTAACTACATTAGTCTAGCATAAATTGAGAGCAAATTATTTTTGCTACATTTCAGCTGATTGGTGCGTGGATCAAATTACCAAAGAGTTTAAAGAAGAGCCCTGCCGAGTGCAGTCAGCGAACTGTGCTTAATCTGCATTTAATTTTTCTTGGGTAGAGGGAAAGAGAAGAGCTGGGTTGGAAACACAGCCAGAATTAGGGGGCTTTGGAAGGTACGTGCTTTTATGGGTCTGAGTCGCCAGAAAAACCAAGGAATAAGTAAAAAGTTGCTCCCTGAGCCCCCCTGACCAGCCCAGCTTTGCTCTCCGTGAGGCACTGAAATGCCCAGGGGAACATCCCTGATCCCATCAGCGCCTTCTGGGGAGAGCCCTGCCTGCTCCGTGTGCACAAAATCTGGTGAATTGACAGCATTTCCCCAGCTCTGCCATGTCCCAGCACCAGGAATGGAAACACAAGGTCCAAACGTCCCCGTCAGAGCTGAATTCCGCAGCGCCTGGAGGATTAAGCCGATCGTTTCAGCCCAGTGCCTGAGAACGTCACCCCCACGGGCTGAGCTAAAAACTGCCCCCATTTCAGACTGTCTGGCCGCATTAAATTATATCACCAGGAGAAAATGTCAAGGATTTAAGTGGCCTTTGGGAGAAAAAAATGAAGGAGCCAAATGATGTGAGAGAGTCTGATAAAGGGAAGTTTAGAAACAAAATATTTCCATATTTTTCAAGCTGGGACTTGGAAGCTGGGCTGTTTCGCTCATTACATCAGAAGTCTGATTCGCAAGCAACGCCACCGCTGACTTTCTATTTTAACACATGACTAAAACTATGTGCATCCCATGGAATGCAGCAAACGGTGCCCCCATCCTTCACTTCCATCTGTCTTCTGGGCCTTTACGGTTTTCCCGAGGCCGCTGTTTTAATTGGCAATGGCTTCTCCAAGCCGTGTTATTTCAGCATTCCTGCTGAGAATGCCCAGAGGTGGCAGGACCCTACAAGGATTCTTTTGCCTTTCCATCCCATGTATTGATTTTTTTTTTTTCTCCCCAGGAGTAGTTTTTATGAACACTGCTCACACCATGCCTGATTTCTCCAGGAAGAGATGGCCACGGTGGGTGCCAGGCAGGACACGGCACCTCCTGAGCTGGGAGGTGTCCCCATCCCAGATGGCATGATGTGGGCACGTCACCCCCGTGAGCTGGCAGAGCCAGAGACACTCATTTAGCCAGCAGTGAGGGCTCACTAATCCTCATCGCAGCCGACAGCTCCTTGGCCTGGCCAGACACTGACATCACTTTTTCCCAGAGTTATCAGCCCTGCGACAGCGGCCGGCGGTGACATCTGGGCTGTCGTGGTGCTCGCAGCCCTCTGAGCGCCCATCCCACCGTCACACCATGGTGGCTCTGAGGCTTTCCAGCGCCAGGGACAAGGCAGATCCTGCAGGGGAACAGCCAGTAACCTCCCAGCAGGCTGGGCACAGCAAGGATCACCAGCACAAGGAATGTGAGGACAAAGCATTCACCTCCACGGACTGAATCCAGGAATGCTCCGGGACAAGCACAATTATCCAGAAGGATGCTGTGGAGCATTTAGACATGGTAGTGGCTAATTTAGATGTGTTAGTGTCTAAATCAAACTAGTTCAGGACATGCCTTTTCACTGGACTTTGCTAAAATTAAATGTGCCATGTCCACCTTTTCCAAAGGCAATGCCTGGATGGGTAACACACAAATTCACTGTTATCCTCACAAAGTTATAATACTTTTCCTTTGGGAACAGGTTTTATAAAAAGCTCTCAAGCAACCCAAAGTCTTCCCTTTTTGCTTCCTCCTGAATTGATTCCTTCTGGAAGTTTAGCTGACATTTGGATAACTTCACCCAGCCTGCTCTACACACGCCTTCCATGTTCAGCTCATTCTGACGTAACGCATCAGGCCCTCCTCAGAACCATCTGTTCAAGTGACACCAGAAAGGCCTTGTTATCTCCCAAGAAAGATAAATCTGTGAGAAATGTATCTGGGAGAGATCTGGGTAGTAACACGCTACCATGTGTTTACGCAGGACTTGTTACTCCAAGAGTAACAAGTTTCAGCAGGTTGGGTCTGCACCAGCAGCTCCTCCGAACAGAAAAAACCCAAGAAATGGCATTAGAAAGGAAAAGGGAGGGAGGGAGAAAGAAAGGTGAAGTGGCTCACAAAAGGCCCTCGAGTCAGTCAGTGGGAGAGCTGCATTTCCAGGCTCCCAGGGCTCCTGACTCATTCCCAAGCCATGAGAGCCCAGGGCTCCAAGGCAATCTGAACTCTGCATTCTTATCGAATCAAACCTCTGGAATTTCTCCAGCAGAAGTGCCATCTTAGCGATGGCTCGTGGGAGAGTCCTTAAATAGGTCAAGTTTCTTCTTTATCAAAATAAGGATGTGTTCTTTACACACTGATTATGAGGGCTCCTTGCAATTACTCAGGCCTTTCCATTCAGGAAACTCAATGTGTCGAGAAGTACAAACAACAACAGGAGATGTTCAACTGTTCTTCCCAACCAACCTGCATCCTCCCCTGCCTCAGGGTGTGGTGTCAGCTGGAAAAGGAGCTGGTTAGGGAAAGGCTTAAGGCAGGGTATGTTAATACCTGTAGATGGGGTCCATGAAAAAGGGCGATGGCTTAGCGTAGTGCAGGGAAGGCTGCTGAGGCAGCTGGGACTGGGAAATCTTAGGTAAGACCTCACTTGCCATCAGCTTCCTCTCCCCATAAATGTGGTTTTTCCTTGGCTCTCTCCCTCCGTTCTGGCTGGCTCGGATGCGGTTGCCAATGCTCAGATCCAGTGGCTGCTCCTCCCCTGAGGACGGGGCTGGGAGGACCTTGGGGGGCGGCAGGATTGGCTTAATCTCTTTTGGCTTCGTGGTGAGATCGAAGGGGGACTCCGAGCTGGTGCCACCGACTTTGTGGAGGTCCCTGGGTGACTTTGGTTCTGCCTTGACCAGCAAGTTGTGATTGAGGGTCCGCTCCGTGAAAGGGTAGAGGGAGTGGGGGAAATTGGGGAGGAACTGGAAAGGGAACATGGAATGATATGGGAGTGAACCCATCTTTTTCTCCTGCATCCCCATAAAGCCAGGCCCAAAATACTTCTCTGCAATGGAGGCGATAGCTTTAATAGAGTCATTGGCAGCGCCCGTGGTGGGCAGCAGGTGCTCCTCGGGGGGAGGAAAGAAGGAATGCTGAGAGTAGAAGAGAGGGATCTCGCTCGTGGTGTTGGTGGAACTGGCAGACACCGAGCTGCTGACAAAATCTGGCTTGGTCTCCATTTGTTTGCTCTTGTCTTTCGTTTTGTCCCTGTCACTCTCCGCGTCACTGTCCAGGTCAGAGCCGGTGCCAGTCGTGGTGTCCAGATCCGTGCCCGTGGTCGTATTGACATCCTCAAAGTCACTGCCATCGGACATGTCACTGTTCCTGGCTTTTAGCTTCTCCAGGTAGGAGTTCTCCAGGCTGCTTTCACATTTCTCCTCCCCGGAAGGAGCCTGGTTGCTGTTGCTCACCGCGGAGATCAGGGGCAACGCTGGGTTCCCGAGGGGGCTGGGGAGCTTCGCGTCCGGAGTGTGGTTGAGGGGACTTTTGAGCAGTTGCGTGGGCGGTAACAAGGGAGGCCTGGGGTACAGAGAAGGCGGAAAAATCCCCGGGAATCCCGGGGTGAGGGCGGGGAAGGCTGGGGGGGCTGGCGAGAACGGGAGCCCGCCGGGGTGCGGGCGGGATGGGAAATACTCGTTAAAGCCCAGGCTGGCGTGGTTGAGGTTGGGAGAGGGTTTGGATTTGTCCATCATGGAGGTGGGCGTGAGGGGGAGGCCGGGGGCGAAGATTCCTGCGGGGCTGTAATGGTTCTTGCCCTCGCAGAAGCGCCGGTGCTTGTTGAGGGAGGAGGTAGTGCTGAACATCTGCCCGCAGTCCTTGCACTTGATCTGGGTGCGGCAGTCCGCGTGCATCCGCTTGTGGCGGCACAGGTTGGAGAACTGCGTGTAGGATTTGTGACAGACCTCACCTAAAGCGTCAACAGGAACCAACAACAAAAGCCATATGAAATTAACAGGAAAACAGCAGGGGTTCGCAGTGGGATTCACCAGCCCGCCCCCCACACCGCCCCGTCCCTGGGAGCTCCCGGCCCCGAAGAGCAGTGGAACATCACCGCCTTTCCCTTTGGATGAATCCTGGAGAATCTCTCAATCCACAGAAATCTGAGGGGATGTGCTAGCTCTGCTCAAAGTTTGGGGGAATTTTCAGGAAAGGTTATCATGGAATCACAGAATGTTTGGGTTGGGAGGGGCATAAAGCCCATCTCATCCCACCCCCTACCATGGGAAGGGACAACTCCCACTGTCCCAGGTTGCTCCAAGCCCTGTCCAACCTGGACTTGGATACTTCTAGGGATCCAGGGGCAGCCACAGCTTCTCTGAGCACCCTGTGCCAGGGCCTCAGAACCCTCACAGAGAAGAATTCTTCTGTATATCCAACTTAAATTCAATTTTCAGTTTGAATGCATTCCCCCTGTCACTCCAAAGTCCCTCTCCAGCTTCCCTGTTGCCCCTGCAGGTCCTGGAAGGTGCTGTGAGGTCTCCACACAACCTTCTCCAGGCTGAAGAAATCTCTCAGCCCAGATCCAGAGGGAAGATGCTCCACTCCCCTCAGAACATCTTTGTCCTAATCATGCATTATTAATGATAACATCTATTTATCCCAGCTCATCTGCTTCCCATTAGTCCTAGCATGGCAGGAAGCACTTAGGGCTGGAGGGAGAAGAACTTTGCCTTATTTAATCAAACCTGCCCTTCCTTAATGCCCTCAGTGGTACATAACCCCTGCAGGGGGATGCTCTATAAATCCCCCTGCTTCTGCCAGGACTGGGATCTCTTTTTTTTTTAATCCTTTAAATCAGTCCAACACCCCTGCCCCGCTAACTGAAGCCACATCAGCGTTTTCTCTAACAACCTGTAAATACCAAGCTTTCAAAACATGGATTTTTATGACCCCTTTTCACCTCCAGACTCGCTGCTGTGGAAGAAACAGGGCAAAGTGAGACAGAAATCCCACCCCAAACTTTTCTACACATCAAAACACGGTGACTTTTTATTATCTGGTGCCTCTTTCAACATGGGAATAAAGGTGGTGGTGAGTTCGCACACTCCTTCCCCCGGGGAACTGCTGTTATCACCCTTTTGTGAGCAGGGAAACTGAGACAAAGCAGGGGAAGGACATTGTTTGGGCTTGGACAGGCAAGGACATGAATCCAAGTTCTGACACTCCAGCTCAGGGGCTGCTCAGTGCTCCTTCCCTCCTCCCAGCTTTACTGATAGGTGCATGTGAGCATGATTTCCCCTGTATTTTCTCCTAAATATTTCCTAAGTCTTTAGGATTTACTTCAGTGCTTGAATATCGAACGACTGGTGGGAGAGTATTTCACTAGCAGCTCTGAAAATACAATAATATAATAAATTCCAATTGAAATTCAAAGCAGAGGTGGATAAAATTCAATGAATTTGACATTTCAGTTCAGATGAGCACCCCAAAATCCAAAGGAGTGTCACTGAAGGCTCTGGTTTCTGACTGCACTGTAAATTCAGGCTGCACTGTCTGTCCCCAGAGTATTGAATTGTTTGGCCCTGACACAGCCCAGAGCTGCAGGGAAACACAAACAGGACAAGAAAGTCATCCGAAGAGTTTGGATGTTTGAGCCAATCCAATCCTAATTTTTGGATTATTTGGATTATTATTGAGCCAATCCTAATAACTTTAAAATCTTGGATCAGGTCTCCTGAACTGCTCTTAGTGCATACACAGTTTTATGGCTGTTTTAAGTATTATTTCAGCTACCTTAGACTTGCAAAGAAAGGGTTTATTTGGCTTTTTTACTCCATTTTAAAGTGTTTTCTTAAAAATTATCCAAACAGAGCTCTTAAAAGAAGAACTACTGAATTTATTGTCCATGAAAATTCAGCACTCCTAATTTTTATTTCCATGATAATCTCTTAAATACAACAATCTCTGGGGTTTTTTTTCCAAGGGAATCAGTAATCACCATCCCTAGAATTGATTGAAAGGCCTGTGGATGTGGCACTTAGTGGTTTAGTGATGAACACAGCAGTGCTGGGTTAAGGGTTGGACTTGTTGATCTCAGAGGGCTTTTCCAACTGTAACCATTCTATGATTCCAGGATTCTTCCATTTTTCACCCCAGGAATTTTTGCTAGATTATATATAAATACTGCACAAAATTCCCTAAAGAGAAGTGCTAGAGCTCTGAGAGCTCACATCAGCCTTCTAAAATAAGGAAAACTGGAAATTTTCTGTTAAATCTCCAGTTATCCAGTGATTTAGTAATTCCATGTGGAACGGCCTCTCTTGCCCTCCTGATTTATGCAGTTATAAAGTTACAGGTTTGGGGTCTTTTGAAAGCCAAATATAATATTGTAAAAAATGAAACACAAACACACACAGACCCCGTTTTCTTCCACTGAACAGAGGGGGCGGGGGGGGGAACCACCTTCCTGGTGAATCCTGCCATGTGGATTTGAAGCTGTTAATGGATTCCACATTGATGGACAAAACAACCTGACACGTCTGACCAGGCAGGATCCCTCTGCAGTTGTTCCACAGGCTGATTTGGTCTGACAACTCCCTAATTCTGATGAGGTGAGAGTGAGGAGATTATGAGGAGAAATCCCTCATCTCCCTGCAGCAATCCTGGGAGTCAAATTATCCCTTTCATGTGCCCAGTGAAAGATTGCAGCAAAATGAGCGAGAGGAGCGTTTCTTCTTCCTCTGCTGACACCCAGCTGATTATCTCAGGACACTGATTACCTCGGGACATTAATGAAATGAGTCTCCCAGGATATTTCTCCATGCTGTTCCCATTATTCCAACAGGGGAAAAAAGGCAGGAGTGGGTTCAGTGGCTTCCCTACCATAACATCAAAGCCTGGAATCAAACCCAGATCCCGGCCCGTGCCTGAGCAACGTGTTCTGAAGTGTCAGGAAGTGATCCCTAAAGTTCCTGGAGCTTTGTTGTGACACCATCCACCTCCCTGCACAGTTATCCAAACCCAGTGGGTGCTGTGTCAATTAAAAAAATATACAGCCCTGGGAATGACAAGGACTGAGATGGGTGGCTCTCCAGGGAAAATGCCCTTCTGGAAATATCCCACCAAGGAGAGCGCTGAGGACACAGTTCATCTGCTGTTTATTTGGCTCCCAGCATTATCTAGATGAAACGTGCAGTAAATAAAGAAGAAAAAACTTTCTTTTTAAAAAACACCTTCTCATCTCTGTGATTATTCCAAGTTCTTTACAACGGCTCCAGGGTTTGAGGCACCCCTGTAAAACATTTCGATCAGGCTGTGCCAGCTATTTATTTATGTCACCAACAGGAACATTCGAAAGCGATTAAGGCAAAAAAAGACGAGAGAAAGAAAAGATATGAGAAAATGGCATCGCTGTGACCGCTGAGAGACTCAGCTTTTAACTTGTCAAGAAAGTCAAAAACCGCCACGAATGTTTACTGAAAAAACAGGGAGCATGCAAAAAAAAAAAAAAAAGGAAAAAAAAAATTCATCTTGTGCTCTGAGCTATAAAATTACAACAGCCGGGGATGGGAGGGCTGGGGGGCCCCGGCAGGATCCCTGCAATTACAGGCTGGTGATGGCCGTGACAACTTACATATGAAAGGTTTGACAGTGCTGTGGATGTGCTTGTGCTGCTTGAGGCCCGAGGAGGTGGCGAAGGTCTTGCCGCAGTCGGGGCAGGCGTGGGCCCGCGCCCCCACGTGCTGCGAGCGGATGTGCCGCTGGAGGTTGCTGGGGTCCGTAAACACCTGCGGGGAAAAACGCCTTCAGGAGAGGGGGGAAAGCACCAGGAGAAGAGCCTGCATGTGAAAAACTGATTTTGTTAGGGTTTTTTGCAGCCCTGCTGCTCGTGGCTTGAGGAGTGCGGGGTGGATTGGTGAGGACAGGTCAGGAAAGAGCTCTGTGCCCTGCCAGGCTGTGGCACCTCCCTGAGTGTGTGGTGCTCATGGTTGGATGGGTCTGTGGCACCTCCTCAAGTGTTCATGGCTAGACAGGTCTGTGGCACCTCTCTGAGTGTGTGGTGCTCATGGTTGGACAGGTCTTTGCTCACCCTCATCTGCCCAGCACAGCCCTCACCACCACCCCAGTACCCCGCTGGGAATGGCCAAAGGGGAGTTGAGGGTTGAGGGTTGAGCTCCACACCCGCAGTGGGATGCCCAGCACAGTGAGGACACCTCTTCTCCCTGGGACAGGGACAGTGGGGTCACCTCTCCCTGTATCCCCTGCTCTGGGCCAGCATGGGCCACCCATCCCCTGCAGGCCTTGCCCAGGTCCCTGTGTCCTCTCCCAGGTGAAGTGTCTCATGGAAGCATCCTGCATCCCTTTCCCCAGGTCACAGCACCCACTCCCAGGTGAATCCCCCCATGGACACTGTGTCCTGCACCCTCTTATCCCAGCACCCTCTCCCAGGTGAATCCCCCCATGGACACTGTGTCCTGCACCCCCAAATCCCAGCACCCTCCTCCAGAAGCATGCCCCAGGCTGGCTGTGTCCTCACTGTACCTTAACACAGTTTTCACATTCAAACCGTTTCCCACTGTCGTGAGACATTTGGTGACGAATCAGGTTGGATTTCCAGTTGAAAGCCTTGGGACACTGGTCACACTTGTACTCCCTCTCCTCGGTGTGGATCACCATGTGCTGCTCCAGGCTGGCAAAGAGACACGGGCTGACCTTCAGACCACCCAAAGCAGGCACTGAGGCAGGTCAGAGACCCAGAGAGGTGACAGAGATGGTGACAGAGAATCAGCTGTCAGGGGCCTGGGGGTTTTCCAGCTTATGGGTGCTTCAGAGCGCACCCCTGAGTCTCCTTTTCTGCCCCAGCTCCCTCATTCCTTCCCCACAGGGCTTGTGTTCCAAACCCCTTGACTGAGAGAAGGACAGTGACACCCAAACACCATTTGAGGTTTTTGAGATTTATTTCACTGGTGGAAGATGCCCTGTTCTGCCTCAAAATGACGCTGCGTTTTATGCTACTTATAAATACCTGAGTCCATTCTCAAGGGGGAAAAGGAAAGTAAACCCAGCCGTGACCCTAGAGATACCTGAGGGGAAAAATAGGCACTTTTTGTGGCATCCCCCTGGGGAAAGAAAAGATATTTGCTGCTGCTGAGCCTCTCATGTGTCCATTTTCACGGGCAGCCGGCCCACGGCTTCCCAGAACACAGGGACTCACCGTTGGGAAGAAACATGATAAGGTGCAAACACGTTTCACTTCTAAATGTCAGACATCTTTGATTACTTCACTCAGCAATTGCACCTCCTGCCAACTGGCAGCGTCTCCAGACTGGGGGATGATGGCAATCCCGAGTGGCTGCTGGCACAGGGCCACGGCAGGGGTGGCACCTGCTGCTCCAGTGCCCTGTGCCACGGGAATCCTGCACCTCCCTGCCCAGGAATCATGCACCTCTCAGACTTTAAATCCTGCATCTCTCAGGCCTTAAATATTGTATCTCTGAGGCCAGAAATCCTGCACATCCCAGGCCAGAAATCCTGCACCTCTCATGTTGGGAATCCTGCACATCTCAGACCTTAAATCCTGCACATCCCAGGCCAGGAATCCTGCACATCCCAGAGCAGGAATCCTGCACATCCCAGAGCAGGAATCCTGCACAATTCAGGCCTTAAACCCTGCACCTCTCAGACATTAAATTCTGCACCTCTCAGACATTAAATTCTGCACCTCGCAGATATTAAATCCTGCACCTCTCAGGCCAGGAATCCTGCACCTCTCATGTTGGGAATCCTGCACCTCTCAGCCAGAAATCCTGATCCTCCCAGGCAGGAATTCTGCACATATTTCAGGCCAGAAATCCTGCACATCTCAGACCAAGAATTCTGCACATTTCAGGCAGGGAATCCTGCACCTCTCAGCCAGAAATCCTGCACATCTCAGACCAGGAATCCTGCACATCTCAGGCTGGGAATCCTGCACATCTCAGCCAGAAATCCTGCACATCTCAGGCCAGCCCTGGGAAACAAGGGAAGGAAATCTGCATCCTTTCCTTCCTTTGGGGCAGGTTAACAGGAGTTACAAACACTACTCTTACTGTGAGTTCTTAAAAAAAAAAAAAACAAACAACCCAGCTCACATGGATTCTACTCCTGCCTGAACCCCTTCCCATGGATATTAAACCATTCCTACCTTTAAAGCATGGCTGTATTTTTACAGAAATATTAAAGCTGAGCACTACTGGAAAATCATGCCAGTCTTCAGGGAAGATACTCCCTGGGCATTTCTGGCAAGTTCAGGATCCCAGGAATCACGTCAGCCTTGGTCACTCAACACCCAAAACTCCTCCCTTGGAGCACCAGCCCTAATCCCAGCTAGATAATTCATATTCATGGGCATGCCCCTCATAAACTGCCAACCCTCTAGTTTGAAAGCAGCAATATTCATTTTGCTCAAGAAATGCTGCTCTTAAAATGACCAGATTTTTAACACACACAAAGTAACACAAACCTTTCATATGCACATCCAAAAATATGCTCCTGTTAACTGTGATTTATGAGTTTATTTTGAGCAAATATGGACAAGCTAATACACTGTTTAGAGGCAAGTACCTACTGGGATTAGCAAAACATTTATTTATTTAGTCAGCTGCTAAATGCTCAATTTCAGGTCCCCAGTGGCATCCTTGATTTCATCTGTATTAACTTTGAAAAATTCTAAGACTATCCAGGCACCCTGAGCAGGTTTATTTTGTGTTTTAGTGACTTTAAACTTAGCAGATTGATGGGGGAAAGGCTGATGTGGACATTTCCTCTCCACCAGCATGTCAAAGGCTGAATGAGGATGCTGCTGACTCTCTTTTCCCTTGTCAAAAAAATCAACTTTATGGCACTTATCCCAAAATATTAGGTATAAAAGGCAAAAACCCCAAGGCCACAGTGCCAGCTCAGACCCCTAGGGAGCCAGGAATACATAGAGGGTACAAATAAGATACAATACACACATTTCAAAAGGTTATTTCCTAGCTAACATAAAAATTAGTTATTTCTTAGTTAACATAAAAATTAGAGAGCACTGGAAGCTAAAGAGAAGAGAGCTTCTGACACTGGTGGATAAAAGATTTGGAATTTTTACTAAAATCCATAATATTGAAAACATTTGAAGGAAGTTCTCATTGTCTTGTCAGGTAAAAAGAAATGAAGAAAATTGCAGCCTCTTATTTCTAATGAGAGTACCCAACGTAGAGACAGGAGGTGAGGATTAAAAATACCACACTGGGCTCAGAGGATGCCACGCAGGAATCCCAGGATCCATCCCAGACTCTACAACTCCCAAGCTCTTTTCCATGCAGATGCAGGGAATGCTCTGTAGCCTTCACCTTTACTCTGCATCTTTTAAAATAGATTTTTTTTCCCCCCTCACTTCCTCACCCAGATCAAAGAGCTGAAAGTATCAATGTAATTAAGTTCAAAGTGACAAATGCAGGTTTTTAAATGTTAAACTGAAGTGAAACAGGGGCTTTAACCTCGAGGTTTTTGCTCTGCTCAGGCAGAGCCTGACAGGGGATTGCCAGTTCTCACAGTTTTACAACAAATCTTGTGGTGCACGGGGTTTGTTCACCCAAGAAGGCAAAAGAAATGAGTATGTGAGAACTTCAACCTCCGGTAAACACAGAAAACTCTGCTTTTATAGAATTTTATAAAGGCTTTTATCAAGGCTTAGGATGCAAATAAACACAATCTTAAATTGATTTAAAAAACTCATCAACTTTTAAAGCTGGCTCCTAATATTTAACTATTTGAGTCTCACTTTGCCAATGAATTAGAGAGCTCAAAGATTGCTGTATTAAAGCTGCATTTCATTGCTACCATATTCTGATTTGAAAAAAAAAATCAGATTTTAAGTTAAAACCTGAGTTTAAATATTTTCCCTTTTAAAGATAAGTTTAATTCTTATTTACAGTTGCTGTATAATCATAACTGAAGAATTGTTGCAAATTAAAAAATGAGCTGGAGCTATCCAACTTCCAATCTTATTTTTTTTTCCTTTTCACATTGTTGTCACAAGAACATTTGGTGGACACAAAGAAAATTAAAAATTTGATTGGAATAGAGGTTTTTAATTGCTCCTGCCAGATCAAATAGGAGCTTGTGGCCATGTTATGAGTTCTTAGGGCATTGACACCTCTTTAAACCCACTCATCTCTAATGACCAAGAATTAAATTTAAAAGAAGCCTTCATGCACATGTTGACTGAGCTAATATTGGTGTTTTTTTCCTTCAGAACAAGAGAACAGATGGTAGAAAGATCCCACCCAAGTCTCTCAGAAAAGAACCCCTTAAACTTCCCACCAACAACCCTTGGGTGCTTCTACCAACAGGCAATGGAAAGCACAGGTCTAGGAAATCAAAGTGGAATAAAACACTGCCCAACAGCTACAGAGGGTCCCAAAGTGAACATTCCTCAACCTTGTAAGGAAAGGGGAGGTTACAAGGGAGAAAGGAAAGGTTGATCCCAAAAGGAACATTCCTAAAGCCTATGGAGAAAGGAAAGGTTTCTATGGAGAAAGGAGATTTATCTCAGAAAGAACATTCTGAAATGCTGTGGAGAAAGGAAAGGCGTCTATGGGGAAAGGAAATGTTTATCCCAAAAAGAACATTCCTAAAACCTATGGAGGAAGGAAAGGTTTATCCCAGAAAGGACATTCTGAAATGCTATGGAGAAAGGAAACGTGTCTAGGGGGAAATGACAGGTTTATCCCCAAACAAACATTCCTAAAGCCTATGGAGAATAAAAAGGTGTTTATGGGGAAAGGAAAGTTTTATCCCAAAAAGAACATTCTGAAATTCTGTGGAGAAAGGAAAGGTTTATTCCAGAAAGAACATTCTGAAATGCTATGGAGGAAGGAAAGGTTTCTATGGAAGAAAGAAAGGTTGATCCCAAAAGAACACCCCTAAAGCCTATGGAGGAAGGAAAGGTTTCTATGGAAAGAGGAAATGTTTCTATGGAAAGAGGAAATGTTTCTATGGAGGAAGGAAAGGTTTCTATAGAAGAAAGAAAGGTTGATCCCAAAAGAACATCCCTAAAGCTTATGGAGGAAGGAAAGGTTTCTGTGGAGGAAGGAAAGGTTTCTATGGAGGAAGGAAAGGTTTCTATGGAAAGAGGAAATGTTTCTATGGAGGAAGAAAAGGTTTCTACAGAGGAAGGAAAGGTTGATCCCAAAAGAACATTCTGAAATGCTGTGGAGAAAGGAGAGGTTTATCCCAAAAGAACATTCTGAAATGCTATGGAGGAAGGAAAGGTTTCTGTGGAGGAGGGAAAGGTTTATATGGGGAAAGGAAAGGTTTCTATGGAAAGAGGAAAAGTTTCTATGGGGAAACATTCTGAAATGCTGTGGAGAAAGGAAAGGCGTCTATGGGGAAAGGAAATGTTTATCCCAAAAAGAACATTCCTAAAACCTATGGAGGAAGGAAAGGTTTCTATGGAAAGAGGAAAAGTTTCTATGGGGAAAAGGAAATGTTTATCCCAAAAAGAACATTCCTAAAACCTATGGAGGAAGGAAAGGTTTATCCCAGAAAGGACATTCTGAAATGCTATGGAGAAAGGAAACGTGTCTAGGGGGAAATGACAGGTTTATCCCCAAACAAACATTCCTAAAGCCTATGGAGAATAAAAAGGTGTTTATGGGGAAAGGAAAGTTTTATCCCAAAAAGAACATTCTGAAATTCTGTGGAGAAAGGAAAGGTTTATTCCAGAAAGAACATTCTGAAATGCTATGGAGGAAGGAAAGGTTTCTATGGAAGAAAGAAAGGTTGATCCCAAAAGAACACCCCTAAAGCCTATGGAGGAAGGAAAGGTTTCTATGGAAAGAGGAAATGTTTCTATGGAAAGAGGAAAGGTTTCTGTGGAAAGTGGAAAGGTTTCTATGGAGGAAGGAAAGGTTTCTACGGCGGAAGGAAAGGTTTCCATGGAGGAAGGACAGGTTTCTATGGAAAGAGGAAAGGTTTCTATGGAAAGAGGAAAGGTTTCTGTGGAGGAAGGAAAGGTTTCTATGGAAAGAGGAAATGTTTCTATGGAAAGAGGAAATGTTTCTATGGAGGAAGGAAAGGTTTCTATAGAAGAAAGAAAGGTTGATCCCAAAAGAACATCCCTAAAGCTTATGGAGGAAGGAAAGGTTTCTGTGGAGGAAGGAAAGATTTTTATGGAGGAAGGAAAGGTTTCTATGGGGAAAGGAAAGGTTTCTACGAAGGAAGGAAAGGTTTATTCCAAAAGAACATCCCTAAAACCTATGGAGGAAGGAAAGGTTTCTATGGAAAGAGGAAAGGTTTCTATGGAAAGAGGAAAGGTTTCTATGGAAAGAGGAAAGGTTTCTATGGAGAAAGAAAAGGTTTCTGTGGAGGAAGGAAAGGTTTCTGTGGAATGAGGAGAGGTCTCTATGGAAAGAGAAAAGGTTTCTAGGGAGGAAGGAAAGGTTTCTATGGAAAGAGGAAAGGTTTCAGTGGGGAAAGGAAAGGTTTCTAGGGAGGAAGGAAAGGTTTCTATGGAGGAAGGACAGGTTGATCCCTTCAGTCCTCCCCACCGCCCATCACCCCCTTTGGCCAGGACGGAGAGGGGAGGCCTGAGGAGGGTCTGGCTGTCAGTGGGTACCTGTATTTATTGGGGAACATCCTCTCACAGTCCTTGCACTCGTAGACCTGTCCATCCCCGAGGCCTTCCTGCTTGATCTCGTTGCTGAGGCTCTCGTAGAGGGCCCCCACGGCCCCGCAGCCGTACTTCTTGTGGCGCCGCAGGTCCAGCTTGGACTGGAACAGCTCATCGCAGTCCTCGCAGCGGAACGAGGGCTCCTCTGCAACACACACAGCAGCCCATGGCAGCCCTGCCCCAGGAAACACCACCAGAGAGGAGGCAAGGCTCCCCGAGTCCAGCAAACAAACAAACAAAGAGAGAATTTGCAAGTGAGAGGGGAGAGAACCCAAGGGAGGCTGTGCCAGCAGCTGCTTTCACTTTAAGCATTAAGAGGGAAAAAAAAAAATCAGATCACACAACCAGAGGAGATCTTGTTTTCTTTGTGTCTTGGCCTCTGCTGAGATGGAGAGACCTAAAGGGATTGGGAGACACACAAAATTCTGGGCTTATTCTGGGGTGCTGTGCTTGTCTGCAAGGAGGGGGTTTGAAATTACGAACGAGTTTTCCTCAGAAGGGGCTGCCAGGGGAAAAGGAACAAGCCAGACTCATATAAACACAGATAGTGAGAAAAGCAAACTGCCACAGCACAAACCTGGAGAAGCTTCTTTCTAAGAAATTGTCTGTCTAATGTTCTCCTCTCAGTTTTCCACTGCAGGAGCTCAGGGCTCCATCAGCCCAAGGAGTCCCAGCCCAGAGCACCATGGAAGGAAGAGCAGGGAGCCAAAGGCTTTGTTGCTGTGCTCTTTGCTTTTTTTTTTTTTTTCTTTCTTTATTTTTTTTTTTTAAAGTTCTAATGCACATAATAAATTACTGTAGTCAAGGTCAAACAAATTAAAAAGAGGGCAGCTATTATTAAGTTTACAAGGCAGCATCCTGACCATGGTGCCAAGCCAAACAATCAGCTCAGAGCTGTAAATTTTCCAGGAGAACAAGCTCTGCGAGGGAGTCGGGATAGCTCTGGGTTTCTCCACCCTGGAACAGAAGCTTTCCAGCCCCCTGTGAGTCACTGGAGCCACGTTTCCCTGTCCTCCCCTACCCTCTTCCTCCACGCTCTGCTGCTCTGCCTGGTTCTCTTTTTCTGATAACTGCACTCCCAGAAGGAACAGCCCGTGGTGATGCATTATCTCTGGGGGAGGAGTGGGAATATTCTGGGAGCTGCAGCCAAAGGAGATGCTGTGGAGGGGCTGATCCATCCCCTGCTCTGCAGAGAGGGGATGTTGGGCTGGGATGTGGCCACACTCACGTTCTTGGGGTAAAATCTTCAACCCCTTTGCTTCAAAGTCCCTCCTTCCACTTATTTATGCCAAATTTTACACAACTGCAAGCACTTAGGCTGAGCTTTAAGGCCTGGGATGGTGTTTTATCTAAATCAGGGTTAATTTTGTTACGAGTGTGACAGGAGTGGAAGCACGGGCAGCGTCACACCCAGAGACCTCCATGCCCCCACCTGGGCACTCAGCTCCCATCTCCCTTTTCTCTGCTTAAACCTGAGTTTAAAACTGAGCAAGGCAAGGTCCCAGAGGCTGCTGCAGCAGCGATGTGGGCAGAGGAAACCCTCTGCATCCTCTGCACACCCTCTGCACCCTCTGCACACCTACACGGAAAGTATCGACACGGGCAAAATCAAACCCAGCTGAAAAAGAAAGTATCACCAAAACTCAGCCAGCACAGCCTGGCTGAGCCAGGCGGCTGAGCCACCCTCAATATTTGATGGAATGACTGGCAAATGGAAAATATCCCCTGTGCTAACTGGAGAGAAACAGAATTAAATGTAGGTGGAACTTCAGAAGTGTCATTGCTCCAAAAAAGATTGGGTTTTGTACGTTGGGTGATGTGAGGAAACATCTCTCAGTACTGATTGATTTTTTTCCTGAATAATGGAACTTGACACAAAACTTTACTTCCTACAGAACTCAGATTTGAGGGTTTGGCTGAGGTTTTAGCATCCCAGCAGCCTGCCCAGGGCTCCCAGAGCCACCCACACCCACAGGGATGGTCTCGCAGGGCTGCAGGAGATCAGCTGCACAACAGAGGGGGGCAAAAAGAAATAAAGTCCAGCCAGTCAACAAAGGATTTTGACTAAAAAAGAAGACCTGAGTGAAGAAAATACCAAATTGTTCTCATTTCAGCTCATTTCAAGGGTTTATACTCTCTGAGATTGCTGGCAGCAGCCTCACCATGGGGTGGGTCAGGCTCTGCTCTGCTCCTCAGAGAAATCTCTTTACAGAACAGAACAGGACCAATGTGTGTCTCATGTGTGTCATGTCCCTGGGGAGGGAAACCTGGAAATCAGGACACCAATAACAGCAGTATGGAGAGACTGCTACTAAAATAATCCAAACTACTTTTTATGAGTGAAAAGAAGAAAAACGTATAGCATCAAACTCCAGGGACATGGAACTTCTCTGGTGAGGTGTTCCTCCACCTCAGAGCCAACATTTCCCCTCTTTGCTCTCTTGTAAATGCAGCAGTGGCTTAACCAGGAAGGAATTTTTGGAGGAGTGACTGAAATCCTCCAGGTTGGGAAGCCCCAGGTCCCTTCACCTCTTAACAAGCTCCTACCAAACTCCCAGTGTCCCTCAAGCTCCACCTGGCAAATCCCCAGACCTGAAAACACTTGGAATGGAGGAAACTGATTTTTTTTTTTTATTTCCTTTCTTCTGACTTCAGAGAAAATGCAACAAAATTCCTTCCACAAATCCAGGTGGAATTCTTCCTGCTCCAGTTTGAGATTTACATGATTAATTGCAGCTTACTTCACCCAAACTCTCCTGTAGGAAGCAGAAATCCTCTCTGGGTTTGGAAAAGCAGCCATGGAGAATAATTTCCTCCATACCTGGCTAAAGCTGGATAACTGCCTCCTCTGCCACTGTCCTGCCTGCTCTTACCAGTGACAATGACACTTTTTTGTCCTTTCTGTGAGCTTACAGAGCAGGGAAAGTGGTGAAATATCTTAATTGCCTCAAGAATATTTTAGAAAAGAGATTTTGCTTCTAATTCTCCTGGTTCTTTGCCGTATCTCACCCAAATCACACACGATCCAAGAGGACATCAAACACAGCAGCTTTTCCACAGGTGGAAAAGATGGAGGAGAGGACAAGCAATTCCTGTGCTTCAGAGAGTATCCGGGTTTGGAAAAAGAAATTTGTATTGAAAGGAGGCTTAGAGAGCTGACAAATATATGATTAAAAGCCTTGTAGCCACGTGTTCTTCATTGGTTGTAAATCCTGTTTTGATGCTCAGAAGGCTGAAGAGAGGAAAACCAGATCAGGTGGGAGAGCAGCTGAGGGGAGGCCCTGGGAGAGCAGCTGTGGCTGCCCCTGGATCCCTGGAAGTGCCCAAGGCCAGGCTGGAGGGGCTTGGAGCAGCCTGGGACAGCGGAAGGTGTCCCTGCCATGGCAGGGGATGGGATAAAATCATCCTTCAGCTCCCTTCCAGCTCCAATCATTCCACGATAACTGCTCCATATCCAACCCCCGTTCCTCTGGCATTCCCAGCAAATCCCAAACCAGACTCCTCAACAAACACCCTGCAGGAGAAGAGCCTGAGCCTGGCTTAGGACCAGACTATCCCTGCAAAACCGAAACCTAAACCAGCTCAGGGCTGAGCTGAGAGCTGGTGTTGATTCCGTGTCTGTATCTCACACCCACTTTGTAGGCTCCAGGTTCATTCCACTGTTCCTTTTTATTTTTTTTTCCCAAAAATAAAAAGGTGGCCCTTCAAAGCACGTTCTCATTAAAGCTTCCCCCTTTTTTTTTCACAAAAATACTGCCCTTCACAAAGGTAACTGTGTGACAGGGAGAAGGGGCTGCAAAGAAAAGAGCAACCCCAGTCACACCGAAATTGCTGCCTGTTCTCTGTGTCGTGTTTGTCAAATCTGTGGTTACGTGTGCCTATCTGAAGTTCCATCAGAAACACTCAGGACAAAGCAGGAATGTAACAGAAAAATAAATCAGTGCCTAATAGCTTTCAGAGAAACCAAGGGGAACACAATTATGTGGCATCTACATGCTAATCTACCAGACTCGAATCTCAAAGGAGTTCAAGTGCCCTACTCAAAATTCCTGCAGTGATAAGGGGTCTGCTGTGTTTGGCTGGGGTTGGGAGGAAAGATTTTTATGATAATTATCTTTGTGTGGAACAATTTTGCATTTTCTCTCCTGTTAATTCCAAAGTGAGCTGGGGGTGCGAGGCAGCAGGAAGATAGCCCTGCTGAAAGTAAAAAGTATTAAGGAGTCAAATATTTAATGTTGGCCTGGCATAATTTGACAGCAATTATGCAGCAAAAGCACTAGACGTTACCAGGAAGATCCAGATAAATGTTCCATAATGACAGAGATGGAAAACAAGGAGCACTTTTTGCTTGTTCACATAAAAGCCTGTTAGAAACCGAAATGCAGAACAGCGGTGAGTTTTCATTCAGATTTCTCCTTGACATGAAAAAAAAAAAAAAAAAAAGAAAAGGTGAAAAAAAAAAAAAAAAAGAAAAGGTGCAGAAATTATTCATCTCTGCGCGTTGGTCTTGAGAAAATCATTAACTTTTGTGGGGGGAGAGCAGTGAAAAAATAGTCCCAAACTTGATATGAGTGAGGCAGCAAATACAACACTTCACCCTCAGCCCTTCAGCAAATGAACTTCCAGCAGCACAAATCCTCAAATTATCCCATTTTCCAGAAATAATGGAAACTGATTGTGCAGGATTTTACCACAAATTTACATCAGAAATTATACTTATGTACAGCTAAAAGAAAATAAATGTGTTGTGGGATACCCAGAGAGAACACTAATTTCATAATTATGAATTAGTTAATTCATAAATTAATTTTATAGAGCATTATTTCCAACTACTAGTTTAAAAACTCTAGGTAAAAAATGCTGGCAAATGAGAATTTACCAGTATCTATAGAAATTATTGATAGAGTATTTATAAAAATAAATCATGGAATAATGATGTTGGGCACATCCTTCCCAGTTTTCCTCAGAGATCACTTCCTTGCACAGCATTTGTAATGTCAGAGTCTTGGATGAATGTGGGAAAAAAACATCCTAAGAGAGAAAAACCAGTGCTGGGAGCACTCTTAGATTTCCAGAACACTCCATGTGTGTGTCCTGCTACCTGCTCACAGCTGCTGCAGAGAAAGATGAGGTGTCTTTATCCCAGCAATAATAATTTTAGTGACGACTCTTCCACCTCCTTTTCCAGATTCCCTAAATCTCTGCAGGCTGGATTTTACCAAGATGGATGTTTCCCATCCTTGGGATGGTTTGGCCATTTTTATTACACCCAAAGGCACCTGCTGGCCCTGGGGATGGAAAAGGCACCACTGGTCATACCCAAACCCACAAAGAGAAGGAAATGAGGCTGATAAAAACTCAGTGGTGTGAGCCTCTCTCACCAGGAAAAAAGTGAAAATGAGCACAAAATGCAGACAGAGACAGAAGGGGCAGCTCCTGGGTCAGGTTTTGCCCCAGCCCTGCCCTGGCTGAGGAGCAGAAGCTGCTGGGGAGCCTTACCTTCCATGCTGGGTGCCATGTTCCCCAGGGAATAACCTCCTTCCTTCAGACACACCAGCAGCTCTTCTCCCGGCTCAATCTCTTTAATGACTTTATAATAGACCTGGGAATCACAAACAGAACAGACAGGGTAAATGTGCAAAGGCTTGTGGTTTATGTCTTAACCAAGAATTCAAATTACTTTCGTTAATAGGGGAGGCTGTGCCTCGATTTGGGATAATTGCTGCTCAGAGCTCGTTTTCCTGCCTTTATTTGACTCTTTGGGTGTCAGAGTTTCACAGGGTTTGGACAATAAAAAAATATTTTGGGCAACAAAATTACAACAAATTATCTCTCCCTCAAATTACAACAAATCTTCCCTTTTTCTTCCTGTCCTCCTATGAGCTCAGTGTGTTTGTCACAGTGAAGGGAAGATTAAACTGATGGAATTGTCACGTTTAAACCTCTGCTGTCTGAGGCAGAATGGGCCTCATGGTTACAGCTGAATTATCATCTCCACAGAATGATTTTACTGACAATTCTCCCCAACAGCCTAGACTTGACCTCTAAACACAGACATGAACCATTCCAGGTGAGAAGTTTCCCACATTCTGAGCTCAAATAAAATAAAATAGAATAGAATAGAATAAAACAAAACAAACCAGCCTAGATTTGACCCCTAAACACAGACATGAACTTCTCCAGGTGAGCAGTTTGCCCACATTCTGACCTGAAAAAATAAAATAAGATAAAATAAAATAAAATAAAATAAAATAATACATAAAATAAAAAACCAGCCTAGACCTGACCCCTAAGCACGGACATGAACCACTCCAGGTGAGCAGTTTGCCCACATTCTGACCTGAAATAAAATAAAATAAAAGTAAAATAAAGTAAAATAAAATAAAATAAAATAAAATAAAATAAACCAGCCTAGACCTGACCCCTAAACACAGACACAAACCACTCCAGGGGAGCAGTTTGCCCACATTCTGAGCTGTCTGAGCACAGACCTGGACCTTCCACAATGCCCTGGGCACAGCTCTGTTCACCTCCTGGACCTTTGTCACTGCACCAGAAGAAAACCCCAAAACAGAAACAGGACCCAGACAGGGGCAGAGCCCACTGACCTCATCTTCACTGTTCCAGCCCAAACCCCACAGACAGCAGAGCAGGGGGTTCTGTCACAGCTGGGTCCCACCTGCCTCATTCCCTCCCCTGCAGCTGCTCCAGGAGCTCTTTTTTCTTTTATCCCGAGGAGGTTCAGTGTCCTCCAGATGTTTCCCAAATTTTTGGAGTACACTGGACCCTGTCTGAACACAATACCCTGAGAATTCACCTGGTAACTGTTTTTATCTTCCAGGTTTTCTTAGCACTGTGTTTAACAGCAATCCAAGAAATTCTTTTTCAGGGTAAAATCCGTATTTCACCCAGAACAATTCCTGAAATTTGCTGCCACTCCGCCTCTGCCAGCCTGTGTTTATGGGGAAGGAACACAACAACTCCTAAATTCCCGCCTGGCTTGCATTAATCGTGTCACCACCTTGCATTTCTCTTCCCAGAGTCCTTTCCCTCCCTCCCTGGCACGGAACACGAGGCTTTGGCAGATCCCGGCCCCGGCCCGGCAGGAGCAGCGCCTGCCCGGGATGCTCCCAAAATTGTCCTCCCGGTGCCGGAGCTGCGGCTGCGGGGAGGTGTGATGGCAGGGACAGGGACGCGATTCCAGGGACAGGAGGCTGCAGGGACAGGGGACATCGCCCCCAGAGCTGCAGGGACAGGCGACATCACCCCCAGAGCTGCAGGGACAGGCGACATCACCCCCAGAGCTGCAGGGACAGGAGACATCGCCCCCAGAGCTGCAGAGACAGGGGACATCGTCCCCAGGGATGCAGCGACACGGGACACTGCTCCCAGCGCTGCAGGGACAGGGGACATCGCCCCCAGGGATGCAGCGACACGGGACACTGCTCCCAGAGCTGCAGACAAAGGGGACATCGCTGCCACAGCTGCAGGGACAGGGGACATCAGGGGACATCCCTCCCAGAATTTCAGGGGCACGGGACATTGCTCCCAGAGTTTCAGGGTCACGGGACATCCCTCCCAGAATTGCAGGGACACGGGACATCTCTCCCAGAGCCACCCCGCGGTGCGGCGGGGACCGTGGGGCGCGGTTGCCGCTCAGAACTTTCCCTCCACACCGAGGTCAGGACGCTCCCGACCGATCTGCCCGCGTTCCACCGAGCACCAGGACGGCCCGCGGTCCGCCCCGGTCCCGCTCTGGCGCCCGGTCCCCGCACTGGTTCCCGGTCCGGTACAGCCTTTACCGGGAGCTCCGGTACAGCCCTAACCGAGTGCTGTGACACAGCTCTTACCGGGGGCACAGCCCTTACCGAGCACTGGGTACAGCCCTAACCGGGAGCTCCGGTGCATCCCTAACCAAGCACCCGGTACAGCCCTAACCGAGCGCTCTGACACGGCCCTTACCGAGGGTACAGCCCTTACCGGGCATCCCGTAGAGCCCTGACCGAGTGCTCTGACACAGCCTTTACCGGGGGTACAGCCCTTACCGAGCACTCTGTCCAGCTCTTTTCGGGAGCTCCGGTGCATCCCTAACCGAGCACTCGGTACAGCCCTAACCGAGTGCTCTGACACAGCCTTGACCGGAGACACATCCCTCACCGAGCACTCGGTACAGCCCTTTTCGGGAGCTCCGGTGCATCCCGGTCCTCTCCTCGCCGGCCGGTTGCTGGCCCTGCCTCCCTCCGCTCCTGCCGGGCTCAGCACAGCCGACACCTCCCCAAATACCGAACTCACCCAAATATCGGTGCCTGAGCTCTGGACTCACCTGAGCTCTGCCCGGGCAGCTCTCCCTGGGAGTTTCAAAGCAGGGATGGTCACAAACACAAAGATTTGGGATGGGAAATGAAATCCCACTGCTGATAAAATACCCCAGACTGCCCGGACACCCATCCCTGTGCTGCCAGGATCCCTGCTGTAATCCCACCCCTGTTTTCCACTGCTTTGCAAACAGTTCTCCCAGGGCAGGCACATCTCATCCAGCTGGGAGTCCCAAAACGGGACCTGGTGCTGTGGGCAGGATCTGGGATCTCCCTGGACCTGCTCAGCTCCAAAATCCCAGGTGGAAACCCCGAGCAGCACCAGGCTGACACAGGACACACACCTGGGCACAGGTGAGAACAGTGCTGAGACCCCTGCTCCACCCACCAGTTCATTTCTGGGGATTCCACTGCAAAATAAAAATCGTCTAAAATTTTCCTTTTAGACATAAAAAAGAAAAATTTTCTCATTAGCTTTTTCATTTGCACTTCAGTGCAATGCTTGTTCTACAAAAAAAAACTTTTCCCTCCCTGCTTGTTCTACAAAAAAAGCTTTTCCCAGGACCAAACCACACTGAACTTAAGAGGAAAAGTGCCTGAAAAAACCCCAAAAGGCAGCCTAAGAGTGAGCCCAGAGCTCAGGACTGACTTGGAAACACAGGAGTTGGGATGGGCCAAGCTAAGAGAAAAAATAAGATAAGAGCAAATAAGAGAAATAAAATAAAAAGTTTAAAAAATAAAATAAAATAATATTTAAAAAATAAAGTAATATTTAAAAAATAAAATAAAATAAAGTAAAATAAAATAAAATAAAATAAAGTAAAATAAAATAAAATAAAATAAAATAAAATAAAATAAAATAAAATAAAATAAAATAAAATAGCTATTAACAGAAGTGCAGCTGGCAACCTAAACCAGCACTGAAACAACAGCTGTGGTCTAAAAGGTCCATCAAGTTCAGAGATAGTCACAAATTTTATAGGGGAAAAATCCTTCAGAATGCCCCTGCCGAGGGCTGACACTGCCCTGGTCTCACCCTTTAGCTCCTTTTCCTCTCCTGTTTGTTCTCAGAATAAAGTAGCTCCTTGTATTTCAAAACATCTCCTGCAGTCCTTCCAGAAAAGAGGACAGGCTCCTTTAATGATCAGGGAAAAGTTGGATTCTGCTGGAGTCACATTAATTTCATCAAACATTTCATGATGGTAATTAACTTCATCTTTCAGTCACGGTACTGATGGTCTGGGCTCATCAAAGCCTTTTTTATTTGTCGTGCACTGGAAAAGCTCAGATTTAATAATCCAGCAGAAGACTTACACTCACAAATCAATTCTGTTTGTTTATAGAAAAGTTCCACACTTGATCATTTTGTGTTTCCCACCACAGCACGGGCAGCTCTCCAAATTACCAGCTTTGTTTGACACTAAATAGTTAACAGGATAAGTAGGGTTTGGTGGTACTGAGAGTACTCCTTTTCTTCATTTTTATCAAAATTATTCTGGGCACGGGGTGTTGAAGAAAGAAAAAATAAAAGGAAAGAAAAAAAAAAACCCAAACAAAAAAAATCTCCAAAACACAACACCCCCCAAAACAAACCAACAACCAAAACAAACAAAAAACCAAATAAACAAACAAGCAAAAAGGGAAAGTAGAAATAATCCAGAGGAATCCTGTTCCAGCCTGGGTTGATACAGGGATCTGCTGTGGATGTGAACTTGGGGCAGCAGAAATCAGGCTCTGGCTGTCTAATTTTGCTGCTAGAACAGAATAATTTGGTACAATCACTGAAATATCGACCCTGCAGAACCACAACAACCACACTCTGGGGTTTGTCTCGCTCAGAGCCCAGCAACACCTCACCTTTCCACAGAAAAAAAACAAGAGTTCTGGAGCCTGGGAATGAGGTTTAACATTCCCAGAGTCACGGCAAGGGATGGAGATGGAGCACGGTGAGAGGGAAAAGTCCATCCCAGAATTACTTCATTAATTAGGGCCCTTCCTAAGAGACAGCCCCATTTTCCTGCTGCAGGGATTTTTATTTATATAATTTTATTTAATTTTTTATTGCACTCCAGGGGGAAAAGAGCATCAAAAGGGGAGAAAGCAGCTGCTGTGTTCACCTAAAATCAAAAACCCACCCACAAACACATCAGAGCAGCAGAGGGCTCAAAAACTGAAAAACCAGCCTGAAAAAAGGTTCTTTGTGTCCTTGTCTCATCAATAATTCACTCCACGGGCAGCCCAGTGAGGATCTGTCCCTCCTGCTCCCTCAGACCTGTCTGTGTGTCCAGCTCTGGACAGGGAAAATTTGGCCTTGGGAATGTCCAGCCAGGACAGGGCTGCACATTTTGCTTTTCTTCCCGTGTTTTCCTCCTTTGGAATTGCCTCCTCTTTGTTTCTGCTCAGCCACATTGCTGCTGATTTCCTCTTTTTAAGGCTCTTGGTGATGTATTGGGAATCCTGACTGGAGTTACCAAACCTCTATAAAATGCACCCAAAATCTCTGCATTGCACACACACCTCACACTGGCTGATTAAACACAGACCTGATTTTTTTTTCTATCTCCTCTTACTCCTTTTCTCCCCCAATATCTGCACCCCAACTAAAAGCAGCAGCTGCCACCCTGATTATTATCAATATATAGTAATTATATTCATGGCCAGCTCATGGCCACGAATATAATTACTATATATTACAAATATGTTATGTAGATTCTGTTTAACATTTCAGACTCTTGAACTGCTCAAGTATTTTCCTTTTTGAGGCAGGAGCAGCAACAGCAAAAAATAAAACATTTCCCTTTTAGTAAAAGATGTCATTTATCTACCATTTTTCCAGTCCTCCTTCAGAATCACAATTATCTCAAACAATCAAGGAACTTCTTTTCAAATACCTCTCCAGCACGAATAAATATAAAGAAAACTGGCTAATGCTATTCTACATGTGAAAATTTGCTTTGTAATTGAAAAAATGTGAATGAAATGTCACAATTAACCTCTTTCTAACTAGAGAAAAAAAAAACACATTTAAAATATATTCTAATCTGTTAATGGGGGTGAGAGTGGGATATAATTGAGTGATCCAGATCGTGCTGTCAATTACTTCACCAAGAATCCAGGAAAATTCTCTGTGCATTCCTGGGACTGTTCCCGAGTTACAGGACTAAAGAAGAACAGAAGGGTCCTGAGTGGAGACTGGATCCTGAGTGAGGGACTGGATCCTGAGCCAGGGACAGGATCACAAGTCAGGGAGAAGATCTTGACTCAGGGACTGTATCACGAGTGAGGGGCTGGATCCTGAGTCAGGGACTGGATCCTGAATCAGGGAGAGGATCACAAATCAGGGAGAGGATCCTGAGTCAGGGACTGGATCCTAAATTAGGGACAGGATGCTGAGCCAGAGTCTGGATCAAAAGTCAGGGAGTGGATCACAAGTCAGGGAGAGGATCCTGAGTCAGGGATGAGATCCTGAGTCAGGGACTGGACCCTAAATCAGGAACTGGATCACAAGTCAGGGAGAGGGATCCTGAGTCAGGGACTGGATCAAGAATCAGGGACTGGATCCTGAATCAGGGACAGGATCACAAGTCAGGGAGAGGATCTTGACCCAGGGACAGGATCTGGAGTCAGGGACTGCATCCTAAATTAGGGACAGGATGCTGAACCAGGGTCTGGATCAAAAGTCAGGGACTGGATCACAAGTCAGGGACTGGATCCTGAGTCAGGGAGACGATCCTGAGTGAGGGACTGGATCATGATTCAGGGACTGGATCCTGAATCAGGGACTGGATCAAGAATCAGGGTCTGGATCCTGAATCAGGGACTGGATCACAAGTCAGGGTCTGGATCCTGAGTCAGGAACTGGATCACAAGTCAGGAACTGGATCCTGAGTCAGGGACTGGATCCTGAGTTAGGGACACAAACCAGTGACAGGACCTTGAGTCAGGGACTGGATCACAAGTCAGGGACAGGACCCTGAGCCAGGGACTGGATCCCGAGTGAGGGACTGGATCCTGAGTGAGGGACTGGCCCACAAACCTGGAGGTTTTAGCTCATCCCAGGGCTGATCCATCCCTCGCTCTCCTCCCGGGACGCTGCCCCTGCCCAGCAGCCCTGGCCGAGCCCCCAGCCCGTGCTGGCTGCGAGGGCAGCCCAGCAGCCCCAGGAGCCCAGCAGCCCCGGGGTTACCTGCTCGTTGATGTGGCACACAGCCAGGTTCTGCTCGTCGCAGGAGCAGCACGCTCGGATGTACTTCAGCCAGTTCCCAGCCCCGCCCTGGCCGGCGTCTCCGCAGAACTTCTCAGTGCCCAGGGCATCGGGAATCTGCGGGAGAACCGACAGGAGAGGGGTCAGCTGGGCACACATGGCAGCTACGGAGGGGAGAGAGGCAGGAAAAGGGTTTGCAGGGCACAGCTCCGAACAAGAAATAGAAAGGAGAAAGGTAGGGGATGGATATAATTGATAAAGAGATTTGTGACAAGAATAAAATCAGCTCTCAGTCACTATCTGAAGGTGCTGGCCGGCAGAACCTCCAAGGACACTGCTCAGAGTGGTCTGTGAGTAAAAGGAGTACAAATATTCTGGAAAACACAGTTCTGGTCCCACAGCTCGAGTAATCAAAGCAGGGAACTCCTCCAAACTGCACTAATTTTTATGACAAGGTCTTTAACTGCTCATTCTTCACATCATCTGTTTCATCCTTTCATGCAGGATCATTTTTAATTACAAACCTTTCAATAAACTCTCAAACCAGGCCACAGAGCTGCGAGGTTCTATTTTAAAAATCACTTTACCCAATGCGCTACTTTCATTTATCTGAGTACAGCCTGAGAAATTCACTGGCCACAGCGTTGTGGCTGAAGGTGAGATACAATTTGGCTGCTGTGAAAAAGAGGAATCCTTCAAAATAAAACCCCTCACATGTTTAAAGTCCAGGTGTGGGGAAAAAAAAAAAAAAAAAAAGTTAATTGAGGGGTTGCAGTCCAAGGAAAGTCTCTTGTTTGCCAGGAAGGGATTTTTCCTCTCAAGGCAGTGGAGTTTGGTGGGAGAACCAGAGGAGATGCTCAGCATTCCAGAACAACCTTTGGGATGATCCAGTTTGGAATCCACTCATAAAAGCACATTTTAAAAATGACACAGCACACCCTGAAAATAAGGAGAAGCCCTCTGAGTCCCAGCATAGCAAGGCTCTGCTCTGCTCCTAAGTGGGCCTCCCTGCTCCAAAAACTCCTTTTTCCCTGAGATTCATATTTCCTTCTACCCCAACCAGCCCCTGTGTCAGTGCAAATTACTTCAGTCATCAAAAGCTCTTAACATGCTTTTACTAGCAATTAATTCTCTCAGAATCTCGTGGGATACGATTATACTTTCCCATCTATTCCAAGACACAGTAAAAAAAAAAAAAAAAGGGAAATCAAAGGAGAAGAAAAATTAAAGCCCAGCAATGACAGCAACAAGTTGGGCTTAAGGCTAGGATGAGAAAGCTCAGGGGGGCAGGTCCAGTTCAGGCTCTGGCTCCCAGCTCTGGATTCCTGGGAGATCCAAGACCTGCCAGAAGCACCAGGACAGCTCCCAGCTCCCTGCACTGGTCCCAGCAGACATTTCCTGGTCTCATCCCCACCACCAACCTTTCCTTCTCCAGCTCCTTGGCTGAAAAGGGATGAGAGAAAACCCCACCATTAGTGCTGGGCTTCTTCCTTCCTAATCAGAGCGTGGCACTGGGAGTCACTGAAATGCTGCACTGGGACAGATCTGGTGGGAGAAAAAACCTGTCTGTGCTCAGTTTCTTCATCCTCCCCAGCCTGGGAACACTCAGGGTCATTCACTCATCCCTAGCTAGACCCTGGAACTTTCTAGACACCCTTGGTCATCTACTGGTAGCACCAAAGGTGTGAGGTGGGCATTGTTGGCACAGGAAGCCCATTCTGTGTTGTTTGGAAGTCTTAATTAAAAGAAAGAAAAAAAGAAACCAACCAACCAACCAACCAACCAACCAAAAAAACAACAATAAAACCTGTTCTTAATGTGGCTGAATCAATATTGAGTTTACTCAAGCTAAAATATCAGTAATTTCTGTTTTATCTCAGGGAACTCCAGGGACACTGAGCTGCCTAATGCTGGTGAAAAAAAGAGCTTCTCTTGGATTTTTTGACCCCAAATTGAGCAGCCCAGCCAAGCTAGCCCCTCAAGTGGAGACACACCCAGACACCAAGTGACAGCAGCTTCCAGGGAAACTGTTTGGAAAACCAAATGAAACAAATCATTGATGCTCAGCTGGTCTGAAGCCACTGAAGAGTTTGGGCAGTGTTTGTAGTGGTTTGAGGAACCAGCAGCCCACAGACTTCCCAGTGCCAGCAACTGGTGACATCCAGTGGCCCTGGGAACACAAGATGGCAAATCCAGGACACACAAATAAGATTTTTAATTTCTTAAGCTGTGTCTTACAGATGGTCTCTTCCATCTTCCAGGATTTTTTGAGAGGACGCTTAGGGCCATTGAGTGGCTCAGGATGGAAGGGACCTTAAGGATCATTTAATTCCAACTCCCTGGGCAGAGAGCTTGGGGAATGTGGAAGAGGTTTTACAGGGTCTTCTGTGAGCCAGAGAGAAGTTTGATAAGAGGATCCATGTTTACCCCTGAAAGAATTTTCTACCAAGGTTGTTGACATAAAAAACAAGAAAGAAAAAGGATAAATAAGAGAAACCTGCAGCTGTCTATTCTAGGTTCCAGAAAGAAAGAAGGATGAATAAGAGAAACCTGCAGCTGTCTATTCCAATCAGCACTTTTTTTCTCTTTCCTGACCAATGAATAAAGTGTAAACTTAAGAGGTTTTTAAGAAAGTATAAAAAGCATGCATGGTAGAATAAAAAGGGTTTTGAAGCTTTCAGAAAATGGAGTGTGTTGTTTTGTGTTGTCTCCATCTCAGCTATGACAGGAGAAAGCCCAAAATTCGCTCAAATTTGTTTTGCAGGGTCCTGCTCACCAGCTGTGCCTCAGGAGGAGGTTCTGCCGTAGCTCGAAATCACCTGAAACTCTGTGGTTTTATCTGCGTGGGGCTTTAAAACCCAAGCTGGGGGCGTGAAATCTGACAGATCAAAACGAGAGAGAAAGAGGTGCTGTGAGAGCCTGAGAACCTGAGCTGCTGTTCTCACACACCCTCACTGCCCTCCACAAACAGAGCCTGGCACCACGGCCCCAAGCTCAAAACGGGGACAGCACCCAGCCACCCCTCATCCCCCTGCTGGCACCCACCAGGACCCTCTGAAAATGGAATAAATGGGGGGATCAGCAGGTTTAGAGTGCTGCAGGACCAGTTCCAGAGGCAGGGCAGCCCCTGGCACCACAGCCCCAAGGCCAAAACGGGGACAGCACCCAGCCACCCCTCGTCTCATGTCAACTTTTACCTGCCCAGGAAAACAAGTGTGGATTTGGGATTAAAGCTGCTGCTGAGTCCTGCATAGGGACGGACTTAGTTCTGGTTTTAATTGTGAATAAAGACATTTAATAGAGCTGGAGATGCCTGTTGGGGTAAGAGCATCCCCGGGTGGGTGGCTGTGGGGAGCTGAGCCTTCCAGGAGTGGGGTGAATCCCACTGCTGGCACCCACCAGGACTCTCTGAAAATGGAATAAATGGGGGAATCAGCAGGTTTAGAGTACTGCAGGACCAGTCCCAGAGGCAGGGCAGCCCCTGGGCCAGCTCAGCCCTCTGTGGCAAACACCTCTAATTAAAGATCAGGTTCACACGCTCGCTGGTGGTCGCTATCAAAGTTATTTCACAGCTTAAAAGCACCCAGGAGCACTGCAGCAGTCACCCAGCACTGTCTGCAGTATCTGTTCTTTCTTCTGTCAAATGTTCACACACACAGAATAATATTTTAAGTATCTCTTCCCCCCACCACCCCCAACCTGAGAAAACTCCGGAAAAAAACAAACTGAAACCTTTTACCACATCTTCTTCCAGTTCAGACCAGAAGGAAATCAGAAGTTTCCTCTGGCGAAATTCTGCAAACCAACTGTTTACAAGTCTTTGTCAGTAAGTAAAAAAAAGCAAATTAAAAAAATAAAATAAAAAAAAAATTCCAGTTTGAAAATGCTCCTGGGATGCTCATGGAGTGTTGGTTTCTCTGTGGTCTTTTGAAGAACCAAGAGATACCCTGTTCTCAAGGACAGGTGGAGAAGGAAAACAGAGGCAAAAAGCTTTGGGAATGGGCAAACTGAAGATCCCAGATGGAAGCACAGAGGGATTCACCCCACTCCTGGAAGGCTCAGCTCCCCACAGCCACCCACCTGGGGATGCCCTTACCCCAACAGACATCTCCAGCTCTATTAAATCTGTTTATTCACAGTTAAAACCAGAACTAAGTCCTTCTCTATGCAGGACTCAGCAGCAGCTTTAATCCCAAATCCACACTTGTTTTAAAAACCCATCAGAAAATGCAGTGTAATTATTAGCAGGACTCTGACTTGGTGGAGCTGACATGGAATTTCTGCCTGTGCTCTCTGCTCAGGCTGGCTCTGTATCAGTGCAGATGTCTCTCCTGAGAGTAATTTGGCTTAGACATTAAAAGAAGTTGTCAGAGGGAAAGGAGAGGTGAAAAAAGGTGGGAAGAGACTGGAGAGGAGAAAACAAAATAAAATCAATTTATAATTAGTAATTGGTGCTGGTTTTGCAAGTCTATAACCATCATGTGCTGCTGTTCCAGTAAATTTTGGGAAATGCATTTCACCTCCTTGACCCTTTTGGCTCTGAGGCCCAGCAACCCTGCCCCACGGAGCTGCAGGAACAAGATTTGTCCCTTTTTCTTTGTCCCCGTGTTAAACCCCAGCAGTCTGGGACAGCCCCTGCCCTGGAGATGTGCTGGAACAGCAGACTTTCATCTGGCCTGCAGCCTGCAGACACGCTCAGAAAGTTAATTATTGTGAGAGCACTTCCTCTGGCCGCTCTTCCATTTCATCCCTCCCACCCCATCATGGATTTCTCCCCTCTTCTTTTTTCATCACTGAACACGCCAAAACTTCAGTTCATCTTTTCTCCTTCTGCTGCAGATGGTGAGTTCAGTCTTTATTTATTAACCCACGGCACCTCCCAGCACTTTCGTCTTCAAATCCAACAGCTCATCTAAGAATTCCCAATTCCCCTTCCCCTCCCTGCCAGTAACAGTGCCATGATTTTGTCTCGTGGAGTCGTTCTCTGGGTTTCACAGAGCTCTCCTTGCTCTGAAGTCCCCCAGCCTCCTCCTCTCCAGTCTGTCCCCTCCAAAGAAATTCACCTTCATGTTCCCTGGGATTACAGGGCTTTGACTGGCCCTCTGCAGAGACACGGA